GAACTTCAGAATATTTCATTGCCTTATTTTCCTCATGAAATAAGTGTCTTTAATAACTAATATTTGCTTATTTTTATGTGATGCTTACAAAGGAATGTACATTATTGCTACATATTAGAAGCATTAAATTGTCTATGAAAGGAAATTTTCATACACAGCTATAGAAAACACTTGGCCCAAATTATTAATACGAGACTTGTCTGGATTCCACACGATAGAATGCTTATCATTTTTTTTACTGTGATTCCTCCTGCATGGCTTGTTTTACTTTAGAAATTAAGTCATACTAGGGAAATAACAGGCCAGAATCACATATTAAAAAGTATTAGTATGAGTGACATGGGCTAAATCCACCAGATGTTTAGAGAAGACAAACAGTGGTAAAGTTAGATTGTTAAATGAATAGAGGCATAGAGCTGAGACGGAAAGGAAGTAGAGTGACTATTCTGACAAACACAGGTGACCAAGGTTTTAATCAAAGGGTCATATTCATTGTAGGCATTTTGTAAATATTTCTTTTATTTCAGCCACAATAGTAGACTCTGTAAGTGGTTCCCATACACTGCTCACTTGACAGAGATCGTCCCTGCTGCATAGAGAGGAAGACCCAGAGATAACCCAAGTGGTAGGGGTGGGGCTATTTTAATTCCAGAACTGAAGCTTTAACCATTGAACAGAGGCTTTTCTCTGTGTCCTCAGCAGTAACGTGGAGGTGTTTACTTCACTTACCTGTCACTGGTGTCTATGAAGATGTAACAAAATCTCATAGGAACATTAAGCTGCTACGCAAGTGTAAGGAGGTATTGTGGGGCCACACTGTAGTGCTGCTCCAGCAACACCAGCTTCCCATATTGACACTGGTCCGAGTCCTGGCTGCTTCCTGCTAACGCGCCTGGGTAGGCAGCAGAGGATGCCCAAGTGCGGGGGTGCTTGCTGCTCATGTGGGAGACCTAAATGGAGTTTCAGGTTCCTGGCTTCAGCCTGGCTCAGCCCTAGCCATTGTGGTCATTTGGGGAGTGAACCAGCTGGTAGAAAATCCTCACCTCACCCCATCTCATCCCCACCCCTGCACTCTGTCTGTCAAATTGAAAAAAACAAACAAACAAACAAACAAAAAAAAAAACCCTTGTTTTTTGAAGTGGTAGTGTGCTAGTCTCTAAAGAATAGGCACTATTTATATAGCTAGTGTTCTGTACTTTGTAATCATTAAAACTTTTGACCTTAGGCTATGCTGCATGGCATAGGCATCATTCCCATTTTCCAGAGGTGATAACAGGCTCAGTGAAATTTATTCAACTTGTGCAAAGACGCACCAAAAACTTGCATACTGTACTGTCTCTCGAGTTTTAGAGGTTGGTGTATTTTGATTGGTTTAAGACATTTTCATCAAGTTTGCTTCATTTCTTACAGGTGTCTAAAACAGGTGTCACTATTAACAGTGTCTGATTTTTAAGACAGTGTATCTAAGTTATGCCTCCAATTTTGATTATTCTCATAGGGCTTCAATTCTGTTGTCTTTGTGTTTATTTACATATTCTGAATTTGTCTTATTTGATTCAGACTTTACCTGTTAACAATGAAGCCAGCAGGTTTTCTGTCCTTGTTCTTGAGTTATGTTCCAAAGATGAAAAATTAGGGACAAGGTCGAAGACGAATATGAGTAGTTACTAGGGAAAGGCTACCAAAATTGATGTGCCATGTTTGTTCTTTTAGTCGTGGGGTCTTTGGTTATGTAATGAATGCTTGTCCTCAGATCAGAGAGCAGTATGGGAGAAGAGATGGTGAGTGTGAGTTGGATAGGTAGTTAGCAGAAGAATTTGACCCCCGTCAGTGATGTGTCCCAAGAAGACTTGAGTTGTGAATGAGGCTGTCCCTGAACACTTGAAGCTTCTGTTCCTTTAGGATTGTTTTTCGTAGTGCCTTTGAATTTAGATGGCTTACTGTGGAGGTATACTTTACTGGCTAATCTTTTCCACCCCTTTTCTTTTGTTGGGATTAGTGCCAGAACAGATAAAGCCCAGTGTAAGCCAGCCTCAGCCTGCCAACTCTAATAACGGCACTTCCACAGCAACCAGCACTAATAATAATGCCAAGCGAGCTACAGCCAACAGTCAGCAGCAGCAGCAGCAGCAACAGCAGCAGCAGCAGCCGCAGCCGCAGCAGCTACAGCAGCTACAGCCGCAGCCACAGCCGCAGCCGCCGCAGCAGCAGCCACAGCCGCCACCACAGGCCTTGCCTCGGTATCCTCGTGAAGTACCTCCACGATTTCGCCACCAGGAACATAAACAGCTTCTAAAGAGGGGTCAGCATTTTCCAGTCATAGCAGCAAACCTGGGATCTGCTGTTAAGGTGTTAAACAGCCAGTCAGAAGGCAGTGCTTTCACACACCAACAGCCACAAAATAACGGAGAGGTGCAGAGCAGCAAAAACCAGTCAGGTGAGAGAAGGCGTTTCCTGCACGGCTCGTCGCTGGCAGTGTAGCAAGGTCATGAACTCAGAGCTTTGTGGTGATGTGTTTGTATTTATCAGGATCTGGGCTTTAATGTCAGATTCTATACAGGAAATTGTGAATGGGGATTCTTAAAATGTTTCCTGTAAGTTACCTGCCCGTCCTACTTTCAAAATGATGATTTTGTTAATTTACTCTCCCTTTAGGTGCTGCCCATTTTAGTAGGGAGCTTATAGCTAAAATTGAGCACTTCTCCCCACGAGTCATATAAGCATTCATACATATTATTGCATTCAGTCCTCAGCAATCCCATGTGATGTAGAATAAGGAAACTGAGGCACCAGGACGTGAAATAACTTGCCCAAGATCACTCGTTACCACAGGCCATAAAAACACTGCCATTCGTGAAAATTACATCCAAATAGAGCAGATGCATTTGGGTATTTGTCTCAGAATGGCTTTTCTCGGCTCAGTAATGACTGACAGAAATAAATTTAATATGGGATTACAAATTTTCTCAAAGCCCAGTTTGTTGCAACATCTGATCATCTGATAGTTGAGTTGGTCCATCCATCCATCCATTTATTCGACTACTTAAAGCTCTACCAGAAGCCCGGTGGGAATGAGGTGCTGGAATGGAGGAGACTCAGGGTTCCCAGACCTGAAATCACTTAGAGAGGCAGTATGGCATACTGATAAAGAAGGAAGTCTAGAGCCACGTGGCTCTGGTTTTCAGGTCGCAGCTCCACTCTATCCCAGTGTGTGTGTGACCTTGGGCAGGTTATTTAATTCTCTGTGTGTCTGACTCTCATTGGAGCAGCCTTTCCTAATTGTCTCAGGTGGAATTACTCCCTTTCTACCTCTATGCTCTCTTATATATACCAAGAACTACTCTGTGCATTATAATATATTATGGTGTTTCACAGCTAATAAGTAGCAGATCCTGGACTCACAGCAAGATCTGTCTGACTCCAAAGCTATGCTCGTAACCACCATGCTGTGCTTTGGCAACATACTGGATGTGATAGGTAAGGAGGAAGAGGACATGATGTGAGTTTTCTAGTATAGGTACTTAGAAATCACAATATTATTGGAAAGGATACAAATTTAAGTTGCCATCCTGAGTTAATACTTACTCCCTATTCCCCTAGCCTCTTATTACCTGTGTGACCTTGGCCAGATAGCTTAACTCATCTGATCTCCCGTAATTTGTACAATGTGGACAGTAGTACCCAATGCTAAGGTTGCTTTGAGGAGGACTGAGTCGTAAGACATGTTAAAGCCATCAGCTCAGTGTGTTAGTACTTAAGTGATGAAGTACTTAGCTTCCCTTTAACTTCTACAGGACTTCTCCCCTTCTCAAGAAGAGTGTGATTTAGGCATATTATATTGAATACCAGGTGATAGGTAGTTGGTAATCTTCTTTGGGCAGGTCGCGTAGAAGCAGATGTGTTGGTCATCAGCTTAAAAAAATGTGATGAAAACCTTGGGGGAGATTATTTATCCAGCAAATGTTTGATTATCTTATGTGAGCTAATAAGCAAGGTGGTATGATAATTAAGAAAACAAACAGCATGGACGAGACACTATATTTAGAAAATATGTTAAATATTCATTTTTAGTTTGGGAGATGAAAGAACAAAGCTGTTTTTGAAGTGGAAACAACAGGAATGTAAGAATCTTGGTTCCAAAAGTGGGTATTTTAGTAAAACAAACCAACAGGCAGGTGTGCATTAGGATGAAAAGAAGGACTAAAGAGTAGGCCTAGGAAGACTTCAAAAAAGGCCAAGAAACAAAATCCTTGCAGTTTCTAATATTGGAGGTTAAAGTGGAAGTAGGAGGCCACAGCAATCTGAGATTTGTAATTAAATCCCCAAACAACTAGAGAATGTGGACAATGTCAGCAAAGCACTCTGGAGAAGAACCAGACTTGTACTTTTATCTTTTAAAACATGTTTCTGAATCCTCACTTACCAGCGTATTGCACATGTTTATGTTAAAATATCTTGGTAGATGCTACTAGAAATGGTAAAAGAAACTTAAGGAGCTTCTTCCAAGTCTCCCATGCCAGTGCAGGGGCCCAAGGACCTGGGCTATCTTCCACTGCTTTTCCAGGCCATAGCAGAGAGCTGGATTGGAAGAGGAACAGCCGGGACTCGAACTGGTGTCCATATGGGATGTTGGCACTGCATGCGACAGCTTTACCCTCCTCGCCACAGTGCCGACCCCTCAGAGAGGGCTTCTTAGAGGAGTTAGATCTGTCAGCTGCTGCTGAGTTACAGGGAGTAGTGGTGAAGACACAGTGACTGTCCCTTATGGAGTACTTACTATGGCTACATGCTGTATTAACTCATTCAACTCTTGTTTTACAGATAAGATAGTATCATCTTCATTTTATAGTTGAGGAAGCAGCTTAGTGGTCAATGGAGGATAGAATAATAGATCATTTAACAAGCATAAGCAAGTTCAGAAACAAAAAATTTATGTTGTGAACTGTGGTTCTGAATTACAGAAACATAAATCTTAGCTTTTTTTTTTTTTTTTTGCCTTTAATTTGAGAGGCAGAGACAGAGAGCCTTGGTTCCCTGGTTTACTCCTCCAGTGCCCTCAATAGGCAGGGCAGAACTAGGCCACAGCCGGAGCTGAAAACTCAGCCCCGGTCTCGCCAGCTGTCTCCCAGAGCCCACACTGACAGGATGCTGGAATCAGGAGCTGAGACCATGTATTGAATCCAGGCTCTTTGATATGGGACAAAGGAGTCTAAAATGCTAGGCCAAATCTGCCCTCAATGACTTTTTTTTTTTTTTTTTAGTTTATTTTTATTTATGTGAAGGGCAGAGCAATGCAAAGATTTTCCATCTGCTTATTCACTTCCCTAATGCCCACAATAGATAGGCCTGGGCAGGTGGAAGCCAGTAGCCAAGATCTCCATGCAGTTCTCCCATCTGGGTAACAGAAACCCCAGTACTTAGACCATAATCTGTATTTCCCAGACACATTAACAGGAAGCTGGCTCAAAAGCAGAGGCAGAACCCCATATCAGGTACTCCAATACTGGCATGAAGTTTTCCCAAACTGGTGGCTTAACCCACTGTGCCACATTGCCTGCCCCTGTATTTGGCTTTCTGGAACACAAATAGTTAATAGAGTGGACTTAGCACTTAAAATAAAGAATATGATTACATAAAAATTCAATGTTTTCATGGTGAAAAGGAGAAATGCTGGATTCTCTTCCCTTGTCTTCATTTCTGGCCAGGCACTGTGGTACAGCAGGTTGACCTGCCACTTGTGACCCTGGCATCTCAACTGAGTCCCAGTTCAAGTTCTGGCTGCTCCACTTTAGTGCCCAAGAGAGCAGAGGATGATGGCCCAAGTACTTGGGCCCCTGCACCCATGTGAGTTCCAGGCTCCTGGCTTCAGCATGGCCCAGCCCCAGTCAATTGAGGCCTTTTGAGTAGTGAACCAGCAGATGGAAGGTTGTTTTCTGTCTTTCCCTCTCTCTGTGTCTAACTCTGCTTGTCAAATTAAATAAATAAATAGGTCTTTAGAAAGAATACCTTTCTGACTTAGTGCAGTCAGAGTAGGGATAGTACTTAGATGAGATTAGGAGTTTTAATCAGAAGCCACAAATAAATGCCCGCAGGGGTAGCAGGGAAGCGTAATGAATGATGGAAACCGTAGTAAATACGTGATTTTGTACCCTTCCTTAGACACCTTTACATTTTCGTTTTCATGTTTGTTTTAGAACCCTGAGTTGATCAAACCAGACAACTCTACAGCCTGATTTCTGGCCTGCTAGCTTATAGCTGTGCCTCCAGCAACTGAGACTTAAAACCTCCTTTTTACTCTTGACTTCTTAGAGCCCAAAGGGATGAGACCCTGTTGCTACTCAAATAACCCTGGAATTTGAGGGGCCCATTAGCCATGTAATGAAGGATTTGGGGGGATTCATAACAATTAACAGTGCTGGTAATAGCACTTAGTGTTCTTTCGGGCCAGTGTTCTATTCCAGTTTTTATTGCCCAGCTGGCTTGAATCATAAAGAAAAGTTTAAAACACTTACATACTCTCCGTTCAAATCTAGTAGTTGTTAACGTAGTCACATCTTGATTTCACACATAATTCACATATATTCAGTGTTGAACCAAAAGTTTCCAAGCATCATGACACTTCACCTTAAATAATTCTACAAGTGTTTTTGTTTTTAAAGTGTAGTCCCCTGTACAACCATAATATCATCACCTCCAAGCAAAAGAATATTAACTGTTCAATAGTATCTTCTAACTGTTTGTTTACAGGTTTTTCCAAACTTGTTTTTTATTTGTTCACAGTATGATACCATTTCTATAAAATATAAAGCATGAGAAACACCAGTATTGCTTAGGGATGAATTCAAATACAGCGACATATAAAGATGTACATGAGTGAGTACCACTAGGTTACCTATGGGGTTACCCACTGGGCAAGGAAGGAAATGGAATCAGAGGACTAAGCACAAGCTTTTTTCTCTATGAATAAGGTATTTCTTATGGGTATTTTTAATAGTTTTCTTTATAGCCTTTCCTATATTTGAAGTGCTTCCTTAATAATAATAAAAAAAAAAAAAAGCTAAAGGACATTTGAAGTGTAATGATGAATGACCTAGAATCAGAAATGTTTTAACCAAAATTGATGGATTCTGGAGATGTTTTGACTGTTGAAATACTGTCTGCTACTCATTTTGTTGCATATTTCTTGTCTTCAACTTGTACGTTACCCTTAATCTAAACACTAAAGTCTCTAGTGTCTTCTAAAAGGAATAAGTTGAAATGCTCTATTCTTCTGAGGCTATTACGGAATTCCCTCCTCTGCTTTGTCTCAGCGTTCTTGAAGGAATAATCTTAAGTGCATTCCATAACGCAGCAATCCTCCACAGTCTGCCTCTTGCTCACTTGACTCAGATGAGCTGTTAATAAAGTCACTGATTTTTGAACGTCAAATCCAGACGTTGCATTTTTTCAGTTGTGGTTAAGTCTCATGTTTTTATCTGAATAAAGTATCTCCATTTTTCACTGCTGACTATTTTATTAGAAGCCCTTTGCCTCTCTGTCACCATCTTCACCTTGTCTCCCTCAGACCTTTCTGCTCCACTTTTACGTTTTGCATAGCTTTTCTTCCACCAGCTTTCAGGTTTTATTCCCTCCCATGGCTTTCCTCAGTCTCCCCGAGTCTTGGGTTTATGTCTTCAGCTGATGCTGGGCTCTTCAGTCTCAACTTGCTGTTCATTGTCTTGCCCCCATACCACTTGCTTCCTCTCAATTCCTTTGCTCAAAAGCTGGTACCCTCACTCAGCTAGTGACCTGTCTGGAATCCTTGGAACCATGTGTGACTCTTCCCTCTCCTTATGTCTCACAGGCCACTGGTTACCTTAGCTTTCTTGTTCCAGCTCCAGAATATCTCTCCGTTGTCCTGTCTCCCCTCACTGTGGCCGCCAGTTGCTGTGGTTGCCATGTTCCCTCTCTGGTCTAGAGCAGCGTCTCTAAGAGTTTATTCTGTAGCTTGTGTCCTCACCATGCTCACCTCATCTCGGAAATCAGAAGCCAGTCGTGGTCTTCATTGCATTTGGCTGTGGTAAATCGTAGATTGGCTTTCAACCTATTTTAGTCCAGTTTTATTGGAAGATTGCCCCACCCATTCATTTTCATATAAGTATACTTTTAAAAGCATGTGGAAAATTGAATTAAAAGATAAGTTTAGGGGCCAGCATTGTGGCACAGCAGGTTAAGCAGCCACCTGTGCCTGCAATGCCAGCATCCCATACCGGAGTGCTAGTTCAAGTTCCACTTGCTCCACTTGCAGTCCAGCTTCCTGCTAATGTGGCTTGAGCGCTTGGACTCCTGACACCCATGTGGGAGAACAGGATGGAGCTCCTAAGTCTAGCCTGACCCACACTTGGCCAATGGAACCATCTGGGGCATGAACCAGCAGATACAGCAGATAGAAGATCGCTCATACTCTTTCTTTCTCTCTCTCTTTCCTTCTTTCTCTCTTTCTCTCTCTCTCTTTCTCTCTTTTTCTCTCCCCCCCATCAAATAAGTCTTTAAAAAATGTTTATTTTGGTGCAAAACATTTTGAAATCCATGCATAGCTTTTTTTCATGATATTCGTTTTCCACGAACTTTCTGAAGACCCTGGATACTATTTGGCTGTTTTCAAGCTACAAGCTACAATGGCAGGATCCAGTAGTTGCCACAGAACATCTAGCCCCCTAAGCTTATAATACTTACTAACAGGACAAGCTGGCCCACCCTTGGACCAAAGGTTAGAATTACTGAGGAGACATCTTGAACTTTCCTGAGAACTGTTAGAAATTGTGTATTTAAGGTTCTCGCATAGTCTCAGTAGAACCACCTCAGACTTTGGAAACACTGTAAAATCTCACTACCTCTGAAACTCCTTTCTTTCTGGTAAGACTGAAAGTCTTTTAAGGAAAGCAGAAAGTAAATATTTATTCTGTTTTGTTACGGGCTATATTTTTTAACGAAAATGAATGAATTCTCATGCATTTTACTGAATAAATTAATGCCTTATCTCATGAGTCACTTGATGTGTCACACGTCTTTGTGCTCCTATGCAGAGGCTCTTCAGTGTCTTTGTGTAGGCTTTCTGCAGTGGACTGCCATATTCTGAGCTCTGGCTCTGTGGCTGCTGCCCCTTTGTATGATCATTTTGTTTAAGTGTAGGATGCTGATGATATTTTGAATTTCAAATGTTTCTGCAAAAATGTGCAGCCTTCCAAGTCTTACTTTGTCTACAGTATTGCAATTTATAAAATTGGTATTTTACTCCTCTGAAACTCAGCTGCCCCCTCTCCTGTCACCAGCACAGGGATATACAATCTTAATGTTCCTCACTATTGCCTGGAAAACTTTGTGGGACTTCTCTACTTAATGTGCATTCATCCACTCAGAAGTAGAGTCTGGGCTTCCTTGTCCTTAAGGGAAATGCATTATTTGCTGCCTTCTTACTATGAAGTTGGCTTTGACTCTGAAACATTGCAATTGTGGTTTCTGAGAAGTCCTGTTTTTACTGCTTTAGTGAGAATAATATCCCCACCCCTTTAATTTTTCTTTCTAAACTATAATCATTTTTATAACCAAGGATCCCTTGTGACTCACCCTTGGTGACCAAGTTTTCAAAATAGGCTTTATTTTGAAAGTATCAAGTAGGTTTCAACTTTAAAATGACATTTTAGTTAGTAATTACTGATTAAATCTCTCCTCCCCCCCCCCCCAAAATATACAGAAAGATATAGCAAAAGACAAACACCCCACTACCTTCAAGCCAGGTCATGACAAGAAGAATCTGAGAGAACTATTCACTAACATTAAAGATGATAAAGCTTGCACAATGCGTTCTTGTTTTTATTTATTTTTTTGTTTGCTTTTTGTGAATTCTTACATCAAAAAGCTTAAATCTGGGGGAGAGGCGTGTGTTGCTGTGGTGTAGCAGATTAAGCCCCAGCCTGCAGCACCAGGCAGCCCCTATGGGCACCGATTCGAGTCCTGGCTGCTGCCCTTCCGATCCAGCTCCCTGCTAATGCAGGCTGAGAAAGCAGCGTGAGATGACCTAGATCCCTGGGCTCCTGTCACCTACTTGGGAGACCTGGAAGAAGCTGCCTCCTGGTTTTGGCCTGGCCTGGCCTAGCCCTGGTCATTGTGGCCATTTGAGGAGTGAGCCAGTAGATGGAAGCGTTTGCTTGCTCTCTCGCTCTGTCTCTCCATCTCTCCTTCTCTCTCTGTAACTCTGCCTTATAAATAACAAAATAGAACTTTAAAATAAATAAAATATTCAAGTCTGTCATTTCTTTTATGGTTTCATCTGTTATCTTTAATCTTTTAATTGTCTAGTGTTATTTTTGATATCTTATTATAAAAATATTTTTCAAATATCAAGTATTTTTCTTTGCTAAACTTTGAATTAATACTTTATCTTTTTACTTTATATCTGGATCTGTTTGGGGGTTGCTTTCCCTGGTCATTTGAGTTGCTTCTCTACTCTGGTGATACATTGCTGTTTAACTATTGGGTGATAATGCAGATTCTTTCTCATAAACTCTTTTAAATTTTTCTGAGGATTATCTTTTTTAATATGAGTTTAAAGTGACTTTTAATATTATATTTATCAATGACTTCTCAAGCTTAGAGGTTTCATTACTACATCTTACTGTGAAGGAACAAGTTTCTGTAATTGTCTTCTGTGGCCTGCTATGAAGTACAATGTTAGAAGACACACATTTTTCTTAGCTCAAGTTATTTTATGACAACCAATGGTTAGAATCTTACCACATTTTTTTCACTGATTCTTCTTAGTATATAGAGAAATTATTGTTTTTTACATGTTGATCCTTTCTGTCTTGTTTTTGCATCATATTTCATGGGTTAATACTTCTAGCACAGATGGAATGATACTGATGAAGATACATGTTCCTGTCTTTTGTCTATCATTATGGAAATGCTTCTTAGGTTTCATTTTTAAATTCTCAGTACACTCTTTTATTTTCAACCTGGGTAGTTTTGTTTCAGACACTAAATCTTTACCTTTTTTTTTTTTTTTTTTTTTAAGATTTATTTGTTTTTCAAAGAGTTACAGAGAGAGAGGGAAAAATCTGTCTGCTAGTTCACTCCCCGGGTGGCCACAATGGCCAGTTCTAGGCCAGGTTGGAGCAAGGAGCCAGGAGCATCATTCAGGTCTCCTATGTGGGTGGCAGGGCCCCAAATGCTTGGGCCATCTTCTGCTTCTTTCCCATTCCATTAGCAGCGAGCTGGATCAGAAGTGGAGCAGCTAGGACATGAACCAGCACCACCAGGGACACCACAACTCCAGCCCCTGCCAATCTTAACATTCCTACTGCCGCCTTATGCAGTTGGCAGCACTCACACACAAGCAAGTAACAGCAGCAGAAGCACTTGTCCATGGTCCAGGAGGGTATGTTGATGGCTGTGCTGTTTATGATTTTAGAAAGTGTATCAGTTTGGGACTTTGTTGTTTTAGTGTGTTGTGCACAGGATAATGTTGGATTTTAGGAAACTTACCGAGGTAAGGAAAACTAGTACAAAACGGATTCCCCCCTTCTAGAGGAGCTTTCTGTTTGTGTGTCCATCTAGTAATTAACGTTCTGTTTGAGACATCTAAGTGGAGATTTTAAGTGAACAAGTTCTTACATGATTTCTCATGTTCTTCATGGTGGAGTAAGAAACATATTCTTTGGAGATAGGACTAGAAAATGATGATAACTGTTGGCATGCGTTAATTAACAATAACCACCCTTGTTTATTAAGCCCCTATTCTGGATCAGATAAGGTTCAAAGCACTTTTATTAATTGATCGTTTAATCCTCACACCAGTTGTATGAACTTGGTGTTTTTGTTCCCACTTACAGATGAGGATCTTGCCTGTGGTCCCAGAGCTAGTAAGTGATAGTGTTTGCAGCGGAAGCAGTCCAGCTCCAGGATCTGTGCTTTGGCACTGAATCAGACTGCCTCTTAGGGAGCACGCATTTGTAGCCAGCATCCAGCTCTATACTTTACTTAAGGTGGAGTGGTTAATGAACCAGCAGAGCTACGGAGTACAGTTTTGGTCCCTGTTTGTAGCTTTCGTCTTACAGCAGCTGCTACATAGAGTCTTGGTTTCAATGTAGGTGTTCATAAAGCCACCTTGCTTTATGGACGATTCTGATGAATCCTGCCCTTCTCCCCTGCTTTTCCACATGTTAACCGCTAAATCTCCTTTTCCATGTCTGCAAAATGGAGGTAATGCCTGTGCTGTAGGGTTGTGGCCAGGATTTGATGATGAAAGTTAGTCCAGTGCTTGTGATACACTGGTACTAAATGTCAGGCATTTGTTGATGGTGCCAGTGCAGCTGTTGGTATGTGGATTCATTCAGCCTGATATGGTGGTGTTCTTTGTTTCGTGAGAAATTTTCCTTATGCCTATTAAAAGATGACAAATTTTTTATGGCAACTTTTTTTTTGAGATGTATTTATTTATTTGTAAGGCAGATAGAAGGTGAGGGGAGAGAGAGACAGAGATCTTCTATCCTCTGGTTTACTCCCCAACTGGCCGCAGTGTCCAGGGCTGGGCCAGGCCAAAGCCAGGAGGCAGGAGCTTCTCCCCAGTCTCCCAAGTGGGTGGTAGGGACCCAGAGATCTGGGCCATCTTCCACTGCTTTCCCAAGCCACGTTACCAGGGAGCTGGATTAGAAGTGGAGCAGTTGGGACTCTATGTCCATAGGGGATGCCAGTGCTGTAGGTGGAAGCTTAACCTTCTACACCACAGCGCTGGCCCCTTATATGGCAACTTAAAGTAATGATTCTTAAACAGAGAGTGCAAGTGTCACCAATAGAACTTTGAAATAAATACCTGGTGAGTTATATATACATTTCTGGTTTTTCTCTGGTCCCCTTTCTAGCTCATTGTCTTTTGCTTCTTAACAGTTGCTTTGAGAGGAAAAAATGCAAACTAAATCTGATTTTGCATAATAGCAAAGCCACCTAATAGCAACTTTTATTTCCTAGGCCTATGACCCCTGGAGGTTGTTTCGTTAGTTCTGGGTCATACTTGATCCATTATGTGGGATTCTGATTCTTACTGCAGTAGCGAATTATAGGATAAGCACCCTCCTCAAGACAATCTAAATGCCAACATGCTATACAGTTTAATGTCTCTGAGGACTTTGTAGGCACCAGATCCTTAAACAATGAGAATGAAGAGTCTTGGGAACTAGCAGAAGCAGTAGAACTGCCCTATCTGTAGCAGTACGTCTAAGATTATAGTTATGTGACTGGTCATTGATGATCTTCAGCGTTAGCAGTTCATGGCTTTATCATAACAATTGTCTCAATAAACGTGGCTATGAAAGAAGGTCAATTCAGAAATTTTTATGATGGGGAATCAATATTTTTGCTTGTATGCAATATTTCAGATTACATATGGAATTCTTAATAGACTTGTTATACTACCCAAAACAGTTGTGGAAAAGGTACTCTAGGGTGTGGAGAATGGAGAAAGGATTCCGAATACATTTCATTGAATTTGGGATCTACCCTTTGCTTACAATTCTGTATCCCAGCCCCCTTTTACCCGTGTCAAGCCTCCGGGCCTGGATTGCTCCATTTTCCTAAAATGTCCCTACCATCCATGTCTTTCTTGACTCCAGAACTCACTCATCAGTGTGTTAATAATTTTTTTGCTCAGCAAATGTTTATTGAGGAGCTCTTGTATTCCAAACACTGCCGAGGGTCTTAGGATAACATCAGTGAATGAAACAAACTTCCTAGCTTGTATGGAATTCCTGGATGTGGAAAGTTGATGGTTGGAAGATAATCACTGATGCCCTTGTAACCGCAGGGCCAAGTATCATATCACATTAAAGTTGAGGAATCACATGTATTCATAATATGTTCACCTTTTTCTAAGGGCTATTTAGTGTCAGTTTGAAATGACTAGCACTTTATAAATAGTTGTACTTCTCCTTTATTCTAGATATAAACCACAACACTTCAGGATCCCAGTATGAAAATCCCCAGCGGGGACCTCTGTCTTCTGCGAGTGACCCTAGCACAAACTGTAAGAATGCTGTTGTAAACGACTTGTCAGAAAAAGAAGCATGGCCCTCAGTCTCTGGCAGTGATCCAGAGTCAGCTTCAGAATGCATGGATGCTGCTTCTGCCTCCAGTTCTGAATCAGAGAGAAACATCACTATCATGGCTTCAGGGAGCACAGGTGGTGAAAAAGATGGCCTTCGGAATAGCACTGGACTTGGTTCTCAAAACAAGTTTGTGGTTGGTAGCAGCAGCAGCAGCAGCAATAATGTGGGCCATGGAAGTAGTACTGGGCCATGGGGTTTTTCCCATGGGGCCATAATAAGCACATGTCAGGTCTCTGTGGATGCTCCTGAAAGCAAATCAGAAAGTAGCAACAATAGAATGAATGCTTGGGGCACTGTAAGTTCTTCATCAAATGGAGGGTTAAATCCAAGCACTTTGAATTCAGCTAGCAACCATGGTGCCTGGCCAGTATTAGAGAACAATGGACTTGCCCTAAAAGGGCCTGTAGGGGGTGGTGGTTCTGGCATCAATATTCAGTGCAGTACCATAGGCCAGATGCCCAACAATCAGAGTATTAACTCTAAAGTGAGTGGTTCTTCTACCCATGGTACCTGGGGAAGCCTTCAGGAAACTTGTGAATCTGAAGTAAGTGGTACACAGAAGGTTTCATTCAGTGGTCAGCCTCAGAATATCACCACTGAAATGACTGGACCAAATAACACTACTAACTTTATGACCTCTAGTTTACCAAACTCCGGTTCAGTACAGAATAATGAACTGCCTAGTAGTAATACAGGGGCCTGGCGTGTGAGCACAATGAATCATCCTCAGATACAGGCTCCATCAGTTATGAATGGCACTTCCCTTTCTCATCTTAGCAATGGAGAGTCAAAAAGTGGAGGCTCTTATGGTACTACATGGGGTGCCTATGGTTCTAATTACTCTGGAGACAAATGTTCCGGCCCGAACGGCCAAGCTAATGGTGACACTGTGAATGCAACTCTAATGCAGCCTGGCATAAATGGGCCTATGGGCACTAACTTTCAAGTTAACACAAATAAAGGAGGAGGAGTGTGGGAGTCTGGGGCAGCGAATTCCCAGAACACATCATGGGGAAGTGGAAATGGTGCGAATTCTGGAGGAAGTCGAAGAGGATGGGGAACCCCTGCACAAAACACTGGCACTAACATACCCAGCGTTGAGTGGAACAAACTGCCTAGCAATCAGCATTCCAATGACAGTGCAAATGGCAATGGGAAGAAGTTTACAAATGGATGGAAATCTACTGAGGAAGAGGATCAGGGTTCTGCCACATCTCAGACAAATGAGCAAAACAGTGTGTGGGCCAAAACAGGAGGTACAGCGGAGAGTGATGGTAGTACAGAAAGCACTGGACGCCTTGAAGATAAAGTAACTGGGGAAAGTCAGAGTAGAGATAGAAGAAAAATGGATCAGCACACATTACTCCAAAGCATTGTAAACAGAACTGACTTAGATCCACGTGTCCTATCCAACTCTGGTTGGGGACAGACTCCTATTAAGCAGAATACTGCCTGGGATACTGAAACATCACCTAGAGGGGAACGAAAGACTGACAATGGGACAGAGGCCTGGGGGAGCTCTGCAACACAGACTTTTAACTCAGGGGCATGTATAGATAAGACTAGCCCTAATAGTAATGATACCTCATCTGTATCGGGGTGGGGCGATCCCAAACCTGCTCTGAGGTGGGGAGATTCCAAAGGCTCAAACTGCCAGGGGGGGTGGGAAGATGATTCTGCTGCTACAGGAATGATCAAGAGCAATCAATGGGGGAATTGCAAGGAAGAGAAGTCCGCATGGAATGATTCGCAAAAGAACAAACAGGGATGGGGTGATGGACAAAAATCAAACCAAGGTTGGTCTGTTTCTGCCAGTGATAACTGGGGAGAAACTTCTAGGAGTAACCATTGGGGTGAGGCCAATAAGAAATCCAGCTCAGGAGGGAGTGACAGTGACAGATCCGTTTCTGGTTGGAATGAACTTGGTAAAACTAGTTCTTTTACTTGGGGAAATAACATAAATCCAAATAATTCATCAGGATGGGATGAATCTTCTAAACCTAATCCTTCCCAGGGATGGGGAGACCCTCCAAAGTCTAATCAGTCTCTAGGTTGGGGAGATTCATCAAAGCCAGTCAGTTCTCCAGACTGGAACAAGCAACAAGACCTTGTTGGATCTTGGGGAATCCCACCAGCCCCCAGCAAACCTCCTGGTACAGGCTGGCTGGGGGGACCTATACCAGCCCCAACAAAAGAAGAAGAACCCACAGGCTGGGAGGAACCATCCCCAGAATCTATACGACGCAAAATGGAGATTGACGATGGAACTTCAGCTTGGGGAGATCCAAGCAAATACAACTACAAAAATGTGAACATGTGGAACAAAAACGTCCCAAATGGCAGCAGCCGCTCAGACCAGCAAGCCCAGGTACATCAGCTGCTGCCAACTGCAAGTGCCATCTCAAACAAAGAGGCGAGCAGTGGCTCTGGTAAGTTCTCTCTGTGGAATCTAGTGTTACCAAAGACTTCACAGCATTCTGAAAGTGAGCTTGTTTCAGCTTACTGTTACTGTAAGATTGCTTTAACAAATTACTTGAATATGTACTCACAGGCCTTGACTGTAAAAGTTTGAGAAAAATATAGGGGTGATGGTTACCTTGAGGAAACAGCTCCCCTTTCAGCAAGGTGTTTGTGAATCCTGCGTCCATCATTCTCTGTTAGGAAAACAACAAAAGGCAGAATTGGAAAAGCGGGATCCAGTGGGAATGTTGTTTTCTCCCAGTTCTGAATCAAGCCTTAACTTTTTGGTTTCCTTATTTGATTAAAATATGTCCACAAGTAAGTACCTAAGTGCAGTAGGACTCTGTAGACATTAGGTACTATATCTGGCCTTCGAAAGCCTTTTTTTTTTTTTTTTTTTGAATAGGAATGAAACCCAAATTTAAAACATCCAACAATGCCTTTTCAGTAAATTCTTTCTTTCCTTCTCCTTCTTACAGTGAACTAATTGCTTTCTTTGTAGATTATCCTGACAACATTTTCATAAAGTATAATTGGCACGCATTGTCTTTGTTAACTTAGGGACTTAATTGAACATAGAGATTAGAGTGTTTTCATGAACTAACCTTGTAGCACCTATTTTTTTTTAGTCGGCGTATAGTATACTGTAGCAATTTAGGCTTCATTTATAGATGAAAAAGGTATGTATCTAAGGGAGAGTCTGTTTCTTTTGATTCTTTTAAACAAAATATGAGAATGGCTTTGATTTTCTTCACTTTGGACAACTTCAGCCTAATGATTTGGGTTTTTAATAAGTGTTTCCCAGCTTGTCTATTTTTAGACTGCTTACCCATTGTTAGTCTGGTAATTGATTGTTTTTGCAGTACAGTGATATGGAAAGGTTAAAATTGTATCCATATAGTACTTTACAAGCCTCATTACTTGCCTCAGTTCACTAGGGTTGGTTCAAATAGATTTTATTTTTCCAGGAATTAAATTCATCCTCAGAGGAAGGTGATTTTCTATAATTGAGGTTTTTGAAGAGAATCTGCTCTAGGTACAGAGGGCAATTAGGAAAAAAGAAAACTTTTAAAAAATTCACAGCATATAGGTAAATTATGTTAATAAATGATTTGTCTTTACGTAAAACAGATACTGTTTTGCCTATATCAGAGCATCATTATCCAACATGTCAAATGAAATTCTTTATCCTTGATTACCTAAGTGTTCTTTATTTATTGCTTATTTCGCTGTACCCCCCTTACCATCTATGCTGATAACTTCTTTTCCCACACTTTTTAAAGGCTGGGGTGAGCCCTGGGGGGAGCCTTCTACTCCAGCCACAACTGTGGATAATGGTACTTCAGCATGGGGTAAACCCATCGACAGTGGTCCCAGCTGGGGGGAACCCATTGCTGCGGCATCCAACCCATCCACGTGGGGCTCCAGCTCTGTTGGTCCACAAGCATTAAGCAAATCTGGTAAGCTATTAGCAATCTCCGGTAACTGTTGCAGTGGTGATCATTTGACTATAATTGGATAATGTTTCTCTATTGATAATGTATCCATATAATATGCCATACTAAATGATATTCAGTATTTGGTTTGCTGTTTTTACTCTTTCTGAATTTTCTCTCATTTTCTTAGAACTATGACTATTAACAATTTCATCTCTCACCAAATCTGAACTGTATTTTACCAGATGGGATTATCTGGAAATAATCTAGCAACTTTCATGCCATCCAGACTGAGAGATTGAAGAGTGTAACCTTGAGGGCACATATCCGACTGTCAGATTATTTCCCAAAAATTACACAGAAAATTAGCCTGGCTCAGAAAGGACCCCTAGCTTCTGATGTTGCTGTCCTGTAAGATTGTGCATAAAACATAGCCCATGGAATCCCAAAGCCATGTGTGGAGATAACAGTGGGTTTTTTTGTTTGTTTGTTTGTTTTTTGTTTTTTGTTTTTTTTATTTGAAAGAGTTAGAAAGGAGAGACAGAGAAAGAGAGATCTTTCTTCCACTGGTTTACTCTCCAATGGCCACAGTGACAGGGACAAGGCCAGGCTAAAGCCAAGAGCTTCTTCCTGGTTTCCCACGTTGGTGCAGGGGCCCAGAGACTTAGGCCTTCTTCCGCTGCTTTCCAGACACATTAGCAGGGAAGCTGGATCAGAATTGAAGCTAAGAACTCAGTTGGTGCCCACCTGGGATGCTGGTGGTACAGGCCATGGCTTAACTTGCTGTGCCCCAGTGCCAGCCCCAGATATGGTGGTTTCTACTTATGACTTAAAATACTTTTGGCCACTCTTTTTGAAAATACTTATCAGAATTGGTTCTTTCAAATTTTATCCATCCTCTTTGTTCTGTGTGTCACTAGGCAGATTAAGTGGGTACAAAGGAAAATACTACCATTGTCCATGTTAAGGAGCCCTCTTATTTGTAAAGACATGGAAGAAGTCTTACTAATTTATTTTAAGATTTATTTATTTCTTGGAAAGGCAGAGTTATAGAGAGATTTTCTGTCCACTGGTTCACTCCCCAAATGGAAGCGGGAGTAAGGAGCTGCTTCAGGGTCTCCCCAGTGGGTGGCAGGGGACCAAATAATACGTGGGTCTTCTGCTTTTCCCAGGTGCATTAGCAGGGAGCTGGGTCAGAAGTGGAGTGGCTGGGACTTGAAGCAGTGCCCATATGGGATGCTGCCTTCACTGGTGGTAACTTAATCAGTAGTTGCCAGTGCCACATCACTGGCCCTGAAGCTTTAAATGAACTCATTTTGAATGACACTTTTATTTCAAAATATACATTTCCATTATGCAAATTTGTGAAGGGAAATTTTTTTTTAAAGTCTTTCCTGTTGTCTTAGGGCCCCTCTCCCACTTTTTAATGCATGCTTGTCCTCCAGAAGGAATTTTTTAATTAAAATGTGTTTCTCTTTGTGTCACAAATCAACAATCAGGGCCAAAATCTATGCAAGATGGCTGGTGTGGTGATGATATACCATTGCCTGGAAATCGCCCCACTGGCTGGGAAGAAGAGGAGGATGTCGAGATTGGAATGTGGAATAGTAATTCATCTCAAGAGCTCAACTCATCTTTAAATTGGCCACCATACACAAAGAAAATGTCATCGAAGGTAAACACTTCAAGGGAAAAACCCTTGAAACTTTAAATTCCAAAGGTAGTTTACCCACAGAAAATTAATCTCTTGCCTGCCCATTTATGGCACTCAGTACAGTGCAGGCAGTCCCCACATAGTATAGCCTCTCGTCTGGGCAGCCACCTAGAAAAACAAGACCACAGGAACTTCCTTTCTCCCCACTGCTACAGCTTGGGATTTCTCTCCTCCTCCCCCTTCACCAGTGCTGCTTGGGACAACCCCTCACCCCAGGGTGGTGCCTGCAATGGTGAGGATGAAGAGAAGGGCAAATCTCCATGTTGACTTCCATCCCACTGCCAGTTCATCTCCCATCCCACCTCCCCCCTGGAGTCCCTGACCTCCCCTTTACCCAGAGTCACCGTCCTCTTTATTTATCTGCCATCATTGTCCCTTCCTCATCCTAAAAGGTCCTGTGACAAAAATCCCTAGGAATGGGCCAAGCTTGACTTTGCTTTTATGTATGGATAAATTGTGTTCCTGAATCTGGCTTGGCTGTTCATCAGAATCTTGTGACATTTATTAAAAATATAACTTCTTTACCCAGTGTCTCCTGAATTTTTGGAAATCGGACCAAGTTTCCTGTCAACAGGCCCCCCAAGTGTCTGATGGAGAGCCAAGTTTAGGAACCACTCTTCAAGATCATTGGTTCCTAAGAGGTGGTACTGGGTGGATGATGGCAATATATGCCTAGTCCCTTAAGTGATTCTAATACAACCTCCCCTCCTTAATTGAAAATGATTACCTTTTGAGGGACCTTAGAAGTCAGGTATCCAGTGGGTTGCTGGAATAGCTGACTGCCAAAGGTTCCTCCCTTTTAATCCTGGGATTGTAAGTCTCGGACCTGCCATTTTCATTTTTTAAATTATTCATTTGGCTGAATTTACCTGTTGCCTTGCCATGTAGCTTACAAAATGCTTTTTACATGTTTTACATAAATCATTTGATCCTCATAACCTTCTAAGGTAGGATAGTGATGAGGAGTTTGACACTGGAAAAGGTGGTGACTTGCCCAAAGTTGCATAACTAGTAAGTGGCAGAGCAAGGACTTGAGTTTAGGTCTTCCAATTCCAAACCCTGTGTTCTTCCCACTGGACCGTGCTGTTTTGTGACTTTGTCTTTCCTTACAGGGTCTGAGTGGCAAAAAAAGGAGAAGGGAAAGGGTGTGTAGCCTTTTTACTCTTTCTCCTTTGTTTCTGCTAGTAAAAATCTTTAGAAAGCAACTGCAAACATTTATTTAGCCTCTGCTGTGTGCCAGGTACTGTGCTTGGTGCTGGGGATTGAGATGCACTAAGATGAGCTACACCTTCGAGGAGCTCGTAGTCTGATTTGGGGCCTCAGGAGAGCTTCAAAAAAATATCAGCTGAAGTTTGGAAGATGCCTGGAGGGTGGGATGTGTTAAGGAAAATAGTTGCCTAACATGGCTACAATGTAGAATTTCTAGAAAGAAGTAACAAGGGATCTGGCTGCGTAGTTAGATTAAGGTTAGATTGTGACGTGTTTTCAATATCATGCCAAAGAATTTGAACTTTATTCTGTATAAAGTAAGGAGCCAATGAAATTAAGTAGAAGGCACAATCAGTGGGATTCTTTGTGACTTTTTCAAAAGAAAGCTAACCAGTGAGAGTATGAATGCAAATTGGAGCAGAGGAAAGGCCAGAGTTAGGGATCTCAGGAAACTTGTGCATTAATTCACGTTAGAAAGGAGGTCCTGAATTGGGCAACAAGAGTGGACATATAGTCGAAGGGACTAATTTGAGAACTTTCCCAATATAGGGGACAGAAAGACTCGCCCTTAGAACATGGGGGTGGGATTGAAAGAGGAAAGGGAATCAAAGCCAACTTCAGAAACCCCGGAGAGGGCTAGTTGCTTGCTTCAGAGACCTGCATTTAGGGGGAAAATTATGAAGCCGTGTTCTGTTTCACAGTCAGAAGGAACAGGTAGCAGCAAAGGGAAAAGGAAATTAAGGCAACAGACTGAAAATGGTCCTATGATCTTCCCGTAAGTGGGAGACGTAGGTCTCCATGGCTTGCAGCCTCTGTCTGTCAGCACTGCTGATCACAGGACTCTTGACTATGTCAGTTCATGTCTTCATGCAGTTTCTGTACTGCCCACACTCCAGCCTGCCCCAGAGAGCTGACACTAAGTAGAAGGAGTCCCAGCTTCAGCTACTGCTGGAGGTGTTATGTTCTTGGCAACAGAGATTGAAATTTTAAAATACTTATACATGTGGAAACACATGGATTTTTTGTTTTGTTTTATTTGTTTTTTTTGTTTTGTTTTTTCTTAGTACAGTATACAGAACATAAAATTATGGGCTAAATTGATTTCCTTGGACTAACTTGAGAGCGTACTCATTATTTTTTACTTTGGTTCGATCTGCAAGTTCCAAAAGTCCAAATTATTATTTATCTTATAGAATGCAGTCCATCATATATTGGGAACTGACCGACAGTTCTCCATTACTTAGAGGCCCTTTTTCTTTTTGTGGGTCGTCAAGGCCCTTTGCTTCTGTCTTTTCCTTCTGACTGCTTGCCTTTAGAGATTTCTCTGTACATTACAGCTATACCAGAGGACTGGAGCAAAGGAAGTTGAAAATCAAATAAGTTGATTTTTTTTAATTAATAACAACTCTGATAAGAGTTGTTTGGAGGAGAAATTATTGACTAAAAATGAGAGTTGGGAATTGTCTTTAAGTTTATTAACCCGTCACTGTACCCAGATAAATAGAGATGGCCATGGCATCTTTTCTGCTCTTTTATTTTACAAAGGGAATGATGAAAGGTGGAAACAAACAAGAAGATGCATGGATAAATCCATTTGTTAAACAGTTTTCAAATATCAGTTTTTCGGTAAGTGTGCTTTCTTAGCAGCTCTTTCCCCTTTTGATGATCAAGTCTATAATGTATCCCAATTTCATGTTTTGTTAAAAATCATTCTTTTTTATAGAAATATCCTTGAAGTTAGAGTAAAATTGGCCTACAACCCTTCATTTTTTTTTAACTGTTTCAGCAAGACACTTTGGTCATTTTTCTTATTTGAAATTTTATTGTTGTTGCATGAAGCAGTGAAAAATGAAGCTTCATAATCCACTTGAATTTCACAGATCATGAACATTTTTTTGTTCTGTTGATAATTTATGCTGACATGCTGCTGTTTCTTTCTTCAGAGAGACTCACCAGAAGAAAATGTACAGAGCAATAAGATGGACCTTTCTGGAGGTAAGAGAAGATTAAATCCATTTATGTTTATATTCATCACTGATGGACAGGCACATCTGTGCTGAGACCGTACTGAGAGAACCCTGTCGCAGACCAGGAGAGGGGAGACTCAGCCGCACGGTTGTGGTATTCGTGTGCTTTCCAGTATACATTGAAGTGCATTGATTAAATGACTTGAAGTGTCTTTAAAGTGCAAATCACTGTGCAGAGCGAAGGATCTGGGGGCAGTAGTCTTTGATAGCATCCTCTCAGGAGTGAGTTATCCACCTTGGGGATGCAGCGTTCTTGATCAGGGAGAGTGGAGAAATAGCAGGTTGGACCAAAACTGGGCCAAGGAATACAGAATCGGTGGTTAGGTGAGGGTCAGAGACAGTCGTGGTAAGGATGCTTGATAACACCAGGCTTACTGTTAAACGACAAGGAAGTTGGGGTCTGGATTTGATTCTGTAAGTATGGGATTGAAGAGTTCTAAGTAGAGGAGAGCAACATAATTTGGATTTATGTCTTATAGATTGATTACAGATGACTCCCAGCTTTCTTACCTGGACTGTTTAGTAGGTGGTAAAAAAGTTCATAAACTCAACAAGAAATTAGAGATAGTAATGGGTGGCTGGTAGGCACTAGAGAGTACAGCAAAGAATGTACGAGTAACCGATCCAAGGAGAGGTCACTCACCTCGGGAAAAGACTGCTGTGCCCTCCTCACCCAAACCACACCCCAGACTGAGATCCAGTGTCTTGGGCATGGGCATGACTCTACATGGCAAAGAAGTCCCTATGCTGCCACCCCAGTGGGACTGTAGGAAACCCACCCTCTAAAATAGCAGCTCATAGGACAGGTCACTAGTGACTGTGAGCAAACTGCCAGGGGTGGTGAGGCTGGCCCTGCTGGCACCTGGTGCTGGGCAAGCTGCCTGAGCTGTAGCAGTGAGCACACTAGAGCCAGGAAGCCAGACTCGCTCCTGCAGTGTCTCCTTGTGCCCTCTGCTGGCCAAGCTTCCATGCCAGCTCCCAAAGGAAGAAAATATGTAAAGGGCCCTGATGGGTTTGTGTTTTTTCACAGAGCAAATGGGTGAATTTGGAGCTCAGAGGCAGTAAGTCAGTGCAAGTCCAAACTCAGGACAGTTCATGTCAACTTGTTTCATTTTAGAGATCTGTTTATTTATTTGAAAGGCTGGACCAGGCTGAAGCCAAATCAGTGGAGTTGTCAGAATGGGAGGCAGGCATTTTCTAAGTGGCTCATTGGCTATAATTGTGTGAGAAGCCACTCCCACTTCGACATTTTCATTCCTAGACCTGCAAATTCTTGTAACAAGGGAGACAGTACATCTCATAGTACAACTTATGAGACAGAAGCCAATCCAAAGGATCTTGCCTCCCGCTTCTCTTTGTAGCTGAGTCCTCAACTAGCCATTCTACCTATTGATGTAATTAGCTGCCTTCAGATGGTGGTGCATGTGATAAAAGCAGTTAATTCCACAGATATATCCTTTGCTATGGAATGAGCTTCTTGATCAGACACAGTGCATGAGGGGGACCATGAGAGGAGCTAAGGCGTTCTGTGACAGCATGCATGACAAAAGCTTTAATAGCAAGAAAAATCCATATCTAGGCTATGCATCTATTCCTCTGCCTCCTCCATGGTCCACGGAGTGACAGAGAAGTTGCTGGGACGATGTGCTGGTGAAGTTGCCAGAAAGCTGTCCTGTAGAGTGCTGGAGAAAACTGTTGATAAAGAGATAGCTCACCAAATCTACTACAGAAGTCTGGAGGTATTGGGGCGGGGGCAGGGGATGCTGGAAGCTGGCCGCTAATGCTGCTGACCAGCCAGGCACAGGGAAAGCCATGGAAGCTACCAAAGCCTGCCAAATGAGCACACTGCACTGGCAGCAAAACTTTTCCTCCTGCACTCTCTAGTGACTTCTAATGACAAAGCCTCAATACCAGTTGGCAAAGGAGGAAAAAAGTCCACATATAAATAGAGCAGTCAGAAAGGTTGAATTTGGAGCTGAGAGACAGTAAATCCTTCTCTGGTCATTATTTGATATAAGAAATATAGGAATGGTAAATTTGATAGATAAGAAATTGCATCTATTGTTACTATGAAAACTATGTCATAATGTCCACTAAACAGTAGAAAATCTGAATGTGGAGTACAGAATAGAGCTGGAGATGTAATATGTGTGATTAATGAGACATGAAAGGTACTTAAGGCCCTGTGAATACATTGACCAGAGAGAGTTGTAAGCTAATGAATGGAAGGCAGAATTCTGGGGAGTAAGAATGAGGAGAGAGAGGACACATTAGATTAGAATTAGAGCAGTTTTTCAGAAGGCAAGTGAATACAGTTATGGGAAGAGGAGAGTGGTTGTCAGGAAACAGATGTGACAGCAGGACTTGGAGTAAGCCATTGGTAACGAAACAATCTCGTTAGAGGACTGAAAGACTAAGGAGAGATTCCTACTCTATAGGTTTCTAAAGGGGTGCACAATGTTGGGGAGATGCGACACACTACTTTTTACACAAGCAACAATAACATAGATCACTAGGAAGGGACAGCTTGGAAAGAGATTTTTGAGAAGCGCTGGTTGGAGTTGGTTGCGGTACTAGATGGAGAGAGGGAGAGAGCAAGATGGCCAGCCTGCAGGTATCAGTGAATAGAGGTGCTGCTAGCCAGGGGTAGAGAGAGTAAAGGAAGAGGTCCTTGTAAAGGTTGTTGATATTCAAGGGAAGGTCTTAACATGTTAAAACGCCTCACCCATACTTCAAGAAGCTAATGATGTTTTAAAACTACCTATTTTAAGCATTTTTTTCCTTTTCCACTTGTCTTGAATGAGGGTAGTAAGGGTAAGTATTATGACGGTGGTAAATATCTCAAAGAATAATGATTTGCAAAGAAACAGATTTGAGGAATGAAAGATGTGGAGAGTAAGGTTTAAGGAGAAGTCTTGTGTGAGAAGTGACAATGGTACGTTGAAGTAGATATACTTGTATCTGGAGGTCACTTGATGGCGATGGTTGCTGCCTTGGTAGTACATGAAGCAGGTTTATAGAGGCAGTGAAACACAGATGCTGAGTCATCTTGGTCTGTTCAACACACCAGGGAGGTGGGCTCAGTTGTGCAGGAAGGACAGAAACTACTGAATGTGTGGTAAGGATGGGTATGCAGAGAGCATTGTCTGCTTTTTTCAAAAAGAGGAAGATAAAGAGGAAAAAAGAGATCCTCCATCCGCTGGTTCACTCCCGAAATGACTGCAACAGCTGGGATTGGGCTGGGCCAGGCTGGAGCCAGGCGCTCAACCTAGGTGTCCCACATGGGTGGCAAGGACTCAAGTACTTGATCTCCTTCATCTGCTACCTCCCAGATGCATTAACAGGGAGCAGGATCCAAAGCCGAGGTAGCTGGGACCTGAATCTCTCAGTACTCGGATGTGGGATGTGGGTTGTGGGTGTTCCAAGCAGCAGCTTAACCTACTATTGCCACAACACCTGCCCCACATTGTCCACATTTTAAAAGATTTATGGAAAGGGGATGGTAGCTTAAAGGCTGGCCCAGCAAGAAAAAGACTGTTGGAGAGGCGTTTCCCTCGTAAGTGGTCATGTTTATAGCAGGGCAGTCAGAATTGGGGAGTAATGAACAGCAAGGAAATAGAGGAAGGCATTAATTACCCTGTGTGCTAAACAGGGATGACGGCTATAACCCTAGAAGCATTAAAGAAATACATATAAAGCCCTTAGGGTAGCCCTGGCATTTTTTTAAATAGTAGTTTGTCATGATGGGTTTTGGTGGTTGTTTTTGTTACTTATTAATGGGAAGGATTTTTGTTATAAAATTAACCAGATTCCAGATGACTTCCAAGATGTCTTACATTAATGTTGCTCAGAGCTTGTCTTAAAATGAGATTCTTTGCAACCTTTTGTTGACCAGTCCATTTTCAAGTTAATGGGCTCAGTAAGGTAACAGCATCTGCTCACCCTCCTTCCCTCGGGAGGAATGCAAGGTGCATGCAGTGCAAGTGCATTTCTCACATTCCTGTCGAGGCAGAAGTCATTTCAGTTTGGAAAGTGAGTATTTTGCTTTTCATTGCCAATTTATCTGAATCCTATTAGGTTGTCTTCCTTCTTGATAACATAGTCTCCTGTGTTTATTAGGAATGTTACAAGAAAAGCGAATGGAAATAGATAAACATAGCCTAAATATTGGTGATTACAATCGAACGGTCGGGAAAGGCCCTGGTTCTCGGCCTCAGATTTCCAAAGAGTCTTCCATGGAGCGCAGTCCTTATTTTGATAAGGTAAAGTTTTTTTCTTTTACCTCTGTGACCAATAAACCAGTACACTTAGTAGCATAATCGTCATGTTAATATTTTAGAACATTTTGTATAATCTAAAGTGTTATAATCCAGTGCCAAATCCTATTACTGAATTTACAGTTCATTGTCTTTTTATGTCTCAGTTTAGTATAGAAGTTGCATTTATATTTTCTTCTTAATCCCATGAAATATGTTTGGCTCTTTGTATGTACTCTAAATTAACACTAATCTGATCTCTTCTGTTTTCTACCTGTTTCCTGTTGATGCTGGAATGTCATGTGACTTCTCTTCTGTTCCTGCAATGATTTCTCCCTTCCACTTGTTTGCTTGGCTGGTGTTGCACATCTTTCTGTCTGTCCAATCAGGATGGCATTGTAGCAGATGAATCCCAAAACATGCAGTTTATGTCCAGTCAAAGCATGAAGCTTCCCCCTTCAAATAGTGCACTACCTAACCAGGCCCTTGGCTCCATAGCAGGGCTGGGTATGCAAAACTTGAATTCTGTTAGACAGGTAAGTCCAGACGTGTATTTTAGGCTCTCTGTTGAATGATTTCTATTAGTAATAAGATCTCTCTTACATGTAGTTACTGTGTTTTAATCAATGATAAGATTCGTAATGAAATGGTTCATCCTTAAAGAACTCACTGGTACTTTATTGTTTTTGTAGAATGGCAATCCCAGTATGTTTGGTGTTGGAAACACAGCAGCACAACCCCGGGGCATGCAGCAGCCTCCAGCACAACCTCTTAGTTCATCTCAGCCTAATCTCCGTGCTCAAGTGCCTCCTCCATTACTCTCCCCTCAGGTGAGTACTCCATCCTCTCTGCCTACCTGGAAAAGAGCGTTGCAGAATTTTATATTTGAACAAGAAGACTAGTTGAGCATCAGGATATTTATTGGCGTCTTTGCGATGCAGCTAGTTCTGAATTATACAGAGTGGAGAAAATGAGTCAAGGATAATTTAAATCCAAAGTTTACCATGTTTTTCCTATACTACATCTTGGGAAAAGGACAATAGCAAAAATTACCAGATTAATATTTATTCTGTCATCTTTTGGAAAGACCACAGTTCCCCAGGGACTAGCCCAGAAATGTAACTTCAAGTCCATTGCACATTTAGCTGAGTGAGTTACTTTATGAACATTACTAAGTTACCATTGTGATCGTTAGGTTCCAGTTTCATTGCTGAAGTATGCACCAAACAACGGTGGCCTGAATCCGCTCTTTGGCCCTCAGCAGGTAGCCATGCTGAACCAGCTATCCCAACTAAACCAGCTTTCTCAGATCTCCCAGTTACAGGTAAGGACAATAGTAGTCTTGTTCACTATGCATTTATTGAGTGTCCACTGTGTGCCAGACGCTAGACTCTGTAGAACGTACTGCAGTAAAGGGAGCAGATCCTGGCCCTAAGAGCTTAATGTTGATGAGGGAATACAGGTTGTGAGCAGGCATGTGGAAGGAGTTTTCAGAGAGGTGCAGGATGCTAGGAAAGCAGCCCCAGCCGGGTCTGCAGGCAGGGGACAGGATGATCAGGAAAAGTTTCTCTGTGAAGGGGAGAGTTTGAATTGAAGTAAAGACTGAATTTGAGCAGAATGACTACAAGCCAGACTGTCCAGGCAAGCAGTGATGCGGCTGAGGCAGGGCATGCGTCCGTGGCTCCATGTGCAGCGGTCTCTGAGGTATCCTGAAATGTGGTGTGGTAGTGACAACCTTTTTGCCCTCTTCTCTCCAGCGATTGTTAGCACAGCAGCAAAGGGCGCAGAGTCAGAGAAGCGTGCCTTCTGGTAACCGGCAGCAGCAAGACCAGCAGGTAGATCAGATCCTTCACTTGTGGCGCTGTCCTTTGTTTTAAGAAACTCAATTAGCAGCATTTCCATTGTAACAAGCAATGTGATGTCTTTATACTGAAACTCAATGCAGTGTGGTGTTTGCTATGTTTGCTGTTTGTCCTGAGTCATGTTAACTATTACCATGTGATTATCTTCTTGTGGAGATGAAAGTGAAATCAAAAATGAAGAGGAATGTGTAGGAGTCTATGAAGAATTTTTCCCAATCATTTTGTTGTTTGAAGGGTCGACCTCTTAGTGTGCAGCAGCAAATGATGCAGCAGTCTCGTCAACTCGATCCAAACCTGTTGGTGAAGCAACAGACCCCGCCATCTCAGCAGCAGTCACTCCATCAGCCAGCCATGAAGTCTTTCCTTGATAATGTCATGCCCCACACTACACCTGAGCTGCAAAAAGGGCCATCACCAATAAATGCTTTCAGCAACTTCCCTATAGGTGGGTTTCTCCTTGGCCAGGGCGGTCAGCTGATGCTGTGGTATGACAAGCATGCGCTCTCCTGTCCTACTCTAGCACGTTACTGCTCCATGAAAGCTACATCGCTCCTTTGGCTGTTCCCTCTCACGGTTGCCATAGCCTCTTCTAGGATCAGCCCATACTCATGCTTCAGGGCAGAGCTTTCTCCATTTAAAAATACCACACCATTTCAGAAGTCCTACAGTCACTTTGCTTTTTAAGACTCTGATATTGTAATTGTAGAAGAAGAAGGGGTGGGAAAGGCTAATGGGATTAAAAGAATTAGCACCTGGAGAATTTTTGAGCAGTGTTGCTTTGGAGAAACAAATGGAGTGGTCATAGTCACGTTTGCTAGTTAGAACTTAAAAATCCAGTTGTTTCTAAATATTTATAAATGATTACTCAAAGAAACATAAAATGAGGGGAAGAGAAGGGATTTCGTTGGCTTTTATTCACTGTGTGGAAATTTCAGGCATGTGTGTTACCTCCTTTCTAGCTCCCATTTTTTTCCCTGAGCCCTTAAGTGCAGTTTGCCCCGTAGTTGTGCGTGCCTTGTTCATTTTGTTTTTTCTTTCTTTCCTTACAGTGGTTCTGGTGAGCCTGCTTTGTTCTTTGCTGCCCAGCTGTGTTAACCACTGGTGCTGGGCTGTGGGCAGAGGTTGGGGCATGCTGTTGCCCCTGCTGTTAGTTCTCCCTATGGCTGAATTAAGACATGGTTTGGCTCTCCCAGTATGGCCGTGGACTCTCAGCTAGGGCAGGAATTACCCTTGGGGCTTTGGGGTTGTTAGCGATCTCTGCACATCTCCAGGAGCGGTTCCTTTGTCAGTCAGCACTGGAGGTGAATGTGGTGGTGATGCTGTGATCCCAGAGACACAGGAACAGTGATAACAGAGAACAGTGACTGGTTTTGATCTTAGTATTTGACTCCGTACTTGACCTATAAATTGGGTCAGTCGAGAGATCAGGTCTAAACTGGGGATTTCCTATCCTTGCATTTTAGCAAGAGATTTTTTATTTTTCTTAAGATTTATTTATTTATTTGAAAGAGTTAGAGGGAGGGAGAGATCTTCCATCTGCTGGTTCACTCCCCAGATGGCTCCAATGTCTGGTACTGGGCCAGGTCAAAGCCAAGAGCCAGCAACTTCCAGATCTCCCACGTGGGTAGCAGGGGCCCAAGCACTTGGGCTGTCTTTCACTGCTTTCCCCAGGCCATCACTGGGAAGCTGGATGGGAAGTGGAGCAGCTGGGCTATGAATCTGTGCCCATATGGAGTGCTTTCGTTGCAGGCAGTGGCCTCAAGAGATACTTCTTGTTTAAGAAGTAGAATTGTCTAAATCAGAGTGTTATAGGATTGTATCCATGTCCTTTATGTTAACATATTATCTGTGGCTGCTTTTGTGCTGCAGCAGCTGAGTTCTATCAGGACAGAGACTGGGGGCCAGCACTGTGGCGCCACAGGTTAAAGCCCTGGACTTCAGCGCTGGCATCCCATATGGGTTCCGGTTCCAGTCTTGGCTGCTCCACTTCCAATCTACCTCTCTTCTATGGCCTGGGAAAGCAGGAGAAGATGGCCCAAGTCCTTGGGCCTGAGGACCTGCGTGGAAGACCTGGGGAAAGCTCCTGACGCCTGGCTCCTGGTTTCAGATTGGCCCAGCTCTGGCCATTGCAACCATTTGGGGAGTGAACCAGCAGATGGAAAACCTCTCTCTTTCTTTCGCTCGCTCTCTCTCGCTCTCTCTCTCTCTCTCCCCCTCTCCTTCTCTCTGTAACTCTTCCAAATAAATAAAGCCTTAAAAAAAAAAAAAAAAAAAAAAACAGAGACTATGCGGCCCACAAAGTCTATGATAACTATCTTGAAGTTTTAGAGAAAAAATTGGCAGCCCTTTATCTAATTCATAGCTCCAATTGCAGCAAATTTGCTCTTTGCAAAAATGCGGATGATATTACAGAATGTATGTTATAAAAGTTAACTTTGACAGACCTAATATCACATGGGTTCTCATCAAACCAAACAATTATATATCACCTAATTTGAAATTGTAGATTAAGAACTATTTGGAAGTGGGTTACACAAAGATTCTGGGTCTCCCTAGAAAGTCTTCATTTTTAAAAAACTATTTTAGGTGATTTCATGTAAAAGTTTTCTGACCACTGTATCTTTCTTTCTTTTTTTTTCTTAAGATTTATTTTTTTATGTGAAAGGCACAGTTAACAGGCAGAGAGAGAGAGAGAGAGGTCTTCCATCTGGTTCATTCTCCAGGTGGCCACAAAGGCTGGAGCTGCGCCTATCCGAAGCCAGGAGCCAGGAGCTTCCTCCAGGACTCCCAAGCAAGAGCAGGGGCCTAAGGACTTGGGCCGTCTTCTACTGCTTTCCCAGGCCATGGCAGAGAGCTGGATCAGAAATGGAGCAGCTGGGACTTGAACATAGCAGGCGGCTTTACCTGCTGTGCCACAGTGCTGGCTTCCTCCACAGTATCTTAAAACTGAAATTTCTATCCTCAATTCAAGAGAAAATCTAAGTGGCGGCTAGGATATAGACATTGCCTCCTTAGATGTAACTGTAAGGACAGGTTACTTTTACTTTAAATAACATCCTTTGGGTGGCTGGTGAGCCAGCTGAAAATTGTTTAGTTTGTAAGCAAAAGGTAGTGACTGAAAGCGATTACATATTCTTCATGCTTAGGGAATAGCTAACCTGATATATTTTATTAGAAGTAAACTTACAAACTATATGACTTGGCATCTGTAAAACTGTTTTCTCTCTAATTTTGCAAGGAATTTAAGAACAATCAAAATTATATGGAGAAATAGTTTTCCACATGTAATTATAGTGTTAACATTTTATTGCTTGGAAACAGCCTATTAAATGTTTGAATCTCTGTTTAGGATTCGTACGCACAGCTTTCTCTCTGATAGTCTGGAAGACTCTTTCTCTCGTCAGTGTTTCTGCATGACCTTGGCCAGGAGCCCAGAGAGTTTTCCACCTTCCTCGCCTTCATCATTTGGCAGTGCCAGATTTGCAAGTGATATCTGTTAAGAAACATTAAGCAGAATTGAAAACATTAATTACTTATGTTTTTCTAGGACATAGAAGTAATGGTACCAGCAGGAAAGTATGCTATATCTTATAAATTGTGTTTTCTTTTCTTTTTAAGGCTTGAACTCAAACTTGAATGTAAATATGGATATGAACAGTATTAAAGAGCCACAGTCAAGACTAAGGAAGTGGACTACAGTGGACAGCATTTCTGTGAACACATCTTTGGATCAAAACTCCAGCAAACATGGTATGAAATGTGTTTTCTTTAAAAAAAAAAAAAAGTCTCCACAGAATACTAAACTTAGATCTTTAAGTATATGTTTTCTAAGCCAGCTGATTTTACATCTTTTCCTCATTTTAAAAAGTATTCTAAGGGTAGGTGTTTGGCACTTAAATCACTGATTGGTGCACCAACATCTGAGGGCCTGATTTGAGTCCCGCCTCCCTTGTTTCCAGTTCAGTTTCCTGCTAATGCAATAGGAAACAGCTGGTGATGGCTCCAGTTCTTGGGTCCCTGCCACCTACATGGGAGTCTCAGATTGATCTTTGGCTCCTGGTTTGGCCTGGTCAGGCCCTGGCTGTTGCAAGTATTGGGAGTAAACCAGCAGATGAAATCTGACTCTCTCTCTCTCTCTCTTATCTTTAAAATAAATATCTGTTTTTAAAAATCATATTCTATGAATAAATGTGAAAAGCAAAATCCATCTTTGTTGTGCTGCTTTACAAAGAGGCATCAAATGATGCATTTAAATACTCCCCTTTTGATGTTAATTTCGGGTTTCTGTTAAGTGATTTCATTGTTCTTAAGTTCTTTATAATATTTACTGAATTTGATATTGAAAACTTGGGCCAAAGTTTTATTGCTATCACTTTCTTTATATTGACACATTTACACATTATATTGACACATTATTTCTTTATATATTTTGTTTCTGTGTGTAAGTCACATGAATTTAATATTGTCTTCTCAGCAGTTAAATTTTTTTCTTTTAAGATTTATTTCATTGAAAGAGTTACAGAGAGGGAGGGAAAGACAGACAGATCTTCCATCCACTAGTTCGGTTCCCAAATGGCTGCAATGGCCAGGACTGTGCCACTCAGAAGCCAGGAGTCAGGATCCTCTTCCAGGTCTCCCATGTGGGTGCAGGGGCCCAAGCACTTGGGCCATCTTCTGCTGATTTTCCCAGCTGCATTAGCAAGGAGCTGGATTGGAAGTAAAGCCAGCCAGACACTGACCCGGCGCCACTATGGGTTGTTGGCATCACAGGTGTTGTCCTTACCCACTGTGCCACAACACCAGCCCAGCAGTTATATTTTTTTTTTTCATTTCAAGTTATTTTCATTTATTTGAAAGGCAGAGAGATAGAGACAGAGAAAAATCTTCCATCTATTCTTCACTCCCCAAATGGTTGCAATAACTAAGGCTGGACCAGGCCAAACCCAGGAGCCTGAAACTCTTAGCAGGGACACAAGTCCTTTAGTTGTCACCTGTTGCCTTCCAGTATGCACAATGGCATGACAACTGCAGTCAGAAGCAGAGCCAGAACTTGAACCCAGGCAGTGCTATACGGGATACAGGTGTTCCAGGCAGCATCTTAACTTCTGTACCAAACACTATCCCCTTAAAGCTTCTTTAGAATTACTATTTTCGTCTTACTTAATATCATCCATTTGTTCAGGAAGTATAAATGGACTGTCTTTTGCTTTCTGAGAACTGTGCAAAGCCCCTGGAATACATATGTACATATGCTCATATGTACTCATATTTGAATATATGCGTGTAGAGGTGCGTGTGTGTGTGTGTGTAAAAGTAGCTACCCCTGAGGGGCAAGTTGTAAGCAAAAGTAAACCCGTAAACAGCTTTGTACAGCAGTACAGTAGGTACTGTAAAAGCTGGTGCTGATCATATAATAACACGAGGTTACACAGTAGTATCAAGGCAGGAATAACTGAATATGCGTGGGTATTGAAAGCCTTCATAAATATTCTCATCTTGAAATGAGTCTTCATGTTTTCCAAACAAGTGGAGCAAGAACAACCAAGAGGGTATAGTGTATGTGCCGTTCAAAGAGGACAGCCTGGTGAATTCTTGAATCTGGATGCGTGCGGAGGTGAAGTTACAAAGAAAGGCAGATAAAGTTGGGTAGCAGTTACTTTAACATTTTCTCCTGTATGATGGGAAAAACGTTGACGAGTTTTAGACTAGGAGCTAACATTTGGTTTACATTTTTTAAAGGCTCCTCTGGTGCAGTTTGGTAGTGTAAAGAACAGAATAGCAGGGCCGGTGCTGTGGTGTAGGGGTAGAGCCGCCACCTGCAGTGCCAGCATCCCGCATGGGCGCCGGTTCAAGTCCCGGCTGCTCCTCTTCCATCCAGCTCTCTGCTACTGCCTTGGAGAAGTAGAAGGTGGCCCAAGTGCTTGATCACCTACACACACACGGGAGACTTGAAAGAAGTTCCTAGCTCTTGCCTTCAGATTGGCACTGCTCCGGCTATTGCAACCATCTAGGGAGTGAACCAGCGAATAGAAAGCCTCTCTCTTTCTCTCTGCCTCTATAAAGAAATCCTCAGTAGTATTAAAGGGACATTGAAGAGGCCTAGTAGTATTAAAGGGACATTTTTGTAATAATTCCTTTCTTTTCTGTTGTATCTGATTTTTGAAACTTCAATTCACTAAACTTTGATTAGTGATCAGTTTTCTAGATTGTACAACATTGAGTTGATGATTATCAAGAAAATAAGGGTAAAATTATCTTAAGATAGAAGGAACATTGAACCATAAATCAGACCTGGATTCTAGGTTGATTTGCCAATCAAGGAACCAGCCCAAATTTTTCTTAAGGATGAGAAGGAGGAATTGAGATAATGGGGGTGTTGAGACCTACCTCTGCTACTAAGTAGCTACTTACTAGTAACTTGAATTTTCTGAACTTCAGGTGCTTCTCCTGCAAAATAGGAATGATTATAATGCCCGTTAAGGTGTTTTGAGTATGATCGAGGCGATAGATCCCAAGCACTTACACAGTAACAGAGGATTCGACATATATTTGGTCAGGGGATCTTAGCCATCCTTATTGTTGCCTTTATTGTTATCTCATTACATGCCATGCCTTTTTTTTTTTTTTTTTTTTTTTTTTTTGGACAGGCAGAGTGGATAGTGAGAGAGAGAGACAGAGAGAAAGAGGTCTTCCTTTGCCGTTGGTTCACCCTCCAATGGGCACCACGGCTGGCGCACTGCAGCCGGCACACTGCGCTGATCCGAAGCCAGGAGCCAGGTGCTTCTCCTGGTCTCCCATGGGGTGCAGGGCCCAAGCACTTGAGCCATCCTCCACTGCCTTCCCTGGCCACAGCAGAGAGCTGGCCTGGAAGAGGGGCAACCGGGGAAGAATCCGGCGCCCCGACCGGGACTAGAACCTGGTGTGCTGGCGCCACTAGGTGGAGGATTAGCCTAGTGAGCCGCGGCGCCAGCCCAGCTTCCTCCTGATGAGCACCCTGGAAGGCAGTGATGATGGCTCAAATGATTGGATTCCAGCATTCCGTGTGAGAGACCTGGATTGGATTCCTGGCTCCCTGCTTTAGATTTTTAGGCAGTGAATCAGTGGATACTTACTCTCCCTCAAATAAGTTAAAAAGGGGGGGGGGGGCAGCCATAGAAGAGAGTGACTTGATGCTGCTGCAGACACTGAGTTAGGGATGGGTTAGTGCCCACCAGTGAGTGTCATGAGGAAGGCAGGGGACCAGCTCTGAGTATGAGTAGCAGTCTGGATGCAGCCATAGGAATGGACAGAGGACTCTGCTGTGTTTGATCAGGAGTGAGTTTTATATCTATCACCAGTTCGCGTTTTTTTAAAAATTTATTTTATTTATTTGAAAGAGTTACAGAGAGAGGTAGAGACAGAGAGAGAGGTCTTCCATCCACTGGTTCACTCCCCAATTGGCCGCAACGGCCAGAGCTGTGCCGATCCAAAGCCAGGAGCTTCTTCCGGGTCTCCCACGCGAGTGCAGGGGCCCAAGAACTTGGGCCTCTTCTACTGCTTTCCCAGGCCAAGCAGAGAGCTGGATCGGAAGAGGAGCAACCAGGACTAGAACCAGGGCCCATATGGGATGCCAGCGCTTCAGGCCAGTGCTTTAACTGGCCCCACCACAGTTTTTTAACATTTGCATTACTCCAAAAAGAACTCCTTAAGTTGTCACATCCCTCGTTCTCCCATTTTCCTAGCCATAAACAAAAACCAATCTGTTCTGTACAAGTGTGTCCATACTGGGCATTTCATCTAAATAGTGTGTATGTGTTCCTTAGTGACTGGCTGCTCTGACAGCGTACTCTTCTCAAGGTTCGTCTGCGTGATAGCATGCACGGGAACCTCGTTACTTCCTCGTCATTGTGTTGGAAAATACAGCGGCGTGGTGATCCACTCACTAATTGATGGGAATTTGACGCTAAAGATATTCTTCATTTCCCAACTGCCACATCTGATCCATCAATGAAGAATGGCCGCTCCACTTCAAAATTACATGATTTATCCTGGGTGATCTCTCTCGAGGGCCTCCTGATGGGTTCCCTGCTTCCATGGTTACCTCCCTCTTCTCTGATCCATTTCTTTTTTAAAGATTTATCTTATTTATTTGAAAGACAGGGTTGGGGGTTTGAGGGGTGCAGACAGAGAAAAAGGGAGATCTTCCATCCACTGGTTCACTCACCAAATGGCCTCAAGAGCCAACGGGCTGCCAAAATCAGGAGCCATGAGCTTCATCCAGGCCTCCCACGTGGATGTAGGGACCCAAGGACTTGGGCCATCTTCCACAGCTTTCCTACAGGCATTAGTAGGGAGCTGGATCAGAAGTCGAGCAGCTGGGACTCAAATGGGTGTCCATATGGGATGCCGCCATTGCAGGCAGAGGATTAACCTGTTGCACCACAATGCCAGCCCCTTCTAATCCATTTTCAACACTGCAGCAAAGCGATCTCAACACAAAGCTTCTCTTTTTAAAACCCTTCAATATAAAAGAACTTCCTGTGGCTTGCAGAGTACTTCATGAAAGTGCTGTGCCTTCAGGCAATGGGATATAGTGTGGTTGAAGTGGGAGGGTGTAAGCCAGTGAGTTCCCTGGCCCAGGACTAACTGCAGTGTGCCTGTCACAACAAGGCCCACTGGGTCAGGGACCAGCTTAGCGGGACAACCCATAAGGGTGCTGGTTTAAGTCCCGGCTGCTCCACTTCCCACCAGCTCTCTGCTAATATGCCTGGGAAAGCAGCAGAAGATGCCCCAAGTCCTTGGGCCCCTGCATCTACATGGGAGACCTGCCGGAAGCTCCTGGCTCCTGGCTTCAGACCAGCCCGGCTCCGGCCGTTGTGGCCATTTGGGAAGTGAATCAGTGGATGCAAAATCTCCCTTTCTCTCTGCCTCTCTGTTACTCTGCCTTTCAATGAATAAATAAGTCTTAAATTTAAAAAAAAAAAAAAATGACACATTGGATCATTCTTGCCTTCAAAATCAGGGCCCAGTTCCTTGATGCTGTGCATTCTTCCACTTCTCATTCTTCAGACAGAATAGTTCTCAGTTCCACAAACACAACACGACATCTTTCTCTTTGGGTCTTTGCACAAGCTGTACTCACTGCCTAGAACCACTTCCCCAGTCCTTCACACCCCTCGCCTCTCCTGGCCACATGTTCTCTCCTTCCTGTCTGCTTTGAAGATATATTGTCACTGAGGGCAATACCCCATTGATTGGTCTTGGGCACTTTCCTACATCCAGCATTCGGCGCAGCCACTGCACTGTTCCAGTGAGAGTGTGATGTGCTTTGCTACTTGTAGTAAAGCACTAGTCATTGCAAGGTGTGAGGAATAAATCGCAGGATGACAAGTGATTGTTTCTAAGGTTACATTGTGGCTATATGGGATTACACACTTACTTTGGTAAAGAATGTTTTGAGTGCTGTGTATTTACAAGGAAGTGGAGTATGGGGTAGGAATGTCAACATCCTGGTAGAAAATAGTATTGAGTCTTTGCATTGCAAATACAGGCATCTTGCAGGCATAGTGCTTTCTGGATTCTGAGATAAGCCTCTACCACTGACAGTGATCCTGACCGTGGTTGGTTCTCTGCTGTCACAGTTCTGTTTAGCTTCCTCTGATTCCTCATTTGCATACACACACACCCCCAGTACAAGAATCTCCCCAACAAAGAGTTCACTGTACCTGTTCTTTGTTGTTTTTGTCTTTTTTTTTTCACTTGTTCTTAATTTAGAAATAATTCTAAGCTCTGATTGTGATCCCTTATGATGGCTCTAGTCCCTGTATCCTCCTTGATCTGAAGTCCTCTGATCAGTCTCAGGTCCCCTTCATGTGAGACGTTACAGTGCCAGTAGAGACAAGAGCTGAAGTCTGCAGAGAGCTGTCTTCTCTCTTTGCACCTCTGCACAGTTTACAGAACACCTGGGAACCCACAGATCTACATTTGCTCCTGTACTTTGCTCACGACCATTTTTCTCCTTTTAGGTGCTATTTCAAGTGGTTTCCGGCTGGAAGAGTCTCCATTTGTTCCCTATGACTTTGTGAACAGCAGTACTTCACCAGCCAGTCCTCCAGGTTCAATAGGAGATGGCTGGCCACGTGCCAAATCGCCTAATGGCTCTAGCAGTGTTAATTGGCCACCAGGTAAAACACTAACGGCTTTCCTGAAACTGTGTTTCCAATAAAGCATTCTCACGTTGGGCTTACTGACTAATGATTTCGTCCCATCCTGCGTGGTCGGACTCTCTGCTGGTAAGAAGGGAGCATGGGTGATAGAGGGAAAGTTGGCCATGAGGTCTGCTGTGTGTCCACCTGTTCCCGGTGACTGGACACTCCATGCAGTGAAAGTGGAAGGAGTCCCATAAAAGTCTTAATTCATTGTTCCTCTTCGGCTGAGTCAGGGAATTAACTTGACATTATTTTGGGTTATCCAGAGGAATTGCTAGAAATGCATCCATAGCCACTCTGTCTGACGTCCAGCTGCTGTGGCTTTGTAGTTTGTCATAAAGCACTTTAAAATGTTGCCTCTTTAGAAATACAGTAACCTACCCCTTAAAGTGTACCATTTATATATGCCTGTTTAAATGTTTAACTTATGTTAAAGTTAAATCTATATTTAATAATACATACAATAATTATATGTCTGTTTATGTCTACACACACGGGCAGCAGGTTAAGCCACAGCCTGTGATGGCAGCGTCCTGTCTGGGCGCCGGTCTGAGTCCTGGCTCTTCCACTTCCGATACAGCTCCATTATGCACCTGGAAAGCAATGAAAGATGGCCCACTTGCTTGGACCCCAGACACTCATGGGAGACCTGGATAGAGTTCCAGGCTCCTGGCTGCATCCTGGTCCAGTTCAGTCATTGCGGCCATTTTTGGGGGTGAACCAACAGATGGGAGATCGCTCTCCTTCTCTCCATGACTTTGCATACACACACACACACACACACACACATACATGTATATATACACACATACATATATATCAAAAAATTTCACATTACTCATAAAGAATAATTGATATTATAATGGCTGTATTACTGAACCAACCTATTAGGATATTAGTGTAAATTGGGAAATATGTAAGATTTTAAAAGTTTTAAATGTTTAATAATGTACTTTAAAATGATTATTAAGCCTTAAACTAATTTTAAGCTTCCATTTCCAGAATTTCGCCCTGGTGAACCATGGAAAGGTTATCCAAACATTGACCCCGAAACTGACCCTTACGTCACTCCTGGCAGTGTCATAAACAATCTTTCAATTAATACTGTGCGGGAAGTTGACCACCTCAGGGACAGGAACAGTGGTACGTGGGGGCCCAAGTCCGTTTCTGACGTGCTGGGTGATAGCTTGGGAGTGGCTCAGAAGATGGGAAATTTGGGGCAGCAAGTCACCCAAGCACCTCAGCGGCCCTGCCATCCAAGGGAATCATGGGAATGAAAGCAGGATCCTCCTTCTCCCAGAAGTGACTTGCTTATTGCGCCCTCTACAACGATGAGGGTCCGTCATCCCTTGATGTAGTAAATACATAAATGGGTTTACGTTGACACAAAGGGCCAACAAACATTTGCTTTCCAGTAATTGTGTTAGCAACTAAAGGTTACAAGACTTCAGTTATTAGAAAACAGGTGTTTTGCAGAAGTTTATATTAATTAACAATATATGTCCATACAATTGGACTATTAAGTGACTTGCATCTGGAGAAGTGAAAGTAGGGGCACAGACCCAAGCATACAACCTCCCGGCATGGTGACAACCAGACGACTCCGCCAGCTTTCAGAAACAGGCTTTCTTGCCTGTGGAAGGACCTGAAGGGAGAGGCGGCTGGAGCCGGCATTTGGAGTGCATTATTGAAGGCTTTGCTTGGCAGCTGGGGGTCTAACATGGGGAATCTGACAGTGGTGAGCGGAGTGCACTGGGCTGGGGGACCAGTTAGGCAGCCATCCTAGCGCTCTGGAGATGAGTCCAGAAGTAATTCAAGGATGGGAATATTTTTTTTTAATGGGATAAAGGACTAGGATTTGGAGCCGGAACATGGGCCGTGCCGGAGAAGGCTGGAGGCCTGGCCAGTGAGTTGTGCAGGTGCCAGGGTACCTTGTGATCAGGCTTGCTGGGGGAGAAGCACCAGAGTTCAGAGCAGCAGGAATGGTCCCCCTTGTAGAACCCAGTTCTGGGGAGGAGGGCCAGTGGCTGGCTGAGTTGCTGGGCCTCATTGTTAGAGTATGTTCTCACAGACGGGGGACAGGTGGGGCGGGGTGGGGGAGAGTGGGAGAGCTGACCTGAGCCAGAGTAAACACAGCAGGTTCCCCTGGCCCTGCGCAGTCTGCGAATGACTGCTTGCTTGCTGGCAGCACAGAGAGCAGTGTGCAGGGGCTGCTGCTGGGATCTTGCCCGTCTCCTTTCACTCAGCATCACTCTTCGGCTTGTGTTTCTCTGGGAGCCTTTGCTTGTTAAATGCCATGTGCCTCGCTCTGGGTAACTGGACTCCTCCTCCATACAGGGTCATCCTCATCCTTGAACACCACGCTGCCTTCAACTAGTGCCTGGTCATCCATTCGTGCCTCCAACTACAACGTTCCCCTCAGCAGTACAGCACAAAGCACTTCAGGTGGGCCTCGCCTGCACTGACCCGGGGCCCCTCTTGGGAAGGGAGGTTTTTAATGCCCTATTCTTTTATCTAGATTTTTTGTTCAGGGTTTTAGGAGACTTTGTGAGCCTGTAAAATATTTTTAACAGCATTTGTTCTTGTTTAAATTTAGTGTACCCAGCAGTCATCAACCAAAATAATGAGTTTTCTCTGAGCAGCGCTCATTCTCCCCTGAGACCACCTCTGCTGTGTAATTAAATCTAATTTTCAAAGCGGTTTTCTTTCACTTCCAATTCTCTGTAAACTAGCATGTTTCTCACATACAGTGAGCATGAGTTTTGAATTCCTAGAGACGGGAAGCGTACGGCAGAGTTCGCAGTCGCCTCTCCGTACTTCGGTGGGGCCAGTCTTCTGAGCGCACTTTTGAGTAGCGCTGGCTAGAGTTGGTGGTGATGGAAGATAGGATGTTGTCCATCCCGTTCTGTATCGTGTTGCTGTGAGCCTCACCCTCGGTGTGCCTGGCGCCCTTGTTGAGTGAGGAAGTGTGCACCAGGCATTACACTTGCGTATTTGGCTTTTTCCTCCCTGCCGTCTCCCATGGTGTTTGTTTCTTTTCCCCAAGCCAGGCAGGCTCAGGGTTGAATTCGGGCTCTGCATTGGACCTACAGGCAAAGGACTTAACCTCTTTGACCCTGAGTAGGATGTGCCAGGATCAGGGGTGGTATATGCCGAGTACGCAGCAACTCATTGACCCTGAGTAGGATGTGCCAGGATCAGGGGTGGTATACGCCGGGTACGCAGCAACTCACTGCTTGGCAAGGAGAGGCAGCCCCTGGCGAATACCTTCCCCAGGGGACTCCCGAGCTGGGCTACTTTTGCATTTTTCCATGAGTTGAACAGCAGAGTTCTCAGGTGCATCCAGTATCCTATGTCAGTCTTGAATGGCACATGACGGTTATTAAGGTGAGGATTTCACAATCGCCGTCCTTGGGCAGTGCAAAGCAAGATTTTCTGTTTTAGGTTCAATTAGAATACAGCTTGTGCACTGATCTGAGAATCCCTAGGGTCTTCAGACTCCCGATGCAGACGAATGGCCTGCGTGTGTTGAGGGAGGGTGCGGCTTCTTTGGGCTTTCTGTTTCTCTTCCTTGGTGATTTAGTTTTATTCGGGGTTTTTAATAGTTTTTGTTTGACTGCTTTTCATGGAAGAGTAGCTATTACTGTTATATAAATTTCTTTTTTCTTAAATAATATTATTCACCTCTCTCCATTTTTTTTTTTTCCTTTGAGTAGCCAGAAATAGTGATTCCAAATTGACGTGGTCTCCTGGTTCAGTCACAAACACCTCTCTGGCCCATGAGCTGTGGAAGGTCCCTTTGCCACCTAAAAACATCACTGCTCCGTCCCGCCCGCCTCCGGGCCTGACTGGTCAGAAGCCAGCCTTGTCTGCGTGGGACAATTCTCCCCTTCGTGTGGGTGGAGGATGGGGAAATTCTGACGCCAGATACACCCCAGGTAAGGGCAAAGGTGGTCGGTCGCAGGGGTTTGTTTGCCAAGCGCTCACAGGTACCAGCAGCCTCATGTGACACACCTGAGCGGTGCGTCACTCGTCACCTCGGTGCCGTGAATGACAGCGGACATAGACGGTTCCCAGCGCCTTGCTGTCCTCGGCCGTGCCCAGGCCTTGCACAGTGACTTGCTGCTGTCAGTAGGCCTGCACAGCAGGGCAGAGCCGCTGTTGGCAAGGCTGGGGAAGGTGGCAACCACCCAGGCGGCCTCGAAGACTGTGGGTGATAGCTTGGCCTATATGTCAGATGTGTTGTCGAAACAGGGACGTTTGAGGGTAAAAGAGGGGCCTGTTAATTGGTCCCGCAGGGCATGGACCCGAGTGTGCTGGAGAAACTGGGAGACGCGGTTCCCCTGTCTACACGTTCTGTAGCCTAGTGCCGGCTTTGTGCTGACACAGTGCCTGTGCTTGCCATCCCAGCCGTGCGCACACGCCCACGCGCACACACGTGCGGTTTGACTCCGAGCTGACTAGCACTTCGGCCAGTAACTAGGATGCCATGCTTCATCCCCCTGCCCCCAAACTGTCGCAGTCGTTCTCACCGCCAGGCTGGAAGTATGCGATGCCGTCTGGTCCAGTTCTGACTTCCAGTCCCGGCTGGCGGTGGGCCACAGGGCAGCTTGCGGCACTCCCTCCCTTGCGGAAAGATCACTGGCGTCCCAGCTGAGCTCCCACTTGTAGACTGACGTGATTGGATGCCGCCAAGTGGCTGGCGGTACTTGGTGAGGGAGGAGCCCCCCCCCAGGGCAGACGCGGGGAGAGGAGCAGGAACTTGTCAGAGGGGACAGCCGGTGCCAAAGCTCAGGCCTGACAGCTCCAGTTCCCTGGGAGGTATTCAAGGAAGGGGCAGGGCAAGGCTCAGCGGTGACCAAGCAGGGGCTGGGTGCGACCGCGTCTGAGGCCATCCGGAAGTATTCGTGAGGCACTGAAGGGGGGGCGGTCAGGAGCGAGCTGTGCTGCCAGGCGGAGTGGGCGCACGGAGCCAGGTGGGGAATGTGTACCCCAGACCTGGGCTGCCTGGGTGGCCGTGTGCTCTCACGTCCCCTCAAGCTCCATACCCTGAGGGATAGACATGCACAGTCCCCTGAGACCTGGACATGAGAAGGCCCAAAGGTCCCTGGTCTGGTGTGGCTCACTGCTGCCCGCCCCCGTGATGAGCTGGAGGCAAGGGGACGTAGGGAAGGAAGCCAGGGAGCGGGTGGTCCTCCGAGTGTCCGTCAGAGCCGCTGTGCTCTGCCCGTGCCACCGCCCACAGCCTTGGGAAACCGACTCGGTTTTGTTTCTTTTCTTTTCTTTCCCCTTGTTCAGGTTCCAGCTGGGGTGAGAGCAGCTCAGGGAGAATAACAAATTGGCTTGTTCTAAAAAACCTTACACCTCAGGTAAGGGCGCCAGGGCCTTGGTCTGTGTGAGCTGAGGGCTCCTGGGTGGTAGTCAGGGCTGGCCACGGCCAGTGGGCACGGAGGCCAGCCCAAAACCCAGATTCCTGGGTCTCGCCCAGCGGGCTGGGGTCTGGGCACCGGCATTTCATGAGGGCATTTAGATGGACAGATGCACGTGGCTCCTGCTACGCCTTAAGAAAGCCTGGTCTGCTCTTTATTATAATTATTGTTATCGATGTTTTATTCTCTTTATTTGAAAGGCAGAGAGAGAATGAGAATCTTCCATCCTCTGGTTCGCTCCTCAAATGCCCACAACAGCCAGGGCTGAGCCAGGCCCAAGGCAGGCGCTCAGGACTCCTCTGGGTCTCCCGTGAGGGTGGCAGGGCCCCAAGTACCCTCCCCTCCTGTCTGCTCTTTGAGCTTAGAGCATTTTCTTAGCCCCTGGCGGCTGGATATTATGAACCCAGCTCGCTTCCCACCCCAGGAGCAGTGCCTTGATGGGCCCCGTCCTCGCGTCAGGGAAGAGAAAATACGAAGCCGCAGCAGGGGCAGGGGCTACAGAACTGGGGTCCTGGGGGTGTCCGGGGGCCTCAAGGCCCCAAAGGTGCTGCTCTGGGAGGAAGGTGAGGAGGGGGCGCCGTCTCCCAGCCCAGCGAGGGCCACGGAAGCGCAGTGCCAGGAGCAGCGCCGAACCCGGGACCGCTTTCCTGCTGGCCCTCACGGCGCCTTCTCCGCCCGCCCGGCGTCCTGCTCTCTCCTAGATCGATGGCTCAACTCTGCGCACCCTGTGCATGCAGCATGGCCCGCTCATCACATTCCACCTGAACCTCCCACATGGAAACGCGCTGGTCCGTTACAGTTCAAAAGAAGAGGTAGTGAAGGCACAAAAGTCTCTGCACATGTGAGTAGGCCGTGCCCCTGCGGCGGCAAAACTGGGGGCGGGGGGGGCCCGGCGCCCGTGCCCCCGCTGCAGCACACTGCCAGTCAGCCCTGGGCGCCGTGGCTTCGCTCCCAGGAGAGCGCAGCAGGCTCTCGGCACCACGCTGGCCTGGAGGAGGTTACTCTGGGAACGGCCGGGCCGAGCCGCCCGCGCACTCCAGTCTCTGCACGGTGCGGAGCTGTTGTCCCGTGGCCAGGCTGCGCCCTTGTGTGGGAATCGGGAAGCCCTTGGGGAGCGTCCTCACGTGCCCGCTGTGCTCTCTCCGCAGGTGTGTACTGGGGAACACTACTATTCTTGCTGAGTTTGCCAGTGAAGAGGAGATCAGTCGTTTCTTTGCACAAAGTCAGTCTCTGACCCCTTCTCCTGGCTGGCAGTCTCTCGGGTCCAGCCAGAGCCGGCTGGGCTCCCTCGACTGTTCCCACTCGTTCTCCAGCCGGACCGATCTCAATCACTGGAATGGTGCTGGGCTGTCGGGAACTAACTGTGGAGACCTTCACGGCACTTCACTCTGGGGGACCCCCCATTATTCCACAAGCCTGTGGGGTCCTCCCAGCAGCAGCGACCCCCGGGGAATTAGCAGCCCATCCCCCATTAATGCTTTTCTTTCTGTTGACCACCTGGGTGGGGGTGGAGAGTCCATGTAACGGTGTAGACGTAGACTCACAAACTGTGACCTCAAGACGCGAAAGAAAGGAGCACTAAGTTGGGCTCGCCGCCTGCAGCCAGGGGCCACCTGTGGGAACAGCTATTCTCTGCACATTTTCCACTTTGTTTTCCCCAAAACATATCAGTTTGAATACTTGAATCATGCAGGCCAATATTATAATGTGAAAAGGTATCTATCTATCTACACTCCCAAATAGCGCCATACATGCTAAGCCGTATCGAACGAGCTCACTCGTGTGTATTCATCATGTTTAGCCTTCGGAGTCTTTCTTTTTTCTACCCCTCCCCTTCTTTCTCTTTTTTTTTTTTTTCTTTTTTTCTTTTGCAAAACCATTTTTTGGGCTGATAATGTATGAGCTTTTACCTTTGCACTGAAGGATGTTCTCTCCGTCTAATCGGCAACGTGGGGGGGCAGCTGTTCCAGTGTAAGTGTTTACTCAAGGATGCTCTTCCAAGGTGTGCGCTCTCTACTATGCCTTGATGTTGCCTACCTTGTTGTGGTATCGTGGAGTTTAAAAGATCAAGTTATGATACTGACTTAGGATTATTAATGAAAGTGTTGCACCAGTTTTTTCATGTTGTAAAACTAAAGAATTTCGCTCTGCAGTTTGAAAAACTGTGGCCACAGCTGTGACTTGCAGCCCACCTGCCACCCAGGACGGGCCCTGCACTTTGAATAGGCTTTCCATTTTGTTTTGAAGGTTCCCACGGTGAACCTTCTTGTTTACAGATTTTTTTGTTTGTTTTTGAGAAGAAAAATGTTTACTCTCCATCATTTAAAAAAAATTTAAAAGACAAAAAAAAAAATGGAGGATGATTTAAAAGATGCTTTCTATCTCTGGGAAAAAGGAGCAGCATTTGGCCATGTTCTTTTGTTTTCTATTCTTGTCCTAAATCAAAGAGCATGGTTCTCAGGAAAACCAGTTCCCCAGTTTAAAAAAAACAAAAAACAAAAAAAAAATCCTTGTAGTTTCTTATAGGAAAAAAAAGAAAAACCCCAACTTTTAGCACTGATACTACGTATTGCTCTGTTAAAGAATTTTCTCTGCCAAAAAAACAAAAAACAGGAAAAAAAAATGCTTAAAGCTGGAGTTTGACATTCTGCTTTCAGATGCTGTCTTTTTATTAGTGAGTGATGATGGTTTGCTAATAATCAGTAGGTAATCATTTTTGTAATCCCATCAAGTGGCTCTCTGTTTCTGCTCTCTCGTGACTGTGTTCATGTTTAACTGTTGTCCCTTAAAGCCGAAATCCGTAACTATGCATACTGTAACCAAGGTATTGGGCTTACAGAGTTGTTTGTTGTATAAAGAAAATTTTAAATGTTGTTGCAAACTAACGAGTTACACCATTTTTAAATTTCTCCCCCCCCCCTTTTTTTGCCCACAAATGGTATTATAATGCTTGCTTAGTCAAAGAAGAGAGACTAAACAAGGGTAAAAATTTTAACAGTACAGAATTTGCCATCATTTCATTGCCTTGATTCTAACTGTTTGTGTCCTAAGATGCAAAAGAAGTCAGTGGCTTTTAACTGTTTACAAATAGAATGTGATTGTAAAATGTACAGTTTGGTTGTGTTTGAATTATGAAATTTCTTCAGATATAATAAACCATGACTTTTTGGCTGCTCAACATTAATTGTCTCTTTTTTGTGAATTTATTTGTAGGCTCTTTTTTATAATGAAAGTTTCAAAGTTGCTATGTATGAGGGTTCTCATAGAGCAACCGATTAAACATCTAAGCAAAGATTTGAACATTTTCTCTGAACTCGCCCACAATGCCACCCTGAAACAATGTGAGAACGATGGGAAACTGTAGCTCGCTCCTCCGCCCTCTGAGCACCGTGGGGTCTTGGTGCTCGGAACCTTCGGTGACTTCATCTTCCCCACCATTTGTGCCCATCTCAAGCCTCAGCAAGAGACCATGTGGAACACGCAGCTTAATGACTTGACAGTGTACTAGTGTTAAACGCTCATACCTCTGTTACAGCACGCGAAATGCCACAGCCTGGACTGGCCTTTCCTCCCCTCCACGGCCCGCACCTCTCACCGCAGGGGCTCCGGGGCCAAACCTGTGTTTGTATCTCAGTGTATGACTTCAGATCATGTTCCAGCTTGCCAGGTGTAAGCTAACGTTGTTGGACACCTGAATTCCTAGAAGCAGATGTCGTTCAGTGCTTTCAGTGTATATTGACTTCCATACTGGTTTTTCCAAAAACCAAAGGTAGCTTTGAAAAACCACGTCTGGAACTGTTTGGAGCGTTAAGCTAATGGACCTTTTGGGGCTTTGAGTAGTATATAATTGACTTCAAAACCTGCGTTAATTGTATTGTTAAACGTGTTTGGGAGTTTTTTGCGCTTGTTATGTGGAAATAAAAGTGTTTGATTTAAAATTTTTAAAGTGGTTTTGATTTTTTTTTTTGGCCTGGTCCCCAAGTGTAGTGCAGCCCTGTTCCCCAGGTGACCGTCACTCCCGAGTGGTTCTGAACGTGGCCCCAGTGCCAGCCCCTCCTCCTGCAGAGCGGTTGTCCCGGCCTGACTCAGGCCCCTCCCAGCCTGCAGGAGTAAACCTTTGCGTGAAGCTCACAGCTGCGCTCTAGGGGACGTGTTCCGAGCTCTGCTTCCCGCCCCCACGCCCCGAGACTCGAGGACCCCTCCAGGGCAGCTTCCCCTGTGCTTTCTCCCGCCCATTAGGAGCAGGAGGCATCTGCCCCTCCCTGTGCTGTGATCCTGGGCAGGGGGACTGGCGGCCTAGCGGGTAACACACCAGGTGGGGCCCCCGCATCCCATGTCGGAGTTCCTAGGTGTGGATCCTATCTGTGCTCATGACCCCAGCTTCCTGCTAAGGACACCCCCACCTCCGATGATGGCCACCAGCTGTTCGTCTTTGTGACGCTGCTCGATGGAGGGCAGGAACTACTGGAAGGGGGCCTGGCTGCGGCCTGTCAACACGAGGACGAGAGGTTGTGGTGGAGCCACACTGTTCGGTTGTAGGGGTGATGAACCGGGGAGACAGGGAGAGTCGGACCCAGGGTAAGCGGTGTGAAGACAGGGATTGAGGTGAAGGGGACAGACGTGTATCAGGGCTGAGGGGTGACAGCGGGCACGGAGCGAGTTGGCTTCACAGTCGATGAAGACATCTTTTCCCCGCTGCCCGTCTGATCCAAGAACTAGGACAAGAGACCATTGGAATCTGAGTAAACCTGGACAGCCCCCAGCAGAGACCAGGTCTTTGGATGGTAGAACTCCGTTAGGCATTTGCAAGTCCTGGGCGAGGGGGAATGATGGCACCAATGTGTCAGCTTTCTCCCTCCACTTAGAACACGCGGCCTGGCCCTAGAAACAGGAAAACAGCGCCATGTTGCGCAAACTGTCCCCCGGGGGCCCCCAAACCAGTGCATGGGGCACCAGCTCTTGCCTTTTTTTTTTTTTTTTAACTAGAACTGTCATCATGTGCTGTCCCTGTGTTTTCCTACTTTCTGTCTCCCCTAGAGCCACACCCAAGGGAACCTCCCTCCCTGTGGCAGCCCCAGCAGGTCCTGGGCTTCCAGGTTAGCTGGATCCTTGTGATGAGCTCACAGGGTTTCCACCGCTATGGAGCAGCACTTCAGCATCTGAGGCCAGCGGATGAATGAATGAATGAATGAATGCCAGTATCCTGGCTCTGAGCGTCCTGGGAGATGTTCCCACTGAGGAACCGGTCCTGTGTCCATGAGACCCGTCTCTCCCTTCTAACCTTGTGTCAGTCGTCCCGATAAAGATGTCAACTAGTGTAACTTAAGCTGTAAGAGCATCATCAAACCATATTTTTGATACTGTAGATACTTCTTTTTAAAAGATTTATTTATTGGGGCCATATGAGCGCCAGCTCATGTCCTGGCTGCTCCGCTTCTGATCCAGCTCCCTGCTAATGCACCAGGGAAAGCAGTAGAAGATGGCCAAAGTGCTTGGGCCCCAGCACACGTGGGAGACCTGGAAGAAGCTTCTGGCTCCTGGCTTCCGCCTGGTCCAGCTCAAGCCATTGTGGCCATTCGGGGAGTAAACCAGCAGATGGAAGACCTCTCTGTCTCTCTCTCTCTATCTCTGCCTTTCAAATAAATAAATCTTATTTAAAAAAAAAAAAAAAAAAGGAAAATGAGTTTTCACCCAGTGCCTGGTTCACTCCCCAAATGGCTGGGGATTGGATCAGGCCAAAGCCAGGAGCCAGGAGCTGCATACCTGGCTTGGGTCTCCCACGTGGGTGGCAGGGGCCCAAGCACTTGGGCCATCATTTGCTTACCTTTCCGGGCCATTAGCAGGAAGCTGGATCAGGACTAGAGCAGCAGGGACTGGAACGGGCAGCAGCAACTTAACCCACTGTGCCACCGTGAAATGCCAGAGCTCCTGACCGCCAGGTTTCTAAGTGAGGGAAAACAGATGAGAGAATTTGCTTGGTTTTTTGCCACTGTAAAGGTGTGTGCTTATTTGAATATTGACAATGGAATAAATAATAAATTGGCAACAGAAAGTTGAAAAAAGATCAATAAGTGATCCCTGAGGGTCTCTTAGGGGCCTGTGCCTGGGGTGTTTGCTGGGGCCAGGCCCCCAGCCCCAGCCTCAGAGTTCATTTGCATTTTCTACAGTGTGCATGGGGTTGGGGGTGGTTGGTTTTTGTTTTAATTTTTTTCCCTTTGAAATACAGAGAAGTGATTAAAAGGAGATTTTTCTCATGTTCTGAGTGCTAGCAATGACTGTAGGTCCTTATTGCATAATCATCAAAAGTCCCTCTCTTGGGGCAGGGTCTTCAGCCTAGCCATTAAGACGGCCAGTTGCATGTCGGGAGTGCCGGGGGTGCTGGCTCACTAGGCTAATCCTCCGCCTAGCGGCGCCGCACACCGGGTTCTAGTCCCGGTCGGGGCGCCGGATTCTGTCCCGGTTGCCCCTCTTCCAGGCCAGCTCTCTGCTGTGGCCCAGGAGTGCAGTGGAGGATGGCCCAGGTGCTTGGGCCCTGCACCCCATGGGAGACCAGGAAAAGCACCTGGCTCATGGCTCCTGCCATCGGATCAGCGTGGTGCGCCGGCCGCAGCGCGTCGGCCGCGGCGGCCATTGGAGGGTGAACCAATGGCAAAAGGAAGACCTTTCTCTCTGTCTCTCTCTCTCACTGTCCACTCTGCCTGTCAAAAAATAAATAAATAAATAAATAAATAAATAAATAAATAAATTTTGTGTCTAAATTTTAATTTACTTCTTTGAAAGGCAGAGCTACAGAGAGAGGGAGGGAGAGAGAGCGAGCAAGCGAGTTCCCATTCAGGTTCACCCCACCCCCACCCAAGGCCCCCAACAGCCAGGATCAGGCCAGGCCAGAGTCAGGGGCCTGGAACTCTCTGGGGGTCTCCCACATGGGTGGCAGGGGCCTGAGCACTTGAGCCATCATCTGCACTGTCCCAGGCACATCAGCAGGAAGCTGGATCTGAGTGCTAAGTAGGCTGCTTCCAGTCCTGGCACTCCAGTGTCGGATGTGGGTGTCCGGAGCAGCGGCTCAACCTGCTGTGCCACAACACCCATCTACCCCCCAAAACAGGCTCACCAGCCCCGTGACCTTAGCCATGACTCCCTGCTGCTTCCTGGCTTCCACTCGTCACAAGAAGCAAAAGGGAACTTCGGCTTTTGGCCATTTCACAGAGAGGAAATTTCCATAGCCCAAAATGCCCAGATGTAGAGTCCACAGTTTGGGCGAAAGCAGCCACCCGTGCAGCCCCCACCCCAGCCGAGCTCTGACACATGTCCATCGCCCCGGGAAGCCCCCTGGGACCACCACCTTGGGGTTGCCATGCCACCCAGTGGTTTTCCCTGAGCAATGAGGCAAACACCCCAACGCCTTACCCAGCCTTACCACACAGAGAGCTGCAGCCACAGCTCCGAGAGTGGCAGCGAGCCCCAGTCTGGCACGGCGCCCGGGCAGCTCCACCCCCAGCCCCTCACACTCCTCCTCTGTCACAGCTGCCAGTAGCCACCCTTCCCTGCAAGGCCGAGAGCAACAGGATCAGTGCCCCCGCCCCACCTTGTACCCAGGGATGACCTTGGGGAATGCAGGGGTTCCCAAGGGAGGGACGCTGTGCACCCCTTGTCCCCATGGGACAGGCATGTGAGGCTCTGGAAGGGTCACCTGCACTGGCCTGGGGGTGGGGGAGAGGTTGGGAAGACTAAGGGCCTCCAAGAGAACCAAATCATTCATTCATTCATTCATTCAGACTGCCAGGGCTGGGCCAGTCTGAAGCCAGGAGCCTGGAACTCCATCCAGGTCTCCCATGTGAGTGGTACTTGGGCCGTCTTCTGCTGTTTTCCCAGGCGCTGGATCAGAAGCAGAGCAGCCGGGACTTGGTGCTCCAATGTGGGAGTCGGCGGCTTCACACACTGCACTACAACACCAGCCAGAGACAGGAGATCTTCCATCACAACGCATGGACGGGGCCACTCTGAAGACAGGAGATCAGAACGCAGTCCGGGTCTCCCTTGTGAGTGGCAGGGACCCAACCAAGTACTTGGGCATCCCCTGCTGCCTCCCAGGGTGCTGGAATTGGAAAAGGAGCCGGGACTGGAACCCAGGCATTCGGATACGGGATGTGGGCGTCCCATGTGGTATCTTAGCTCCTATGCCAACTGACAGCCCCCATTCAGCTATTTCTGAAATAAACATACACTGGTCACGTGATCAAGCCATTTCACTAGGACTTTACCCAAGAGAAACAAGAGATGTGTCCACACAGAGCCCCGCGCTGCTGTCCACAACACTTCATTCACACTCAGCCCAAACTGACAATGACTCAGAAACCCATCAACAGATGGACAGCGACCCAGATGCTGGCGACCACTGACATGTACAATGCAGATGACCGTCACGCTGCGTGTAGAAAGCCAGACCCAGGAGAGTGCGTGCACACTTGGTGATGCCATCTATAGAAAATTCTAGAACATGCAAAACCTAATCTGCAGTGATGGAAAGCGAATCAGTGGAGGTCCGGGGGTGAGTCTGGGGGAGATCATAAGGGCACAAGGGAACTTGGGGGGATGGCGGATATCACCTTGTGGCAAAGGTGTCACAGGGGCATGCACTTGTTGAAACTCACCCATCGGACAGTGTAAATAAGTGTGGTTGGTTGTGCTTCCATTCAGTTATCTTTTTTCTTAAATAGGAAAGATTCTCTTTGACTACAGCAGTGACTGGGCACTGGGCAGTAGTGTAGGATGCAGTAGTGCAGCATCCCATGACAGAGAGCTGGATTTGAGTCCCAGCTCCACTTCCGATCCAGCTTCCTGCTAATGCACACCCTGGGAAACAGCGGTGATGGCTCAAGTACCTGGGTCCCTACCATCCGTGTGGGGGGCCTGCGCTGAGTTCCTGGCTCCTGGCTCTGGCTTGGCCTGGCCCTGGCTTTGTGGTTATTTGGGGAGTAAACTACCAAATGAGGGATTTGTGTGTGTGTGTGTGTGTGTCTCTGCCTTACAAATAAATTAATAAATTAAGATTAAAATAATATGATGGTTTCGGGGCTGGTACTGTGGCATAGTGGGCTAAGCGCTAGCATCCCATATGGGAGCTAGTTCGAGTCCTGGCTGCTCCACTTCCGATCCAGCTCTCTGCTGTGGCCGGGGAAAGCAGTAGAAGATGGCCCAAGTGCTTGGGCCCCTGCACCCACGTGGAAGACCCGGAGGAAGCTCCTGGCTTCTGACTTTGGATCAGCAAAGCTCCAGCCATTGTGGCCCTGTGGGGAGTGAACCAACGGATGGACGACTTCTCTCTCTGTCTCTCACTCTCTCTGTAACTCTACCTCTCGGATAAATAAATAAATATTTTTTCAAAAATAATATGATAGCTTCAAAACATAAAGTACCTTTCCTCACATGACCATTGCAGCGGCCCTGGTGGGCGTGACCTTAATGGCACCCGGACTGCCCCTGGTGGGATTTTGAGCCCTGGACTTACTGACCTGTAAGTGGAGGAAACAACCACCAGGGGGCGCACTGTGGTTCCCATTTTTCCTCAAAGCACACGCCAGCAAGACAGACCACGGAGAGAGACGTTTGTGAGTGTCCATCCTCCACAGACCTGCGATCCCAGGCCTCCCACCTCGCCTCGTGAGCCCCAGTCCTGGACAGACCCTCACCGCGATGTTCACAGCAGCCTCGCTGCACCCAAACGTCCGTCCTTAGCATTTGAATGACAAGTGTCTGAAGCTCCAGCAGGCGTGGAGTCGCCCAGGGACTTTGTGGGAAGGCAGAGTCTGACTCGCTGGGCCTGGGTGTGGCTGCTGCATGTTGGGGTTATTCCCTGGAAGAGAAGTGGCTTCAGACCTCAGAGAATTGACGCTGGCGCCACTGCAGGTGGCGGCTTTACCTGCTACGCCACAGCGCCGGCTCCTAGCCTCATTTAAGTTTGCTGTGGAACAGTGGTTCTCGGACTCCTTCACACTGTAGGACCCCAATAGTTTCCTTTCTGTTAAATATTTCCTTTGACATTGGCAGCATTAGACATTGAAGGAGCAATTTAAAAAATATATTCATTTATTTACTTGAGTGAGAGAGAGACAGAGACAGACATATCTTCCATTCGTTGGTTCACTCCCCAGATGGCTGCAATGGCCAAGGTTGGGCCAGGTGGAAGCCAGGAGCCAGGAGCTTCATCTGGGTCTCCCACGTGGGTGCAGGGGCCTGAGCACTTGGGCCATCTTCTGCTGCTTTCCCAGGCCATTAGCAGGGAACTGGGTAGGAAGTGGAGCAGTGGGGACATGAACTGGTGGCCATAGGGGATGCTGGCGTCACAGACGGTGGCTTTATCTGCTCTGCCGTAATGCTAGCCTCTAAAAAATGATTCGTAATATTTATTAAGAGTAACAAATTCACTTCATGTTAAATAAATAACATTCTTATTTTTTAAAATGATGTTTCCAAAAGATCTAGGAAGAAGAGTTGTCTATTTTGCAAATCTCTTTCATGCCTGGCTTAATAGGAGATTGCTGGATTCTCGTATACCCCCTGCATTCATCCGGTCTGTTGCAACAGCTCCTGTCATAGGTTCTGGAAATCTCCACTGGATGTTCAAGATAAGGGAGACAAAAGAGAAAGGTGACATCTTGGTATTTGGAAGAATGCTATGTGTGTTTTTCAGTTGAATCTCCCTGATAAAACCCAAGAGTACATCAAACATTTCATGAGCAGTGGCATTAGAAGAGAAGTTTATGGGGGCAGATGTGTGGGGTGGTGGTTACAGCACTGCTTGGGACACCCCCACCCTTTTTCAGAGTGCCCGGATTTGGGTCCCAGCCCCACTTCCAACCCAGCTTCCTGCCTGTGTGCAAAGGCAGCAGGAGAGACCCATACACTTGGCTCCCTGCCACCCACGTGGGAGACCCAGCTGGAGTTCCAGGCACCTGGTTTCGTCCTGGCTCAGCCCCCACTGATGGGGCCATCTGGGGAGCGAATCAGTGGACGGAAGATCGATTCTCTTTCGGTCTCTCTCTCCTTCAACTAAAAAAGAAAACAAAATTTTTTTTAAAGATTTACTTATTTATTTGAAAGTCAGAGTTACACACAGAGAGAAAGGGAGGCAGAGAGAGAGAGAGAGAGAGAGAGAGAGGTCTTCCATCTGCTGATTCACTCCTCAGATGGCAACAACGGCTGGAGCTGTGCTGATCCGAAGCCAGGAGCCAGGAGCTTCCTCCGGGTCTCCCACATGAGTGCAGGGGCCCAAGGACTTGGGCCGTCTTCCCCTGCTTTCCCAGGCCACAGCAGAGAGCTGGATCAGAAGAGGAGCAGTGGAGACTCAAACCGGCGTCCACAGGGGATGCTGGCACTGCGGGCGGCGGCTTTACCTGCTACACCACAGTGCCGGCCCCGAAAATAAATTTAAAAAATGTAAAAACCCTATTTATTTTGCTGCAGAAAAATTTTGAAGTCATGTATATGAAGAGCCTTCAGCAAGTTCACGGGAAATGCATATTATGCAACCATATCTCCTTTTGGGGGACCCCATTATGTGGGCAGGAACCCCCAAACAGGGTCTGTTGTCTGTTTGGTACCAAAGCTGAGCCCTAACAGGTACTCAGGCAAGGCGGGAGCCTCCCTCGCAAATCACCTTTCCCACCTGCTGGAGTCTGCCGGGTCTTAGGTGCAGGGCGACCCGGACGAGAGGGGAGAGAGACGCTAATAAGGGGGAGGAATATTCATGGTTTTCCGAGAAAGGGGCGGTGTGATTCTTGGAATTGCGGAGCCGCCTTCTTTGTATCCTTCTATGGGCTCTTCCGGTGGTTGTCATGGTGACCGTGGGCGGTCAAGGCCTTGGTGCAAGCGTCCCTTACATGGGAATGAGATCGTGGGGCAGTCTGAGGGCTTCCGAAGGTTTCTCCGGCAACCGTGTTGGGGCCGGCTGTTCCAGCCGTCAGCAGGAGGGGCACGCGAGGACTGCCAGCCTCCTGTTCCCAGTGCTAGGCCAGGGGAACAGACTTACCCAGGCTGGGCAGGCCCTGCTCTTGACGACAACAAACCTGGATAACAAACAAGCTGTGTATGGATTGCAAGCATTTTTGCACCAAAATAAAGTTATCTCTTCATTCCCTTTTTGATGGACCCGTGAAGCTGGGTGCCATTATCAGGACATCCCCTTTCTCAGATGGGACAATTGAGGCTCCAGGGACTTCAGCCAGGAGCAGAGGCGTGGGAAGCAGGACCCAAGTCTGTTTGTCTCCTTGTCTCTAGGTTCTTAGCCCCGACCCCATCCTGCCCCAGCTAGGGATAAAAGGCAAACAAGGTTTGTGAGAGCAGAGACTCTGGGGGAAAATGACTAAGCAAACAAAACAGAGAAAATAGGAGAAGGCAAGGGACATTGGCGGTTTCCTCTCTTTGAAGCTCTAAAGCTTGACCTTACCCACGGCAGCTAAGTGAGAGGCAGCAGCTTGGGCTTAGCCTGGGGTGGGGGAGGGCCAGGTGCACCTCCAGGTACCTCATTTAACCCTCATCCAGCCTCTGGGTGTTTAGGAGCCTCGCTTTGCAGAGGAAGAAACTTTGCATCCAGAGAGGTTAAGTGACTCTCACAATTACTGAGTCCAAAAGCCCGGCTGGTTCTGTTCCAGCTCCTGTACTCCTTCTCGCAGGGGTGTGTGTGTGCGTGGGTGGGCAGTGAGGGAGGGCTGGGGGAGGAACCACATCCCTGGCTGGGGCTCAGCCACACAGATACAGGCCACGATTAAAAGCCCTGGGCGGCCAGCTCCGTGGCTCAATAGGCTAATCCTCCTCACACGGGGTTCTAGTCCCGGTTGCCCCTCTTCCAGGCCAGCTCTCTGCTGTGGCCCAGGAGTGCAGTGGAGGATGGCCCAAGTGCTTGGGCCCTGCACCCCATGGGAGACCAGGAGAAGCACCTGGCTCCTGCCATCAGATCAGCGCGGTGCGCCGGCTGCAGCGCACCGACCGCGGCGGCCTTTGGAGGGTGAACCAACGGCAAAGGAAGACCTTTCTCTCTGTCCACTCTGCCTGTAAAAAAAAAAAAAAAAGCCCTGGGCATCCCCTGCACACACACAGCCACACACAACATCTCAGCCGTCTGTGTTCCTAGCTGACTACTTGCAAAAACCTTATAAAGCAGGGGCATACACAGACTCAACCTTTTGGAAAGTCAGGCACTTTTGGCAACCTGGGATCTATATTCTTAGGAGGTGACCACGAGCTGTAAGTAAATCCAGGGAGACAACAGTTGGGGCAGGACCTCAGCCTTTGCCACCAGACTAACAAAACTGCCTTGGTCACACTCACAGAGCTGCTCCCATTTTTAAGATATAATTTACAATTAGTAGAATGCCTAAATCTTTTTTTTTTAAGATTTATTTATTTATTTGAAAGTCAGAGTTACACAGAGAGAGGAAAGGCAGAGAGAGAGAGAGAGAGAGGTCTTCCATCTGTTGCTTCACTCTCCAATTGGCTGCAACGGCTAGAGCTGTGCTGAGCTGAAGCCAGGAGCCTCCCCTGGAGCCTCCCATGTGGGTGCAGGGGCCCAAGGACTTGGGCCATCTTCTACTGCTTTCCCAGGCCATAGCAGAGAGCTGGATCAGAAGCGGAGCAGCCAAGACTCCAATCGGCGCCCATATGAGATGCCGGCACTGCAGGCTGCAGCTCCAACCACTACGCCACAGCGCCGGCCCCTGCCTAAGTCTTCATCATTCATTGAGTTCAATGGTTTAACCATCGTAGATGCCCTTGTAACTATCACCCAAGTCGACACAGTGGAAATTTCCAACAGGTCCCTTCCAGTCGATTCCTGTCTCCCACCCCTGACCTCCATCACTGTGGGTTTGTCCTCCCTGTTCTTGAACTTCAAACAAACAGAATCATAAGGTACAGGCTCCTTTTATGCCTCTTTTACTCAGCCTGATATTCCGGAGTGTCACCCACAGAGTTGATTTGATCCTTTTTAAAATGTCTGTTATTACTACTCTTTATCTGAAAGAGAGAGAGAGAAAAAAACAGAGAGTTTGCATCTGCTGGTTCACTCCACAAAGGTATGCAGTGGCTGGGGCTGGAGGCAGGAGTCTGAACTCAATCCAGGTCTTCCACATGGGCGGCAAGAGGCCAGTTATCTGTGCCACCCCCGTTGCTTCCTGGGATCTGCATTTGCAAGAAGCTGGAATCAGGAGCCAGGAGCGGGAATCAAACCAGGGCACTTGTGGGAGACTTGGTCATCTTAACTGCTAGGTTAAACAGCGGCTCCATGCTCCTCTTACATAGCTCAGTTTCCCACGTGTCTCAATGCACTTGCCGTTGGGTTGCCCACGCTTTGGGTGTGTTGGGAGTGTGCTGGCAGGGGACCTCTGTGTGTTAAGTCTTTGTAGCAATGTCTGTTTTCACTTCCCTGGATAAACAGCAAAGAGTGGGACTGCTGGGTCATGGGCCAGGTGCACTCATATGTTAACCTCATCAGAAACGTCCAAAGAGCTGATAACGTCATTCTCTCCCACTCATTCGCAGTGCCAAGGAGCAAGGGAGAAGCTTGACAATTAGAGCCATTGTCAGAGTTGACAAGACAGTAGCCAAGTGGGCCGCATCTGGCCCTCACGCATGAATAGTCATGAGGTCTTGTCGAACTTTTCTAGAACAATCGGAAGTTCCGGCCTCCTGGCGCGTCTTCCCCAGCTGCAGCTGAGTCATGGCTGGCCCCTTCCGCTGGGACGTCGGCTCCCCAGATGGCCACGGGCCCTCTCCCTCTGCTGGAGGCACCTGGGACAAGGTCCTACGTCCCACCGCTGTGCCCAGGAAGTCAGGACCAGAATGCGCCTTGACGGAGCATTACAGCCCCCGCTGCCTTCCCTGCTGATGCAGCCTCTGGTCTTCCGATCCCTGGTCCCATGTCTTCTCCCTTCCTCCAATCCCAGTTGTCATTGGCAGCACAGGCGCCTAACCCACTGGCCTTACCATGGTGTCTCTGCCTATGCGGGCCGATCTCCAACCGCTGATGCACCTCTCAGCCCTCCCACCCCCTTACCATGCCCCCACGGCTCCTGCACGGTTCTGTAACCTTGTGGGCTGAGTTCAAATCCTGGCTCTGCCACTTGCTGGTGGGCTGGCCTTGGGCCAGTTACTTATCATCACTCCCTCATCAGGACCACTGGAGGTTGCAATAGGACCTGTCTAGTCGGAGGAGGGTTTGGAAAGACCGTGTGGGTGAAGACACATCAGTCACGGCTAAGGCTGGGCCAGGCTGAAGCTGGGAGCCAGGAACTCCATCCAGGTCCTGCACATGGGTGGCAGGAACCCAAGTCCTTGAACTATCACCTCTGCTTCCCTGGGTGCACATTAGCAGGAAGCTGGAGTCAGGCGTTGGAGCCCAGGCACTCTGACGTGGGCTGCAGGTGTCTCAGGTGCTAGGCGCAACACCTGCCCCTTAGCAACTACTTCTGAAAGAGCCTGGGTGCTCTGAGCATTTAGCAAAAGCTGTTGCAATGCCCACTGGCTTTCCTGGGAGTCCTGGGCTCACTGTGGAGTGGGGGTGGGGGGGCTTCCCTGGTCACGGCCAGGGCACTCCTCCTGGGCGCCACAGTCTTCGTCTTTGCCCTGGCCTGGAGGGCACAGAGAAGTGGCTGAACCAGCAGTGGCCACTGCTGCTGCCTCAGCTGGGGCTGGGCTGTCAGCTCCCCTACATCCCCAGCCAGTGTCTGTCCTCCCCCGCCCCCTCCAGCTGTCCCTAGCCGGCCTGTCCCCAGCGAGGAGGCGGGCCAGAGGAAGAGTGAAGGAAGCAGGACAGCGCCCTGTGCTCCAGCGTCTTCTCCGGCCCCTCCCAGCCATGGGCTCCCCGCCAGGTGAGGACCCTGACCAAGGCCACGTGGGCAGGGCGCAGAGCAGGCCACCTTCTCCATGGGGGCCTGCTCAGAGTTCAAGGGTTCCGGGGAGATCATTCACGCTTCCCTTAATCCCTGTGGTGGTGGCTGAGGCTGGAGTTTGGAGTTTGACCTGCTTGGAGAAGCAGGCACACAGGAAGGGTCTCGGCCGTGCTCTGAGGCTCTCGGTCTCCCTTCTCACAGCCATCTCTGCCTCCAAAGACCCAGCAGGGCAGGTGCACCTTGCGTCTGGAACAAGGTAAGAGACTCCCTCCTCCTCCTCCCATCGCGTAACCTCTCTGCAAACTTGGGAGCTGGGCTAAGGACATGGGGCAGGGGGAGGGGGCTGCAGAAAGTCCCCAGCGGTGAACCCTGGGGTGGGGGTGGGGGCTCAGCCCCTCTCTGCAGAGAAGCAGAGTCAGGCGCTAGGCAAACGGAGTGTGTTTTGGGAGGAGGGGGGACGGTGGACATTGTGACACGAAGCTGGCAGGCAGCGGCACTGGGCATGGGTCCCAGCCCCTGCGCTCTCCCAAGTTCAAAGACATTGAAGCCAATCTTTTCACTTCGCTGAGCCTCTGGTTTCTTATCTGTCAAGTGGAAACGTGAACCTCAGCCTGGCACAGCGCACAGGTGTGCTGTATAAGGACCCAAAGAGATAGCAGAGGTGACAGAGCGGGAGAGACCAACAGCTACGGGGATGTTACTACAACACCACGGTAGTTGCCATTAACGACAAGGCAAATATAGCCGGACACACACAGAGAGCTTTACAGCCTGGAACCCGTCTACCTGGCACGGTTACCTGCTAAGGTAGGCACAGGCACCCTGATTCATGTATGCCCAGAGCCTAAAAACCACGAGCAGCTTGTTGAGGTAACACAGGAAGCAGATGGCCACGCCGAGGCTCTGCTCCCTTGGCTGTGAGCTTAGCGGTGCCATCGTGTTCCCGGCTGGTGCTGGGGAAGCCGTGGGTAGCAGAACCCTCCCCAGGGGGATCCGACTCCTTGGGAGCTCGCAGTGTGCCCGGGTCTACAGTGAAGGTTGTAGATGCCATGCGTGTCTGTAAAGCCCACGGTTATGGGGCTTGTTTTGAGGATGCAGTGTGAGTGACATAGACGTGGTCCTGGCCTCCATGGAGCTTACAGCACAGGACAGCCACGCGGATGCACGAGACTCATACAAACCAAACATCGGGCTGGGTCAAATGGTGACGAGAAGCCAAGTTTTCTAGGACAGCCAATAACTCATGGACCCAGGTTAGATCAGGCTCCTCTGGGGCTAACCTCTGGGGTTATCTGGGGATAGAGTGACCATGAAAGGATGAGCAGACAGGCAAAGAGTGTAGGGAAGAGCCTCGCAGGCAGAGGGGGCAGAACGATGAAGACCCCCAGGCCAGAAATAGTTCAAGGAGCAGAAACAAGGCCAGTCCGCCGTGAAGCTGGGGAAGGAGGGGGCCCAACAGCAGGTGCACAGATGGTCTGAACAGGAGGATGATCTGCCCTGACTTGTGTCCGGAGACCTCGCTGGCGTCTGTGAGGCGTGGATTAAGAAGGACGTATGGAGGAGGCCTGACAGGAGACCTCTGCTCTAGGGGAACAGATGCTGCGGGGGGCTCGGAGGGGGCATGGACATAAAGGCGAGGGGGAAATGGACGAACCGAGTCATGATTCGGAAGCAGAAGAGGATGGACTTATGGGGTCGATGGGTCCTGGGAGGAGATGCTGTAAATTCTGACGCTGTGTTTGTGTGCTGTGACATCCTGGAAGTTTAGATGCCATGGCAGACGCAGAGAGGTGTCACAGAGCACGTGAGGAATGGATGGATGGATGGATGGATGGATGGATGACTTCAGGGTGACTCTCTGGTTTCTGGCGTGAGTGGCACAGGGGCTGAGGTTGCTGTTGAGTGAGAGGACAGGAGGCAGCACCTGCTCGGTGCCCGTGTGAACTCTGAGACGTCCACTGAGCCAGACAGGTGCTCCCTTGACTTTCATTCCCTCCAGGAATCGTGAGACAAGGTCACCCCTGCAGGGGAGTTGCTGGGTGCTGGGTGGAGAATGCTCACCCATGTCCCCTGAGCCATCAGTCACCTTCTGTGGGCCATGTGGGAGAGCTGCCTGCCCTGCCGTGCCTGGAATCTGGCTCTTCCCAGTGGGCTGGGGGTGACCCAGCCTCTGCTTCAGCCCAAGGTGCTGCAGTCTGTCGACTGCCCACTTTCTAGAGAAGTGAGTTTTTTTATTTGAAAGGCAGAGTTGCAGAGAGAGAGAGGTCTTCCATCCACTGGTGGTTCATTCCCCCAGATGGCTGTAATAGCCAGGCTGGAACAGGAGCCTGGAACTTTATTCAGTTCTCCCACATGGGTCCAGGGGCCCAAGCACTTGTGGCATCTTCCACTGCTTTCTCAAGTGCATTAGCCAGAACGTGGAACAGACGGGAGTTGAACCAGCACCTCTATGGGATGCTTGTGTTTGTAGGCTGCACTGCAATGCTACCCCCATAGGCAACTGTTTTTTTTTTTTTTTTAAAAAAAACTCTGGGATGGGGCCAGTGCTGTGGCGTACTAGTAGGCTAAACCTCTGCCTATGCACCAGCATCCCATATGGGTGTCGATTTGAATCCTTGCTGCTCCACTTCCAATTCAGCTCTCTGCTATGGCCTGGGAAAGCAGTGGAGGATGGCCCAAGTCCTTGGGCCCCTGCACCCACGTGGGAGACCTGGAAGAAGCTCCTGGCTTCAGATTGGCTCAGCTCTGACCATTGTGGCCAATTCAGGAGTGAACTTCTCTGTCTCTTCCGCTCTCTCTTTCTCTGTAATTCTACCTCTCAAATAAATAAATCTTAAAAAAAAAAAAAAAAAAAAAAAAAGAAAAGAAAAGAAAACCCACAAAGCTCTGGACATCAGCTGGTCAGGAGATCCAGAAGTGGTTGTTTGGCTTCTTCCTTCTGCACTTCCAAGCCCTGACAGCCCCCCTCTTCCTTGCAGATTAGACCTCCTCCCTCTGACTGGGCTCCCTGCTCTCAGGCCAGTCCATGGCCCAGCTTGGAGCTGGGAGTAGGCAGCCACCCCCGCTGCAGGCAGCCACGGCAGAGGGAGAGGGAGGGGTGTGTGTGGCTGCCAGCCAGGGGCGATGACACTGGTGCTGGCCCTGGTTATCACCTGTGGAATTTTCCATGGCAGCGGCGTGGTTAGGAGCTGGATCAGTCATTTACCAGCAGTGTGGGCTGGGCTGGGCCTCAGCTCTCTTTCCTTCCCTGTGCAATCGGAGACTTGGCCCCTCAGGGTGCTGCGTTTGAGAGGAGGTGGGGCACACAAGTGACTAATGTCTGCCCAACCACAAAGGCCACCCTCCTTTCATTTTTTTTTTTTTACATAGTTTTATAAGCAGAATGGGAACAGCTCAAGTCTCCTGTACCTAATCGTGTTATATAACAAACTTGCTTTCCTGCTCTTAACCAACCTGTGACATGCATCGCATTAATAGTCCCCATTTTATAGCCGGGGACCCCAAGAGGAGGTGATTTGCTCAAACACATGGAGCTAGCAGGAGGCAGAGCTGGGATCTGAGCCAAGGCAGTTCTAAGTCTACACCTTATCTGCTCACATCTATCTCCAGGTCTCAGGCCCGTTAATACAAGTTGTGATGAGACAGTTGTCGTCAGCTTTGGTTAGTGTGCAGGCAATTCCCCTGGTTCTCTCTCCCCTCTCTCCCCCTCCCCCTCCTCCTTCCTCCCTCTCGCTCCTGCTACCTGCTCTGGCGTGTTTCATATTTATCAGCAAATACTCCCGCATCCTGGCAAAATACTTGGTGCTACTCTGTGTATTTGAGTATTTTTTTTTTAAGATTTATTTATTTACTTGGAAGAGTTACACAGGGAGAGAAAGAGAGGCAGAGAGAAAGAGAGAGAGAGGTCTTCCATCCACTGGTTCACTCCCCAGATGGCTGCAACGGCCAGAGCTGCACCAATCCGAAGCATGGAGCCAGGAGCTTCTTCCGGGTCTCCCACGTGGGTGCAGGGGCCCAAGCACTTGGGCCCTCTTTTGCTGATTTCCCAGGCCACAGCAGAGAGCCGGATCGGAAGTGGAGCAGCTGGGACTCAAATCGGTGCCCACATGGGCTGCCGGCACTGCAGGTGGCAACTTTACTCGCTACGTCACAGTGCCAGCCCCAATCTTTGAGTATTTCTAATACATGCTAATGGTTTTGTGCTGAGTCTTTTTTTTTTTCCCAAAGATTTATTTATTTACTTGAGAGGTATCTTTACAGATAGATAGAGGGAGAGACACAGTGAGAAGTCTTCCATCCACAATTTCATCTCCCAGATGGCTGTAATGGTCAGAGCAGAGCCGATCCAAAGCCAGGAGCCAGGGGTCCAGGACTTGGGCCATCCTCCACTGCTTTCCATCATCACGGACCCAGCTTCCAACAGGAGACAGTGAAGGCTCCTGCCCATGTCCCCTGGGCTGTGGAGCTGCTTGCTGGCTTCTTCCTGGCACTGGGGCCCAGACCATGTTCCACCTGCCAGCGCCACTGGTGTGCAGGGTGAGAGTGGGCCCTGTTGGTGCACAGGTACCTCCAAGGCAGGGCCTCAGGCAGCCTCAAGGGCGAGATGAGCAAAGCCTTTGGGACACAGCAGAGTGCCCTCATGAGAGAGGAAGCCAGAGCCCATGCCAGGTCGGCCTGCCCACCTGAGGCAGGCAAAGAGCACAGCACCCCAGTGCAAGGGGTCAAAGAGTGCTGGGCCACTTTCCCAAGCAGCCCTGGGCACACGCGGCACTGCGAGGGGCTGGGCTGAAAACCCACGGTGGAGAGGTGAGGGTGGGGGGCTGCCTTTCTTACAGCTTTGTTCTTTGTGCTGAAACGGAGCTTAGTGTTTGTTCCACAAAGTTTCCAGGGTCTGGCAGAGAGCCTGACATGCAGCTGGTACCTAACCAATGCTTGCTCCACTGACTTTCCAGCGCCTAGTATGGAGCCTGGTATACAGTTGGTGCCTAATGAAATGTTTGTTACATGGAGTTTCTAGGACCTAACACAAAGCCTGGCACCCAACTGGCTCCTAACAAATATTTGTTCCACTGAGTTTCTGGGGCTTAGCATAGAGCCTGGTACACAGTCAGTGCCTAATAAATGTCTGTTGCACCGAGTTGTCAGCACCTACCACAGAATCCAGCACACTGATAAATATTTGTGGAAAAGAAATACAGCTGGGGCTGGTGCTGTGATATAGCAGGTAAAGTTACCTCCTATGACACGGGCATCCCATGTGATCGCTGGTTCAAGTCCCAACTGCTCCACTTCTGATCCAGCTCCCTGCTATTGCCCTGGGAGAGCAGCAGAGGATGGCCCAAGTCCCTGGATCCCCGCTCCCACTTGGGAGACCTGGATAGAGTTCGAGGCCCTTGGGTTTGACTCAGTCCAGCCCTGGCTGCTGTAGCCATTTGGTGAGTGAATCAGTAGGAAGATTCTCTCTCTCTCTCTCTCTCTCTCTCTCTCTCTCTCTCTCTCTCCCCTCCCCTCTCTCCATCTTTTTCTGTAATTCTGCCTTTCAAATAAATAAGGAAATCTTAACCAAAAAAATTAAAAAAAAAAAAAAAAGAAAGAAGAAACAGAGACAGAGAGAGGCAGGAGATCAAAGGGGAGGAGGGCTGGTGGAAGGGAGGAGAGAGTAGGGCAGCCGGTACTGGATAACACAAGCAGTTCTGATTCAGCACCTGGGTTCAACTCTTACCTATGGGGTTTCCTGGGCCCTGGAAGCCAGGGGCACAGCCAGGGCCACAGCCTGGCTCCAAGGAGACGTCTGTCTCTCAACTGCCGAGCGGAGGTGCAACGGCGTGGGCCTAACAGCCTGGCACTTGCACAGAAATCACTGTTGTGCCCATGGGATATCTTAGTGAAGAAGGGGAACACTGGGGGGGGGGATCAGCCTGGGAGCCTGAGGCCCGGCTCCCAGCCCCACCGCCCTGGGGCTCAGGAAGGGCCCAGAGCCGTGCCAGCCTCCCCAAGGCAGTGATGAATGACTTGTTTATCTGCTGCAAGCTGCTCCCATCCCTCCCCGGTGCCTGGCAGGCAGAGGGCTGCAAGGGAGTGGGGCGGGGCAGGGCTGCCCACCAGCCGGCCACGCCCAGTGCAGTTCTGGGACAGCTGGCCCCACTCCCAACACCAGCATCCCCACTGCAGGTCTCCACCTGGAGCTGCTTCCTGTGTGTGCAGTCCTGGCCTTGCACCAAGTCTCCTGTTGTGGAAGCAACAGTTTGAAGTGCTTGGAAACACGGGCAGACCTGGGTTCGAGTCCCAGCTTTGTCACTCATCAGCTGTGTGACTCTGGATGGGATGCTAAACCTCACTGAGCCATGACTCACTCAACCATTAAGAGCCATGAGAACATCACCCTGAGACCCTCCCACCTTCCATCTCAGGCTGCAGCCTCCAACTCTGGGGGTCTCCAAGCCCCATCCTTGTTTCTACCTTCTCCATCAGACACCTGAAGTCCCTGGTCCACTTAGGTTAGTCCTGAGCAGGTACCATCATCATCACATTTCATGGCACCAGTGATCACAAAACCCCCACCTGACCAAGACTCAGAGAGGTGAGGGGTGAGCCAGGTTGGGGTTTTGGCTTCTGCTACTTCCCCTGTGTTTTGTGGGTAAGAGACAGCAGGGCCACAGCTGCCCGTGCTGGGGTCTCTCTGCCTCCCCTTCCTCCTCTCTCGTCTTCCCTCCCCTGCGTCTCCTCTCCCTGAATACTCCACACCAGTGCTTGCTGTGTCTCCTCTTCCTGGAGGGGCCACCACACCCCAGGATGGTGAAGTTCAGAAAAGCACAAGCTTTTATGTTCAGGGCATTATCTCGGATGTTTTTCAGAAGATGGATTCTTAAATTAAAAGCATGGGGTGGGCATTGTGGCACAGAGGCCTAAGCCATCACTTACAACACAGGCATCCCATGTCAGAGTGTCGGTTTGGGTCCTGGTTCCTCCACTTCTTATCCAACTCCCTGCTGATGCACCTGGGAAGGCTGTAGATGATGGGCCAAGTGTTTGGGTCCTAGCCACCTATGTGGCAGGTCCCAATGGACTTCCAGACTCTTGGCCCAGCTCTGCCTGTCACCGGCATTTGGGAAAGGTAGAGTTATGGAGGTGGGGGAGAGAGAGAGAGAGAAAGAGATCTCCCATCTGCTGGTTCACTTCCCAAATGGCCACCATGACTAGGGCTGGGCCAGACCGAAGCCATGAGCCTGGAAGTCCATCCAGGTCTCCCCCGTGGGTGCAGGTGCCCTAGTACTTGGGCCATCCTTAACTGCTTTCCCTGGTAGATTAGCAAGGAGCTGGATCAGAACTTGAGCGGCCAGAACTGGAACCAGTGCTCATATAGGATGCCAGTGGCTTAAAATGTGGCACCACAACACCAGTCCCAATCAGGCATTCTCAAATGGAAACTTTCTGGTGTTGGCAGGGCTGAATTCCTTCTGGATTCTCCCAGAGACAGCTTGCCCCTTTGTTTTTTCCAGCTAGCAGAAGCTGTTGACATCCCTTGGCTCATGAACCATCACCCCATGATCAAAGCCAGCCACCTTGGAGCAAATCTTCGCCACACTCCCATCTCTCTGGCTCTCTGGATTTCATCTCCCCTTGTGACTACATTAGATCCACCCAGATAATCCAGGCACCTCCGTATTTTAAGGTCAGCTACATCGAAGTATTGCTGACTAGCAGCCTTAATTTCATCTGTAAACTTTATTTTAAAAAAGATTTTATTTCTTTTATTATTGAGAGGTAGAGTCAGAGAGAGAGAGAAAGAGAGAGAGAGAGAGAGGTCTTCCATCCACTGGTTCACTCCCCAGATGGCTGCAACGGCCTGGAGTTTGCCAATCCAAAGCCAGGAGCCAGGATATTCTTCCAGGCAGGGGCCTAAGCACTCGGACCATTTTCTGTTGCTTTCCCAGGCCATAGCAGGGAGCTGGATAGGAAGAGGAGCAGCTGGGACTAGAACCAGTGCCCATATGGGATGCCATCACTGCAGGTGGAGGCTTAGCCTACTATGCCACAGCGCAGGTCCCCCATCTGCACACATAATTGTCCCTTGTCATGGATCAACATATTCACAGGTTCTGGTGTTTAGATATCAACATCTTTGGGGGCTGTTCTTCTAAGAACCCCTTATATTGCCTGTGGAAGTGCAGTAGACTGAAAAACAGCTTAGAACTATGATTCAAAGCAGATTCTGGAGCAAGATTATTGGAGTTCAAACCCTAGCTCCACTACTCTGTGCTGTGTTGTGTTGGGTAAGTTACTCCTCTGTACTTTAACCTCAACCATGATAACAAGAGTGCCAATTCTGCAGGTTAGTGAACACTTAGAATGAGGCCTGTCGTGGTGGAGGGGCTATTTTTAGGTGTATATTAAGCATATGTCAGCATCAGCACTGTGGTGTTGTAGGCTAAGCCTCTGCCTGTGGTGCTGGCATCCCACATGGGCACCAGTTCATATCACAGCTGCTCCTCTTCTGATCCAGCTCCCTGCTAATGCCCCTGGGAGAGCAGCAGAAGATGGCCCAAGTGCTTAGGCCCCTGCATGCATGTGGGAGACCTGGAAGAAGCTCCTGGCTCCTGGATTCGGATCAGCCCAGCCCTGGCTGTTGCAGCCATTGGGGAGTGAACCAGTGGATGACAGAACTTTCTCTCTGTCTCTTCCTCTCTCTCTCTCAAATAAATAATAAAAACTTTTTAACAAATTAAAAAAACCACATGTACCTTTGTGGGCTTGTCCAGCTTTGGAACAAGACTGCAGTGCCTACCTGAGCTTCAGGCAAGATCAGTGGCTTGACTCTTGTGCAGCTGTGATGTACATTGGAAGTGGGGACTGTGACTAGGAGCCCCATTCTCCTCTTACTCCAGAACACTGCTTACCAAGTGGATGTGCTCACTAAACACGTGCTAACTGAAGAGGATGCTGACACCACATCCACTATGCAGACTGCCATGTGAATGGCTGACTTGGTAAAACGTCCACTGCGATTTAATGGGACTTGTAAACGTTTGTTGAATAAATCAGTGAGTGGATGGATGGATGGATGGAGGGAGAGAGGGAGGGATCTGCCTTTCTACATTGTCTCACCACACTCCCCTCCACCTGGGGCCTCTTCCTCAGATGCGCCAGGGAGGCAGCTACGGAAAGGGTGAGAAGAGTGATTCTGGGATCCGTCACCTGACGTGTGTTTGTGCTTCTGCAGGAGTCGGAGCGCGTGTTCAGGACCATGGAGAGCAGCACCAGCAGTCCTCAGCCCCCGCTGTCCGATCCCTTGGATCCTTTTCCCCAGAGGAGCCTGGAGCCAGGTGACATTGCAGTGCTGGTCCTGTACTTCCTCTTTGTCCTGGCTGTTGGATTATGGGTAAGCCAGGCCATGGAGGGCCGGGCGGGGGGCAGGTGGGGAGGAAATGTCTGACCAGAGATGGCAGTTAGCCACATCCTTTTGAAGATAGGATACTGATGACGAAAAAAAACTAGCTCAAGCTCATAGAATAATCAGTGTCATAGAGTAATGTGTCAGGCACTGTGTTAAAGCTTTTTCATTTATGTTCTTCCTCTCTGAGAATTTTATTTATTTATTTATTTGAAAGAGTTACAGAGAGAGAGGGAGAGACAGAGAGAGAGAGATCTTCCACCTGCTGGTTCACTCCTCAGATAGCCACAATGGCCAGGACTGAGCCAGGCCAAAGCCAGGATCCAGGAACTCTATCAGGGTCTCCCATGTGGGTGCAGGAGCCCAAGGACTTGGTCCATCTTCCACTGCTTTTCCAAGATCATTAGCAGAGAGCTGGATTGGAAGTGGAGTGAGTGGACATGAACTGGCAACCATATGGGATGTCAGTGTTGGAGGTGGTAGCTTAACCCACTAAGCCACAATGCCAGCCCCATGATAAACTCCTTGGAGCAGAACCATCCAAAGAATAGATGCCTTTATGATTATTGATTTTAGGTGTGGAGCCAATCTTTATTACATCGTCCATGTGTGCAAAGTCTCATCACTGCCTCACCAACAGTATCTCCCTCTCACAGGGGAGATAACATCTCAGTATATTGCTAATATGCACTTATAATAACAAATGAGGCTAGACACCTTTGTGTATGTTTAAGGATAGCCTTATGTGGACTATGGTTTCATATCTTTTGCCCATTTTATTAGGTTCTTGCCTTTTTTCCTTGTTGATTTCTAAGAGCTCTTTATATATTAAGGATCTAGTAACTTTGAGGCAAGGATGGTATGGAGAAGATGCTGCTGACTGGTTTTTAGGTTTTCTGGCACCAGGCACTTGAGCACTACGGTGAACTGAGGTGTGCTTACTTTGGGCTGACTCTGCAGGTCTTTTTGCTACTCCCACCCCTTATCTTTCACTCACTTGGGCCAAGAAAGGAAAAGTGCTGGACACTCCAAAGGCCATGCACCTGACCTTTCCCCGTTTGCCCTACCTTGGTAAGACATACAGGGCTGAGTTGCCATTAAATCAGACAGGCCTGGGGTCAGGGTCAGGGTCAGGGTCAGGGTTATGGTAAGGATAAAGGTAGAGGCCCTGGAGACAGCAGTGAGTGCAGGCGCTGGTGGCTTTGCCTAGTAGCAGCTCTCTCAATAAGTCCCATGTTGTGGAGTTGTTAGGTTGGGGAAGAAACTTCCAGAACCAGAGGTGCAAGGACAGTGGGGTCAATTTCAGGAGAGTGGCATTTTGGAGCAGAGATCCACGCAGTCTCTCCTGGCCCTGCAGATGGACAGAGTCACTTGATGTCCACCCTCGCACAGGGAAGAGAGTGCTGGGTTGGCTTGTGCCGAGTCCTGTGGCTGTCCAAGCAGACGCCAGCCAGGTGTCCACTCTGAGTGTGTTGCTGACACCTGAGGGAGGCCCCACAGAGGCCTGCACAAGAGGACCATGCAACTCTGCCATGTCCCTGGTTTGGGAAGTCCTGAGTTAGATAATCTCTTCAAATCCACTTCAGCACAAGGAGCACTTGGCTTTTGTATTTTAAATTTTATTATTTTATTTGAAAGGTAGAGAAATGATAGATAGATAGATAGATAGATAGATAGATGACAGAGAAACAGAGATTCAGAGACAGAGAACAGATATCTTCCATCCACCGGTTCACTCTCCAAACCTCCACAACAGTCAGGTCTGGGCCAGGCCAAAGTCAGGAGCCCAGAACTCCATCCAGGTCTCCCGCGTGGGTGATAGGGACCCATGTACTTAAGTTGTCACCTGCTGCCTCCCAGAGTGTGCATTAGCAGGGAGCTGGAGCCAGCAGCAGAGCTGGGACTCAAACCCATGCACTCTGATACAGGATGTAGGTGTCCCCAGCAGTGTCTCAACCACTATATCAGACACTGACCCTGGGTTCTTTATTTGCAGGAAGTACTTCCTGTGTCAGAGTTCATCAGGAAGGAGCCACAGGGGCTGTTTCCTATGGCAAGATCAGTTGCGGGTGTGAAAACTGGCTATCTCCTGTGCAAAGCAAGAATCCCCTCCCTGACATCTACACCCAGGGCTCAGAGAGTGAAACACATATCCAAGATGACACAGCTACACAGTGGCCAAAATGTCCCTATTAAAACATTCGCAGTGGCCAGCGCTGTGGTGTAGCTGGTAACGCCACCATTTCCAGCACTGGCATCCCATATGGGTGCCTGTTTGAGTCCCAGCTGCTCTGCTTCTGATCCTGCTCCCTGCTGATGTGCCTGGGAAAGCGGCAGAAGATGGTCCAGTGCTTGGGCCCCTGAACGCACGTGGGAGACCCAGAAGAAGCTCCTGACTCCTGGCTTTGGCTTGGCTAACCACAGCTGTTGCAGCCATTTGGGGAGTGAACCAGTGGATGGAAGATTTTCTCTCTCTCTCTCTCTCTCTCTAACTCTGAATTTTAAATAAATAAAACAAATGTTAAAAATAAAATAGAACACTCTCAATGACAGGAAGCTCACTCTTGGGAAAGGTGGGCCCCCGGATCACTAAGAGCACAGACTCCCAGCTCAGGCTGACCTGGGTTTGAGTCACTGGCTCTTGCACCGTCTAGAGAAGTGACGTCACTTCTGACGAGCTGTGGTCTGAGTGTATGCCCCCAGGTTCACACGTTGAAACTTAACGGTCAATGTGATAGCGTTAGCAGGTGGCACACAGAGGAGGTGGTTGAGATCTGAGGGCAGAACCCGCAGCAAGGGGCTTGGAAGCCTTTTTTTTTTTTTTTTTTTTTTTTTTTTTTTTTTTTTTGGACAGGCAGAGTGGACAGTGAGAGAGAGACAGAGAGAAACATCTTCCTTTTGCCGTTGGTTCACCCTCCAACGGCCGCCACGGCCGGCGCGCTGCAGCTGGCGCACCGCGCTGATCTGAAGCCAGGAGCCAGGTACTTATCCTGGTCTCCCATGGGGTGCAGGGCCCAAGCACTTGGGCCATCCTCCACTTCACTCCCTGGCCACAGCAGAGAGCTGGCCTGGAAGAGGGGCAACTGGGACAGAATCCGGCGCTCCGACCGGGACTAGAACCCGGTGTGCTGGCGCCGCTAGGTGGAGGATTAGCCTAGTGAGCCGCGGCGCTGGTCATGGAAGCCTTCTGAGAGAGGCTGGAGGGAGCCCGCCAGTCCCTGTCTGCCCTTCTGCCCTTTGGCGGTGCGAGGTCACAGAGGAGGCGCCCTCTCCAGGCAGCAAGTCTGCCAGCACCTTAGCCTTGGACTTCCCAGCCTCCGCACTCTGAGCAGCTAATCTCTGTTGTTAGGAGCCACCCAATCCCGGATGTTCTGCTACAGCAGTGCAAAAAGCGAACAGACCAAGACACACGCCTCGGCTCCTTCATCTGTCACAGCCGCCTGTGACACCAAGCTCGTGGGGGGTTGGAAAGGATTAAAATGCGGCGATGGTGACAAAATGCTTAGTGCAGTGTCTGTCACCTGGAAGCCGCCATCGTAAGCAAGCCACGAATCTAAAGCTCAGGCGTTGTCAGGTGCGTGAATCAGGGAAAAGAATCCATGGCTCCTCTCGAGACATTCAAGCCAACAATTTCTTTTTTTTTTTTTAATTTAATTTAATTTTATTTTATTTTGACAGGCAGAGTGGACAGTGAGAGAGAGAGACAGAGAGAAAGGTCTTCCTTTACCATTGGTTCACCCTCCAATGGCCGCTGCGGCCGGCGCGCTGCGGCCGGCGCACCACGCTGATCCGAAGCCAGGAGCCAGGTGCTTCTCCTGGTCTCCCATGGGGTGCAGGGCCCAAGCACTTGGGCCATCCTCCACTGCACTCCCTGGCCACAGCAGAGAGCTGGCCTGGAAGAGGAGCAACCAGGACAGAATCCGGCGCCCTGACCAGGACTAGAACCTGGTGTGCCGGCGCCGCAAGGCAGAGGATTAGCCTAATGAGCCACGGCGCCCCCAACAATTTTTTACTATCCATAGGGCAGACGAGATGCCTTTGACTCCCAAATCTGGCCCTGCTGGGCCCCCAGGTCACCGGTCCTGTCCTGGGCCACCTCTGATTGCTGCCGCTTCCCCTCCTGAACCCCTTTTCTCTGTTTCAGTCCACAGTGAAGACCAAAAGAGACACAGTGAAAGGCTACTTCCTGGCTGGAGGGGACATGGTGTGGTGGCCGGTAAGTGCTCTTTGGTTCACTCACAGCCAGCTCTCAAGGACAAAGCGCTGATCTTTGGATGCCTTGGTCCCATGTTGTCCCATGTCCCACGTTGGCGGGAAGTCACGGTCCAAACTAGAGAAGGCTGGGCTCCCCCTTGGTTCACCCAAGGGAATACTCTAGGGTTGGCCGGGTTTTACGTAAGGCTGAGAGCAGAGGCTCAAGGTATCTGTAACTTCTGTTACAAGGTATCTGTAACTTCTCTCATTTCTCATTTCCTATGGAAATGCGAGGGACCCAGATTAGCCCAAGCCATCCTGAGCAAGAAGAATCAAGCTAAGGACTCAGGTTTCTGATTCCACGAAGCAGTAGAACGCTGTGATTCTGGGCAGAAGGACAGACACAGAACAGGGCACAGAATTCGATGAGAACCAGAGACTAGAGTCTCACTAGGAGGCACAACATCCCTCATGCAGCTCTCCCTCCTCTTCCTCCTCCTTTCCCCCATCCCCTCCCTCTCCCTCCTCCTCCTCCTCCTCCTCTCTCTCTCTCACCTTCTTTCTCCTCTTTCCCACCAGACTGGCGGTGATGAGCCAGTGGCTGAGCACAGCTCTGCAGTACCTACCCCCAACCCCTGCCACGTACTTCCCCCTGGTTTCCCCAGCCCCAGTCCCAGGCACCACCAGACGTTGTACCCAAGCTTCAAATTCCCCACAGAGAGAGCACAACTGCCCAGGCCCAAAGCCCATCCAGCCCAATCAACTGAGGCCAGAGACTGGAGTCATTGAGCACAGCTTTGGCTGCTTAATGTCCAACCAGAAGGAGCTGGGGAGTAGCACAGGCTTCCTGACTCTCATTGTGAAGCAGTTTCTTAGTTTCTTTTTTTGTTTATTCTTTTTTTGTTGGACAGGCAGAGTGAACAGTGAGAGAGAGAGACAGAGAGAAAGGTCTTCCTTTGCTGTTGGTTCACCCTCCAATGGCTGCCGCGGCCGGTGCGCTGCGGCCGGTGCACCGCGCTGATCCGAAGGCAGGAGCCAGGTGCTTCTCCTGGTCTCCCATGGGGTGCAGGGCTTAAGCACTTGGGCCATCCTCCACTGCCTTCCCGGGCCACAGCAGAGAGCTGGCCTGGAAGAGGGGCAACTGGGACAGAATCTGGCGCCCCAACCGGCACTAGAACCCGGTGTGCCGGCGCCGCTAGGCGGAGGATTAGCCTGTTGAGCCGCGGCACTGGCCAGTGAAGCAGTTTCTACAAAACCTGTTCCCCTTTCCCCTGTCTCTGCCTAGGGATGCTCTGCACAGTTGTTCAGGCTGTGCACTGTACAACCCTAAGGAATGCAATTTACACTTTAGCCATCATAGACAAGCATCATCTTTTTAAAAAGAGATTTATGTATTTATTTATTTGAAAGCCAGAGAGAAAGGAAGGGACACACAGAGTGAACCATCCGCTGGTTCATTCCCCAGATGCCTGAAACAGCCAGGGCTGGGCCAGACTGAAGCCAGGAGCCAGGAGCCACTTCCAGGTCTTTCATGTGCATAGCAGGGGCTCAAACACTTTGGTTATCCTCCACTGCCTTCAAAGGTCACTAGCAGGGAGCTGGGTCAGAAGTGGAGCAGGGGTGGGCACTGTGGAGTAGCAGCTAGAGCCACCGTCTGTAGTACCAGCATACTATGTGGGTGCTGGTTCAAATCCGGGCTGCTGCACTTCTGATCCAGCTCCCTGATGGGAGCTGATGGCCTGGGAAAGCAGTGGAGGATGGCTCAAGTCCTTGGGCCCCTGCACCCGCGTGGGAGACCTGGAAGAAGCTCCTGGCTCCTGGCTCCTGGCTTCAGATTGGTGCAGCTCTGGCTGTTGAGGCCATCTGGGGAGTGAACCATCGGACGGAAGACCTCTCTCTCTCTCTCTCTCTCCCCCACCCCTGCCTCTGTAACTCTGCCTTTCAAATAAATAAATAAATAAATAGTTAAAAAAAAATGGAGCAGTCAGAGCATGAACTGGCGCCTATATGGGATGCTGGCATAGCAGGTGGAGGCTTTACTGGCTACACCACGATGCCCCCCTGTAAACAAATTCTGGCAACTTCTGACAGGTGGCAGTGAAGCCGTCCTGGGGAAGGAGACTCATTTTCTAATCTGAGCAAAGATGCAGAGGGCACCAGGAATGGCCCTGCCGGCTCCACTTCTGTCTCGGTCCCTCTGGGGCTTGACAGGAGAGGGGTGCGGGAGTTGGGGGTGTGGGAGCACTGATTGTCCGTCTGCCCATAGGTGGGGGCCTCCTTGTTCGCCAGCAACGTTGGGAGTGGGCACTTCGTGGGCCTGGCAGGGTCGGGCGCTGCAACAGGAATTTCTGTAGCTGCTTACGAGTTTAACGTACGTACTGGAGCTGGGTGTGGACCTCTTACGTGGGCGCCGTAGCCGGGGCGGACGTCTCACGTGGGCGCCGTAGCCGGGGCGGAGGTCTTGCATGGGTGTGGTAGACAGGTGTGGACGGCTCAGGTTGGGCGTCATAACCTGGGTGGACATCTCGCGTGGGCGCTGTAGCTGGGTGGATGCCGTAGCCTGGGTGAATGTCTCGCGTGGACGCCATAGCCGGGCATACGTCTTGCGTAGGCGCCATAGCCTGGGTGGACGTCTCGCGTGGACACTGTAGCAGGCTGGACCTTTCTCCTCCACACGCGCGGCTGGTCCTCCAGGAGAGCCAAGTGAACGGCGGCTTCCAGTACACGGTGCCTCTTTCTGAAGGAAGCGAACCAGGGCCGGGGGCCTTCCGGGCTCCCTGGTCCGCAGACTCACTCTGCTTTGGGCGTCTCAGGCTCCCTGTGTCTGCTGGGTGGGGGCCCACTGGTGTGGACAGGAGCAGTCGGGGAGCTTCCCTGTGGGAGCAGAAGCAGGTGGCCAGGACTTGGAGGGCATTTCTGTGTATTTGAGACATCAGTTGGCCATCCCCCAAAATCACACTGTTCAGTACTTGTTTCTGCTTTTTTTTTTTTTTAAGATTGATTTATTTATTTGAAAAGCAGGGTTACAGAGAGAAAGAGATCTTTCATCCGCTGGTTCACTCCCCCAAATGGCTGTAACAGCCATGGCTGGCCCTGGCCAAAGCCGGGGGCCAGGAGTTTCATCTGGGTCTCGTGTGGGTAGCAGGAGCCCAAATACTTGGGCCATCTGCTGCTGCTTTTCCCAGTCCATTAGCAGAGAGCTGGATTGGAAGTGGAGCCGACGGGACATGATCCAGCACCCATATGGGATGTCAGTGTTGCAGGCAGCTGCTTAACCTGCTGTACCAAAAAGACAGACCCTCAGTATTGCTGCTGCTGTTGTTTTAAATCGGTTTGAAAGGCAGCATTATATATAAACAGATCTTCCATCTGCTGGTCACTCCCCAAATGGCTGCAGTGGCCAGTGCCGGACCAGGCTGAAGCCAGGAGCCTGGAACTCCATCCGGGTCTCCCAACTGCGTGCAGGGGCCCAAGCCTTCAGATCATCATTGGCTTTTCCAGGTGCATTAGCAGGGAGCTGGATGGGAAATGGAGCAGCCAGGACTTGACTTGGTACTCATGGGGCCCCGTGGGTTTCCTTGCGACAATCAAATGAGGCACTGTTATATCAGCTTCTCTTCCCTACAAAATCCTCTCCATTTTAAAACTGGAGACAGGAAGGCCAGGGAGGGTGAACCACTAAACACGTAAGGGATTAAAGCAGAGGTGGAGTTCAGGTCCAGTGACCTCAGGGTGCAGAGAGAAATCCCAGGGGGCCCTTGGCCACAAGCGAGGGGCCGAGTCCTGACTGTGTTTTCTTGGGCAGGGCATGTTTTCCGTGCTGATGTTGGCCTGGATCTTCCTCCCTATCTACATCGCGGGCCAGGTGAGTCTAGGGGGTTGGGGGGTTGGGGGGCTGTGGAATGGGACCCTCTTTGGGCAGGTCAGCCCTGCATTCCTCCCCTCCCCTCTGTGGACATCCATCAGAGCCACTTTGAGGACCCGGTACTGCGGGGATGGTGCATGGGTGAGACCACCAGGAACCCCTAGCAGATCCCGCCCAGTAAGCAGTGTCCTAGGGCACAGGGGTATTCAGTATATCACAGCACTATTCACACAGCAAATACACAAAGTAGGAAGAGTTTAAGGATCAGAGGTCACATTTAAAGTCACCTCGTCCAGAAAGGCAAAGTTACAGACATAGAGAGAGACCTCCATCCACTGGCTCACTCCCCAAAGGGCTGCAATGGCTGGAGCTGAGCCTGTCAGGAGCCAGGAGCTTCTTCCAGGTCTCCTACGCAGGTGCAGGGGCCATCTCCACTGCTTTCCCAGGCCATAGCAGGAAGCTGGATCAGAAGAGGGGCAGCTGGGACTCAAATTGGCACCCATATGGTATGCTGGTGCCATAGGAGGTTTAGCCTACTATGCCACAGCACCAGCCCCCCAATGAACTTATTGTTTTTTCTTTTTTAAAAATATTTATTTGAAAGGCAGAGTTACAGAGGGGCAGAGGCAGAGGGAGAAAGAGAGAGAGAGAGAGATCTTCCATCCGCTGGTTCACTCCCCAGATGGCTGTAATGGCTGGAGCTGAGCTAATTCAAAGCCAGGAGCCAGGAGCTTCTTCCAGGTCTCCCACGTGGGTACAAGGGCCCAAAGTCTTGGGCCATCTTCCATTACTTTTCCAGGCCATAGCAGAGAGCTGGATCTGAAATAGAGCAGCTAGGACTCAAACTGGCGCCCATATGGGATGCGACGCTGCAGGCTGTAGCTTTACCTGCTATGCCACAGCGCCGACACCCATGAATTTTTTGAAGACCCCTTGCTTGCTTTTGCTGCATGTAGCTGCTGTGTCATTTTCATGCCTACGTAGTATTCTGCAGTGACTCCACCGCAGGGTACCGCAGGGATCCGCTGTGTTGTTCCCAGTGTTGACCGTGATGGATGGTGCTGGTATGAACGTTTTTACGTGTTCTGATGCACATCGATGTGTTGATAAACAGGGAGAGGGTCCACCTTTGAGTGAAACGTCAGGTCATCGCACATCTTGGCTTCACAAGACAGCGCTCAATTTCACTGCCAACGTCATGGTGTCAGCTCATTCTCGCCTCCCCACAGTGTAGGGGAATACCTCTTGCTCCAGTGCCCACATCCGTGCCAACACTTGTGATTCTCTCACTTTGAAAGTCTTGCTACTCTGCTGGGTATTGTAGTATCGCCCCGGGCTTTTGATTGGCAAGTCTGTGTATGGATTTCCTCTTTGGACTTTTAGTTCCTTTGCCCATATTCCTGCAGTTTTATGTCTTTTCTTATTGATTTTTTTTCAATGTTTCTTTTTATTCACTTGGAAGGCAGAGAGACAGAGGGAGAGACAGACAGGGAGATCTTCCATCCATTGGTTCTTTCCCCAAATGGCCATGGCAGCTAGGGCTGGGCCAGTGTGATTATAATGGTGTTACTCCCATTAATTAGATTGTGTGTGTCTCTCCCACCAGACCAGGGTTTCTCAACCCCGGTACTAGTGATATTTGGAGCCTGATAATTCTTTGGTGGTGGTGTGTGTGTGTGTGTATGTGTGTTTGGCAGTGGGTGTATTAGATGTATGTGTGTGTGTGTATGTGTTGTATGAATGTGTGTGTATGTGTTATGTGTGTTAGGTAGAGGATGTGTGTGTGTTAGATGTTAGATGTTGGGTATGTTTGTTGTGTGTATGTGTTGTGTTGTGTGTGTTAGGTAGTGGATGTGTGTGTGTTAGATGTGTGTGTCGGGTATGTGTGTTGTGTGTATGTGTTGTTCATTGGGTGTATATTGGGTTATGTGTTGGGTGTGTGTGTGTTGGGTGTTGTGTATATTATAGGTTGTTTAGTAACTCTCTACCCACTAGATGCCAATAGCACCTTTCAAATTGTGACACCCAACCCGTGTCCAGACACATCCAGGTATTCCCTGGGGGGTGCAAAATCTCCATCGGTTGAGAACCATTGCACTAGACTGTGCATCTCTCCCATGATTCTGTAAGATCCAGGAGGGCAGGGACCAGCCGTGCTTCCTCCCCCAGTCCAGAACAGTGCGTGGCACCTCGCAGATGCTCGGGAACTATGTGTGAAAATTCATCAATACGAGGGTCTCACCTGAGCGCAGGTGGAAATAAGATGAAGGGTGAGCCCACACCCGCGAGAGGAACCATCTGGGGACACGAAGTCTGGGTAGAGTCCCCAAGCAGAGTCAGCAAGTGGGAGCTCTGCATGGATGTCGAGAGGGAGCAGGGTCTGGGAGGTGACCGGGCAGAGAGAGGGAGTGCTGGGCTGGCGGTGCTGATCTGATCTGCTGCTGCTGGCCTTGAGCAAACGGATTCTGCGCATGGTGCGTGTGGGTGCGTTCTCCCACTGTCACTGGAACTGTTTCTGTTTCAAGCAAGAGGCTAGCAAGACAGGAAGACAGCAGAGCAGTCAGGATCCCTGCTGGATCTGGGGGAGCCCCAGGGTGGGGTCGATTTGGTATTACCAGATGGCGGGGGTTCCAAGGAAGAAGGCAGTCCTCATGAGCCCGGGTGGTGGCAGAAGCTGCTCCCTCCCTCTGCCACCAGCTTGCTGGGGTCCGGGGAGGGAAGGTGGTCATCTCCCCTGCTGTGTCATTCACTGCACTTAATTTCTCCTTGGCATTGACCCAGCTCCCACCAGCGGGTGCTTCCTGTGTAAATAGCCAGCCCCTCCTCGCCAAGGCAGGGGGCAGCTGGAGCCAGGAGGGGTGTGGGGAGCTTAGCCTGAGGATCTGGGTCATTTCCTAAACACCCTGTGTTGGGGGTCAGGGATGTAGTGGGGCTGGAAGCCCCGTGTATAATGTGCTAATATGATTTCTCTCTGTCTCACACACACTGGCCAATTGTGCTTGTAGCAACCTACAAGCAGTAGCGTCCTCTGCCCACTAGCTTCACATCCCCCGAGTCCGATTTCAGAGGCCACCCAGTACTGCCCGCGGCCTGGTGACCTTCCTCCCACCTTCCCAGCTTAACTCTTTGGAAGCTTCCGGCACTTGGAGGCTCTGCTGCTCTCTCTAGATAAAACGAAGGTCAACTGAGAATAAAGGCTGTCGGCCAGCAATAAGCGAGCCTCATCACCCCGGCCAAGGCCGGCGACTGCTGTGCCCCACGGGGCAGAGACCGACTCCAGCCCAGAGCCATCCAGCTCGGTGCATTTGTCTGCATGCCCTGAGCCCCTTTCGTGACCTCACGTGCCCGCTAATTAGCGCTCTCGTGTTGTCAGCAAGAATCTGTCCCACAGTCAGTGAGGTCGCCTTGAACTCCCTTGAACTCTTCCTTGATAGAGGGTCAGAGTCCAGGCGATGCCTTTCTAGAAACTTCTTGCTTTGTTTGCAGAACACCAGAATGCTACAGCAAGATGTTCATAAAAGGTCAGAATCCCAAGTGGCCCTTTTCGGGGGAGGGCTGAAGGAGGAGAGAAAAGCAGTTCATTTTCTTTTTCTGTTTATATGTATCCATTTGTTCCTGGTGTTCATGAAAAAAGGTCAAGTATTTGTCGAGGTTTTACAGTGAACACTCCTAGATTCTCCCATACCCAGATTCCACCATGAGGCACCTGCTGCTCCTACAGCAAGTCTGGCCCTCCAGGCTCCTCCACTGCCTGCTCCCAGGTGCTCCTCCCCCACAGTCTGACCTTGACCTTACCGTGGATGGATTGCCATTTATCAGCTCGTGGCTTCACACCCATTAGACTCTCCTGAACTAGACTTGGGCACACTCAAAACCACAACAGGCGGGAGGTGGGGCTGCAAGCATTCGAGCCAACATCATTGTCCCTCTAACATGCCTGCCTGGCGCCTTGTGGAAGAACATTTGTTGGTCCGAGGGCCAGGATGCAGCATTGTGTCAACCCCGAGTCCAGGGCATTCAGTGGGGGCAAAGACTGGGAAAGACCATGCCCACTCCCAAAGAAACATGCAACCCCCAAAGTAATTCTTGGCGGAGTGGCCCAGGCCCTGGGGTGCCCCATTCTTCTGCCTTTGCACCGCCCACACCAGGGCCTCGCTGGTGCTGTGGATTTTCCTGCTGCTCCTAGTGACCAGGCTAAAGTTGTTTAGGAGAGCAAGTTTCCCATAGGTTAGGACGTGGACAACAGAAATTCTTGAGACGATTTTAGGTGTTGGACTAGGGCCATCTACATGAACCCTTGTTGGGAAGTTGTCCCCTTTGCCACTGGCTTTCAGATTTTTAGACTTAATTGTTTAAGTGTTTTATTTTTAACTGACACATAGTAGTTGTACCTGTTCCTCGGGTGCCATGTGATGTTTCAAAACAGGTGTGCATTGTGGGATGATCTTACAGAGGGAACTCGGGCAGGCCTCATGTTGAAGACTACATACTCTCACCACCTGCCCCCAAACTCAGCACTCCTCTCCCCCCACCTCCCCTCCCCCGCTTCTCTCTCTCTCTTGAAACAAAGAATGAGTAGGGTCTTGGTCCAGAGACTTTGATATGCAGTAGTAAAGTTGCTAGAAAAGAATTTTTTTTAAAAAATGAATTGTTCTATTATCTTTATTTTCCAATTTCCTTAAATCTGGGACTGACTTTTCCATTCACAGTGGTGGTTTAAAGTTACCCAGGTAGGGGGGCCCATGTTGTGGTGCAGCAAGTTAAGCCACCACCTGCAATGTCGACATCCAATATGGGCAATGGTTTGAGTCCCAGCTGCTCCACTTCCCATCCAGCTCCCTCCCAATGCACCTGCAAAAGCAACAGAAGACGGCCCCAATACTTGGGCTCTTGCCACCCACATGAGAAGGGTTTCAGGCCTGACCATTGTGGCCATCTGGGGAATGAACCAGTGGATGGAAGATCTCCTTCTCTCTGTATATATAACTCTGCTTTTCAAGTAAAAAGAGGTTTTTAAAGTTCCTTTCTTTAGGTAGGTCATTATGAATAAGAAGAAGAGTGGGTTGAAAGAAGAACATCAAGTCAAGAGTAGTACAGGTTACAGGGAAATCGGATGGGGATATGCACCATGCATGGGAATAGACGGCTGGGCTCTCGCCCTGCACACAGCCCTGCCTCCTCCACACCCCACCCCTTCATGCCTTCTTAAGTCTCGCCTTGAGAGTCCCAAGAAGACCTCCTGTGCTTCTGAGTCTGGGGAGGTGGGCTGGGGTGGGAAAGGTTGTAGGGGGGAGGGTGTAGGGTGCAGACCGAAGGTAGCCCTGGGTGGTGACAGCCCTGCTCTGACCCCCAGGTCACCACGATGCCGGAATACCTGCGGAGGCGCTTCGGCGGCAGCAGGATCGCCATCACCCTGGCCGTCCTCTACCTGTTCATCTACATCTTCACCAAGATCTCGGTAAGGCGGGCACAGCCCGGCCACGTTCCTGCCACCTTGCAGAGACCACAGGGCCAGTCTGCCGCTGGGGGTGTCTCCTCCGCGTTCTCTTGGGCCAGCTTTGGGGAGGTCAGAGGACAGTGGGAGGGGCTGGAGAGAGCAAGCATGGGCAGGGAAGTTGGGAGAAACGACGGAGGGAAAGACCCCTCTCCTGCCCCTGCCAAGCCCAGAAAGTGACAAAATAGCAGTAGCATTGCCACCTCCGGCACGTGCTCCTCGGCCAGCCCTGCTCATGCCAAACCCACCTTCTCCGGCAGCCCGGGGTGGGGAGGACACTGTGGTGTGTGAGGCGGGTGAACAAGGGGCAGAAGGATTTCCACTCAGTCCAAGCAGCAATGACTGACTGACCCTGCGCTAGCTCCAGTCTCGCAGGACGGATGCACGGGCTCCATTCCAGAACATTCTCTCGCAGTCTGGTCGGAAGCTTTGCAGTACAGGGGGACGTTGTATCTCAGGATGAGTTTAGCTGCTGAAGAGGGAACTGGTTTTCCCGGTGGATGGATCGGCACCGGCCAAAGCTGGGAGGCTGGGGTGAGCGTGAGCTGCTGGGGAAACAGAGTTTTCAGAAGAGCCCTGCAGACTGGGAGTAAGAAAGAGTAAAGGGGGCCGGCGCCGTGGCTCGCTAGGCTAATCCTCCGCCTGCAGCTCCGGCACCCTGGGTTCTAGTCCCGGCTGGAGTGCTGGATTCTATCCTGGTTGCTCCTCTTCCAGTCCAGCTCTCTGCTGTGGCCCGGGAGGGCAGTGGAGGATGGCCCAAGTGCTTGGGCCCTGCACCCACATGGGAGACCAGGAGGAGGCACCTGGCTCCTGGCTTCGGATTGGCGCAGCGCTGGCCGTAGTGGCCATTTGGGGGGTGAACCAACGGAAGGAAGACCTTTCTCTCTGTCTCTCTCTCTCACTGTCTAACTCTGCCTGTGAAAAAAAAAGTGTAAAGGGAACGAAGCTGTGAGCCAGGCCAAATGGAAAGGGCCTAGCAGCCAGCCACACTGCTTTGTGTGCTTAGCCTTCGTCTTGGGGGCAATGAGGAGCCGCTCTAGGGTTTTGTCGGGGAGCAGGGTGATTTGCTGGTTTCTGACGAAGGCTGCAGTGTGGGGGATGGGGTACAAGGTCAAGGGCCAAAGTGGGAAGAGCACTGAGGAGGGGGGCGCATTAGCCCAGAGCAAGGGTCTCAGACTTCATTCTGGGATGAGATGGACGAAGAAACGAACAAGGCGTGGTTCTTGTGTCCTTGCCAGAACGTAGCTTAGGGGCTGATCCAGGGCACAGCACTGTGACTGCCCATTGGTTCCTTTGTTCATCCGTCAACGATGTCCTGACTCCACAGGTGGACATGTACGCCGGCGCCATCTTTATTCAGCAGTCCCTGCACCTGGATCTGTACCTGTCCGTAGTCGGGCTGTTGGCCGTCACAGCGCTGTACACTGTTGCAGGTAGGCAGGGGCCGAGGGTCACCCCATCTCTTCCTGGCTAACCTCCTCATGTCCCAGTGTGCTCAGATCATGCATTCATTAAACCTCTTCACGCCAGATAATCAGATTTTTCTTGTCCACCATCCAGAGGAAAAGTGTTGCCCAACAAGAGAATTATTATTAAAGATTTATTTGAAAGTTAAAACTACAGAGAGAAGGGGTGAGAGAGGTCTTCCATATATTGGTTCACTCCCCAGATGGCTGGGCCAAGCCAAAGCCAGGAGCTTGGAGCTTCTTCTGGGTCCCCCACATGGGTTCAGGGACCCAGGTACTTGGGCCATCTTCTGTTGATTTCCCAGGTGCATTAGCAGGGAGCTGGATTGGAAGTGGAGCAGCCGGGACTCAAACTGGCACCCACATTGGGATGCTGGCATTGCAAGCAGCAGCTTTACCTGCCATGCCACAGTACCGGCCCCAAGAGAATTATTTTTTTTTTAATATTTATTTATTTGAGGGGCTGGTGCCATGGCTCACTTGGTTAATCCTCTGCCTGTGGCGCCAGCATCCCATATGGGCGCCGGGTTCTAGTCCCGGTTGCTCCTCTTCCAGTCCAGCTCTCTGCTGTGGCCCAGGAGGGCAGTGGAGGATGGGCTTGGGCACCTGCACCCGCATGGGAAACCAGTAGGAGGCACCTGGTTCTTGGCTTCGGATCAGCGCAGCGCCGGCCGTAGCGGCCAATTGGGGAGTGAACCAACGGAAGGAAGACCTTTCTGTCTCTCTTTCTCACTGTCTATAACTCTACCTGTCAAATAAATTTTTTAAAAATTATTTATTTATTTATTTGAAAGGCAGAACAACACTGTGGGACAGGGAAAGAGGAGATAGATTTACTCATCAGTTTGCTTCCCTCAAATGCCTGTAACATCCAGGTCTGAGCCAGGCCAAAGCCAGGAGCCCGGAACTCCATCCAGGTCTCCCACATGGGTGGCAGGGACCCAAGCATCTGTTGGTTCCCTCCCCCAAATGCCCACAACAGCCAAGGCTAGGCCAGCCTGAAGTCAGGAGCCTGGAACTCCACCCAGGTCTCCCACATGGGTGGCAGGGACCCAAGAACTTGAGCCAGCACCTGCTGCCTCCAACGGCATGCATTAGCAGGAAGCTGGACTGGAAGTAGACTAGCTGGGACTTGAACCAGGCACTCAGATATGGGAAGCAGGTATACCTGACCCTAGACTGGGATTCTTAAAGCTTGGGCTCTCAGGGTAAGAATGGAAGAGTTAGAATGGAAGCTGTAGTCTTCCTTGAAAAAAATTGCTTCTATCACATTCTGTCATTCAGAGCAAGTCTCAAGGTCAAGGTCACATTTAAGAGGCTGAGGAATTGATTGAACAGGAAAGGAGAGCAGTCACGTTGCAGTGAATGAGCATGCCCACCAGGGGCGTCATTGTGACCAGTGGCAAGCAGTCAACACTAGGAATCTCCTGTCTGGTGTTGACCTTTGGGGTCCCCTCTGAGGCCCAGGCTTATTCCCCCGCCCCCCGCAGGTCGCCTGCTCCTTACCTCTGTGCTCCTCCCCGCAGGTGGCCTGGCCGCTGTGATCTACACCGATGCCTTGCAGACTCTGATCATGCTCGTCGGAGCGCTCACCTTGATGGGCTACAGTGAGTGCAGTCCCGGGGTCGTCTGGGTGGATGACAGCACCAGTGTCTGCTCTCATCATTGCAGTCAACAAGCCCAGCTGTCAATAAGTGGCGTTATTGGGGGGGGGGGGTTCCTATCACAGCCTCATTGCTTAAGGCATGGTTTATTCTAACCAGAAAAGAATTGCGCTCGCTCATCACGGAAAATTACTGGTTTTGAAATTTTTAAAAAATTAATTTATTTTCATTTGAAAGAGGGAGGCAGAAAAGAGATGTGTAAAGAGATCTTCCATCTCCTGATTCACTCTCCAAATGCCCACAATAGTCTGAGCAAGGGTCTAAGGTCTTGGGCCATCTTCCATTGCTTTCCCAGGCCATTAGCAGGGAGCTGGAGCAGAAGAGAAGCATCCGGGACACGAGCCGGGGCCCATATGGGATGCTGGCGCTGTAGGCAGAGGCTTAGCCTACTGTGCCATGGTGCTGGCCCCCTAGCAGGGTTTCTTAACCTGGGCAGAACTCAGGTTATCAGTGAACTTCAACAGGAACAAGTGTATCTCTATTTCCACACATCTGAACTTGAAATTTAGCATTTTTTTGTTCCAGATGAAGACCACGAACCACAGTAAAATTAGGAGTATCTCTAGGACCTGTGATTTTGCTAACGAAAGATACCTCAAGTGTTTTCATGTTACATGATACTCGTTGCTAATGTATCTGAACAGTTTGTGTCCCCAGCTATTTTTAACCCTAAATCAGTGGCTGGCATTGTGGCACAGTGGGTTAAGCTGCTGCTTGGGACACCAGCATCCCATATCCAAGTGCTGGTTCAAGTCCCAGCTGCTCTGCTTCTGATCCAACTTCTTGCTGATGCACCCGGGAAAGCAGCAGATGATGGCTCAATTACATTGGCCCCTGCCACCTACATAGGAAACTCGGATGGAGCTCCTGGCTCCTGGTTTAAGCCTGGCCCAGCCCTGGCTGTTGCCATCAATTGGGGAGTGAACCAGTGCATGGATGATCTCTCTCTCTCCTTCTCTCCTATTCTGCTTTTCAAATAAGTAAATACATAAATCTTTAAGAAAAAAAAAAAACCTTGAATCATGATTTGACCTACTTCAAGGTCAAATTTACTGTTTACAAGGTCAAATTTCTATTTAATGGAGCAAATAATTTACTATGTCACTGTTTAAATATTTTAATGGTTGCCTTCTATCCTGTGTACTTTATTATGCCTTTGGACTGTTTCGTGGAGAAGTCATGCACAGTAACTCCCCAAGGCATTTTTGGAAAAGGGGCCAAGACCTCCCCAGTGGGCAGATTCTCCTTGGTAGCCCCGCCCTCCCTGGGCCCTCCACCTCCAGCCAGCCCCCATGGCTTGCCTGGGACAGACCTGAGTTCCTGGCTTCTCTGGACTACAGGTTTTGCTGCAGTTGGCGGCATGGAAGGCCTGCAGGAGAAGTACTTCCTGGCCCTGCCCAGCAACCGGAGTGAGAACAGCAGCTGCGGGCTGCCCCGGGAAGACGCCTTCCATCTCTTCCGTGATCCGCTGACGTCTGATCTGCCGTGGCCCGGGATCCTGTTCGGGATGTCCATCCCATCCCTGTGGTACTGGTGCACCGACCAGGTACGGGGGGCTGGCAGGTGCCTCTTTGCTCAGGGAGGCAGAAGCCGGTATTTCTCCTCCCTGCACCAGTTCGCTCCTCTGTGTTTTCCCCCACTCCCTCTGTACTGCTACGTGAGCTGTTTTGCTTCTTGCTCTTGCTGATGTTAATGGCAAATCCAAAGCTGTGGATTTTTCCCCTTAACTCGTTACCTCCTTTGTAATGTGTGGGAAGAGCCAGTTGGCGAAGTAGATGCATAATTGTATGTATTTATTTACTTATTTTATGATTTGAGACAGAGAGTGTGTCCTCCCATCCCCTCGTTCACTCCCCATATGCCTCCAGGGGCTAGGACTGGGCTGGGGCCTCGGCCAGGAGCTAGGAACACAATCCAGGTCTCCCATGTGGGTGGCAGCGTCCCGATCACTTGAGCCCCTACTACTGCTCCCCAACGTGTGCTGTTGCAGGAATCTGGAGTCAGGCCTGAGCCAGGCATCAAAACCCAGGTGCCCCAACACGGACACAGCGCCAAACCCAGGTGCTCCAACACAGACCAGTGCCAAACCCAGGTGCTCCAACACGGACACAGCGCCTTAACTGCTAGACGGAATGGCTGCTCCTGCTAGAGTGTCAATGAAGCTTAAAACATGGTGAATATCACTGGTTCAACAGATACTCCCTGGTGTCTTCTGTGTCCCAGCTATGCCACTGGACACTTGAGAATCAGGAGCAAGCAAATGAGACATAGCTTTCTGGCCTCGCTGCTTCTACAGCGAGTAGACAGAGACTTCCTTCGTAGGTTTTAAACAAAGTGAATATGTCGCCTGCTGCAATGTCTCCTGTGGCATTAAAGATTAGAGATCTGTGTACCATCCCGGACACTATACTGTACAGGCAAGGCTGGGCCGAGTTCTTGGGCCCCTGCACCTGCATGGGAGGCCTAAAAGAAACTCCTGGCTCCTGGCTTCAAATCAGCCCAACTCCAGCCATTGTGGCCATTTGGAGAGTGAACCAGTGGGTGGAAGACCTTTCTCTCTGTCTCTGCCTCTCTTTGTCTGTAACTCCACCTCTCAAATAAATAAATAAAAACTTACATGACTTGGAGTTTAGAAGTGGACTCCAGAGGCCGATGTTGTGGCGTAGTGAGTAGAGCCACCGCCTGTGACATCAGCATCCCATACGGGTGCCAGTTCCAGTTACGGCTGCTCCACTTCTGATCCAGCTCCCTGATAATGTGCCTGGGAAAGCAGTAGAAGATGGCAGAACTGCTTGAGCCCCTGCACCCGTGTAGGAGAACGGGAAGCACCTCCTAGCTCCTGTCTTCAGCCTGGTCCAGCTCTGGCCGTTGCAGTCATCTGGGGAATGAATCAGTGGATGGAAAATCTCTCTCTTTGTCTCTCCCTCACTCTCTCTCTATGCCTTTCAGACAAATAAAATAAATCTTCAAAAAAAAAAAAGACAGAGAATAAGTAGACTTCGCTAGTATGTAGGGGACAGGGCAGTTACTATGGGTCAGACACTATTCTACATATGCTAAATGTTTTGACTTCAGTTAATTGTCAAAACTGTCCTGGTACTATCCCCATATTGTAGATGAAAAAACTGAGGCAAAGAGAGGTAAAGTTACTTACCCAAGGTCACACAGCCAAGAAGTGGAAGAGGAGGATCTAAGCCCAGCTGTGTGCCCCAGTCTCCAGAGTTGGCACTGTTAACCAGACCTGGCACATCTAGGCGGGAGGGCTCCCCATGGCACCAGACACTGGTCTGTCCCTTTGCGTCTCCTGGTTTCCTTTCCTCTGCCAGTATCGTGGCAGATGTGCAGCCAGCAGTTCTGGGCCACCTGCCCGGGGAGTGACTCCAGGGGGTACAGCTGGTAGGGAGCCTCTCTCCTTTACCTTTCCTAGGAAGAAGTCCCTGAGGGCTGCAACTGGACTGCCTGGGACCCCTGCTTCTCCTTAACTGATAGTGGGAGCCAGTGGGGTAGGACAAGAATTAATGGAGAATTCTAAATAGCCAAAGCCAAGTTCACGGATAAAGGAGTAGTGAGGGGGGAGGGGACGGCCTCACAGCTGCCCCATCAGACCTCAGATGCTTCTCCCTAAAGGGGGCCAGGCAACCCAGGATGTTCAGCCTACCCCCAGCCAAGAAGCTGTGCACGCATGGCGCACCTCGAGAGAAAGCCAGCTCACTCCCAGCCACCCTCGCTGTTTTCCAGGTGATCGTCCAGCGGAGTCTGGCCGCCAAGAACCTGTCTCACGCCAAAGGAGGTTCTCTGATGGCCGCCTACCTGAAGGTGCTGCCCCTTTTCATCATGGTGTTCCCTGGGATGGTCAGCCGCATCCTCTTCCCAGGTGAGCGGACAGCGGGAGACGAGCCCATCGAGGTGTGGGTCCCAGAGCCTGCGGAGGGCTTTGCGCACACTCCTGGCTGCCCCGTGAGAATGTGGCGAGTCTCTCTTCCTAGAGACCGGACTGGGGCACCTGCCGACTCCCAGTGTTGGTTCAGTGGGAAAGTCCTCCCTCTCGGGCTCTCAGTCAAGCTGGGTAGAGACTCACCTGGGGCCTTGCTTCTTTTTGATAGGCAGAGTGGACAGTGAGAGAGAGAGACAGAGAGAAAGATCTTCCTTTGCCGTTGGTTCATCCTCCAATGGCCGCCACAGCTGGCGCGCTGCGCTGATCCAAAGGCAGGAGCCAGGTGCTTCTCCTGGTCTCCCATGGGGTGCAGGGCCCAAGCACTTGGGCCATCCTCCACTGCCTTCCCGGTCCACAGCAGAGAGCTGGCCTGGAAGAGGGGCAACCGGGACAGAATCTGGTGCCCCGACCGGGACTAGAACCTGGTGTGCTGGCGCCGCAAGGCGGAGGATTAGCCTACTGAGCTGCGGCACCAGCCTCGACTGTGACTTCTGAAATCACACCAAGCCTCAAACCTTGTGGTTCCTGGTGTCATTTACCTGAGGTCTCGCATGATCTCCCCTCTCTCGCTTTCCTGTTTGAGTTCGGTGGTTGGATAACTTTGGCCCAGGGGAATCCTTTTTGTGGTATGTCCCGTGTTACTTCTAAAGCATTATTGGCCTTGGTTTGCTGGTTTTCTAAGGTGGTGCAGGGATAGGTCTGTACCGTGGGGACAGACAATACCGAAGACACAGAGATGCTACAGGGAGCTGCTGTCTTGTCAGGAACTGGTGATCACGCAGGAAGGCTCCCCTCTGCCCCCTCAAACAGTAAACTTTCTTCCCCACACCCTGGGGCTGCATCAAGAGGAAGCTCTCAGGCCGGCGCCATGGCTCAATAGGCTAATCCTCCGCCTTGCGGCGCCAGCACACCCAGTTCTAGTCCCAGTTGGGGCGCCGGATTCTGTCCCGGTTGCCCCTCTTCCAGGCCAGCTCTCTGCTATGGCCCAGGAAGGCAGTGGAGGATGGCCCAAGTCCTTGGGCCCTGCACCCCATGGGAGACCAGGAGAAGCACCTGGCTCCTGGCTTCGGATCAGCGTGGTGCGCCAGCTGCAGCGGCCATTGGAGGGTGAACCAATGGCAAAAGGAAGACCTTTGTCTCTGTCTCTCTCTCTCTCTCTGTCCACTCTGCCTGTCAAAAAAAAAAAAAAAAAAAAGAGGAAGCTCTCCTTTTCTATGCCTTATCCCATGTGAAGTTATGCAGAAATAAAGAAAGGGTGGGATTGGCTCACAAGTTTGGTCAAAATACTTTAGAAGCCTCAGGAGTTAGCAGGGAGGGAGTTGGGGGTCACTGTCCCTGGATGTCGCCTCTCCAGCCCAGACAGGATGAATAACCCTGAGGGTGGCTGGTCCTGCTCCCAGGGAAAAGTTTCGAGGTTTGGGAGGGCCCCAAGGGAGGGATCTGGTTTAGGGGTGACCTGGGAGGGGCACTTGGAGCTGTTGAGGAAAACCTGGTGGTTGAACACATGACATAGCAATCACCAGCATTCGCTCTGCACCGGCCAATGCACAGTGCCAGCCAGTGCTTACAAAGAGTTGCGACCATGGACTCTCCTCTGGAGTGCCCGGGCCTGAAGCTTGCCTCTGCCTCTCACAAGGCAACCGTGGATAGGTTGGTTGAGCTCTCTGCCTCCATTTCCTCACCTGTAAAGGGGGGATAATGACACTGCACGAGGCCTGAAACAGTTTCTGACTGTTTTAGCAGGCACTAGAGAAGCGCTCACTGTTCTTACCTGTGTACAGCTGGTCTCCATATCCCTGAGTTCCACATGTGCAGAATAGTTCCACTCTTCTGGAAACATCACATCTGTATGGAACATGTTCACACTTTTTGCCTCGCCATCATTCCCTAAACAATGCAGTATAACAGCTATTAAAGTAGATGAGGGGGTGAGCAGAGTTTACCTGCAGACATTGCACCATTTTATTGAAGGGATTGGAGCAGCCTCAGATGTCAGCTTCTGTGAGGGGGCCTGGAGCAGATGCCCTAAGAATGAGAACTGTTACCCCATTGCATCCCCTGAATGACCTTTTGGGGAAACTACTTTTTGTTTTTGCTTTTAAAATACTCATTTCAAGAGCCCCCCCCCCCCCCCCGCATCTGCTGGTGCTACCTCTAAAGACCAGCTCACTCCGTGGAGAGAGTTCTACTCCATAGAGAGTGGCTGGGCTCAAATCCCACCTCCTACTTCTGTTACCGGAGAACGGCAGGGTTCTTGTCTTCACGCAAGAAAGAATTCAGGCATGAGACAGAGAGTAGTGGAAAGTAAAAGTAGCAAAGTTTATTAGGGCAGGGACATCCATAAGGACAGATGGGCACCTCTTCAGACAGGACCTGAGAGAGAGTGCGGTCGCTCGAACTGGCGGAGCGGGGGAGGAGCGAGGTTACATGGTTGAGTGGAGAGATCACACCTGGGCAGGCCAGGTGGGCGGCTCAGCAGAGAGGCAGAGGGCTGAGTGTGCCTTCCGGTTGAGGCCGGGGGTTTTTAAGGAGATGGGTCTCTGTCATCACACATCTCCTCCTGAAACAAAGGATTTTATGGATGTAAATATTAAGAAGCTCCTATCTGAGTTTTCCCCTGAAGGTATCAGACAGGAGGAAGGCTAGCTGGCGCCTGTCCTGAGTTTAGAGGAAGGGTGAGCAAGACCCCCTGGAGAATGGGGATACGGAGCATCTGGAAGGTTATCAGGCAGAAGGGGCAGGGACCCCCACCTGGCAGGTTATCGAGTAGAAGGGGGCAGGGCAGGATGCAGATACCGGGCTGCCCCTGAAACGTTATTGGGATGACTTTGAGATGCAGATGCAGATGCTGGACATAGACGTCTTCTCTTTAGGCCTGTCACACACACATAAGCTCATATCTGACTTCCTGCCTAACACTTCCACCAGCCCACTGTCGGGCCCTAAGCTTCCGGATCCTGTGTGGGCTTGGGACTAGGACTGCTGGCCACTGGGGACCTAAATGTCCAAAGCAGTGTCACTGAGCCACCCTCCCAGGACCCGGGAAAACACCTTTCTGGGTTATTATGACCCCCACAGCAAGACAGGACGACAGACACACCCTGTCCAACCCAAACCAGATCAGCCCGTGGCATTCTTCCGTAAGCTCTGGGAGGCGCCTGCCCAGCACAGGCAGGGCCAGGAAGCTGCCACAGCCCTCCCTCAGCCCCTACCCCAGTACATGCTGCTCAGCTGTGGAGCCGGAGAGGAGGAGGTGGGCTGTCCTGGGGAGCCCTCTTCTGCAGTGCCATTGCTCTTGTTCCCAGCTTACGGATGAGGACACTGGAGCTCAGAGAAATCAGTTGGTTCACTCATTTACTTCTTCTTCTCTGTGTCCAGTGACTATTTTGAGACCCAGTGATCCAGCAGGCCCTATTCCAGCAGATCCTGGAGATCCATTAGGGAGTTACACAGGATCCCCACTGCAGTAGGACTTACCCTGCGGTGCTGAAGGACCCAGACAGGAAGGAGTAAATCAGTAAGATAACATTGCGGTCGGCGCCGTGGCTCAATAGGCTAATCCTCCGCCTTGCGGCGCCAGCACACCAGGTTCTAGTCCCGGTCGGGGCACCAGATTCTGTCCCGGTTGCCCCTCTTCCAGGCCAGCTCTCTGCTGTGGACCGGGAAGGCAGTGGAGGATGGCCGAAGTGCTTGGGCCCTGCACCCCATGGGAGACCAGGAGAAGCACCTGGCTCCTGGCTTCGGATCAGCGTGGTGCGCCGGCCGCGGCAGCCATTGGAGGGTGAACCAACGGCAAAGGAAGACCTTTCTCTCTGTCTCTCTCTCGCTGTCCACTCTGCCTGTCAAAAAATAATAATAATAAAAAAAGATAACATTGCATGTGTTAAGTGCAGTGAGGAAAACACACAGGGGATGCCAGGGGCTCCTGCTGGCTATCACGGCCTGGGGAAGTCATTTAACTCTGGGCCTCAGTATGCTTGTCTTTTTAAAAGAGATTGATTTATGTATTTATTTATTTATGTATTTAAGAGCAACAGAGACAGAGAGAGAGAGATCATCCACTGGTTCACCCTTCATAAGACTGCAACAGCTGGGGCTGATGTAGGCTGAAGTCAGGAGCCAGGAACTCAATCCCAGTCTCCCATGTGGGTAAGAGGAACCCAAGTACCTGGGACATCATCTTCTACCTCCTAGGCGCATTAGCAGGAAGCTGGGTCAGAAGCAGAGATGGGACTTGATCCCAGCCAAGCACTCCAATATGGGAAGCAGGCATCCCAAGCAGCGGCTTAACCCATAGCACCACAGCACCGGCCCCCTACTTGTCTTTAAAATAAGGATAATAATAATAATATCTTCCAGACTAAGTGGTGGTCGTGAAAATTAAAGGAGGTATGCGCACCGTGCTTACTGTAGCATCTATACACGGAGATGGCCGGGTCTCCCACGTGGATGGTGGGAGGGGCGCAAGTACTTATATCATCATCTGCACCTTCCTAGGTGCATTGGTGAGAGCTGGATCAGAAGCAGAGCAGCCAGGACTCAAATTGTTGCTCAGATACAGGATGCCAGTGTCACAAGCAGTGGTTTAAGTCACTGTGACACGGTGCAGACCCAGGTCTGAAGTTTTTGTTTTTGTTTTTTAAGATTTGTTTTATTTATTTGAAAGAGTTACAGAGAGAGGTAGAGACAGAGGTCTTCCATCCACTGGGTCACTCCCCAGATGGCCACAACGGCTGGAGCTGCACCAATCCGAAGCCAGGAGCCAGGAGCTTCTTCTGGGTCTCCCACGTGGGTGCAGGGGCCCAAGGACTTGGGCTATCTTCTACTGCTTTCCCAGGCCATAGCAGAGAACTGGATAGGAAGAGGAGCAGCCGAGATTAGCACTGGCGCCCATATGGGATGCTGGCGCTTCAGGCCAGGGCTTTAACCGGCTGCGCCAGAGCGCCAGCCCTGGAACTTGTAAACAAGAGAACCCACTCCATATCAGAAATGGTTGATTGATTAATCCACGCAGCTGAGCAGATGTTACTGCACCGCGGTTAATGATCACAAGGGTGTTGGTTTTGTTATAACTTGACTGAACCAGCTAATTTGCCCATAAGGAGCACGTTCTTTAGAGTAATTGGGCGAAACGTGTCCTGCAACAAGCCAGCTTAGCAGACCCGCGTGTGCCCTGAAGCTCAGGGCTACAGGGTACCTTTCCGGGGAGTGAAACCGGAGCTGCCCAGTTAGCAATCACATGTCTCAGGGGGATTCCTCCTCCTCCTTTTGGCCTCTGCCTCTGAGAGAGCAGCTTTTACTTTTCTTTAAAGATTTTTTTTTTTATTTGAATGACAGGGTTGCAGGGGCCGGTGCTGTGACATGGTAGGCTAAGCCTCCACCTGCGGCGCCAGCATCCCACATGGGCACTGGTTTGAATCTCAGCTGTTCCACTTATGACCCAGCTCCCTGCTAATGGCCTGGGAAAGCAATGGAAGATGGCCCACATGTTTGTGCCCCTGCATCCATGTGGGAGACCCAGAGGAAGCTCCTGGCTCCTGGCTTCAGATCAGCCCAGCTCTGGCCATTGTGGCCATGTGGGGAGTGAACCAGCGGATGGAAGACCTTTCTCTGTCTCTCCCTATCTCTGTCTGTAACTACCTCTCAAATTAATTAATTAATTAATTAATTTTAAAAAAGAGTTACAGAGAGAGAAAGGGGGAGAGACAGTGAGAGAAAGAGATCTTCCATCCCTGGTTCACTTTCCAATTGGCCACAACAGCCAGGCCAAAGCCAGGAGCCAGGAACTCCACTGGGGCCTCTCAAGTGGGTGGCAGAGGCCCAAGGACTTGGACCATCTTCCATTGCTTTCCCAGGTGCTGGGTCAGAAGTGGAGCAGCCAGGACTCCAACCAGCACTCATATGGGATGTTGGCGCTGCAGGCAGTGGCTTTAACCTGCTGTACTATGACACTGGCCCCAAGAGGCAACTTTTAGGTGAGCCAAAGCTCATATAGATTGAACTTAAATGAGACCTTTGACCCTCACAGTGCTCCTGCAATGAGAAGGTAAATATTTTCAAATATTCTCCTAAGCTTATTCACAAGAGTCATAAAAGTCAAGAACTTTGACCTTCTTGAAGGCATTTTTTTTTTCAATAAATTGTTTCTTCTCAATACAAGGAGTATGTACACCATCATATATAAAGGATCTTCAAAAGGTTCATAGAAAATGCATATTTTGGAAAAAAATACTGTGCATGGATTTTAAAAAGTTTTTACACTAAAATAGACTTACCTTTTTATTCCATTTCTCCAAGAACTTCTGAAGTTTGATTGCATCATTGAAGTTTGATGTCTTAATTTTGTCTAAAACTGAGACATTTGCGGCCAGTGTTGTGGAACAAAGGGTTAGGCTGCTGTCTGAGACACTGGCATCCCATGTGGGCGCTGATTCAAGTCCTGGCTGCTCCACCTCCAATCCACCTCCCTGCTAATGTGCCTGGGAAAGCAGCGGGAAGATGGCGCAAGTCCCTGGGCCCCTGCACCCCTGCAGCCCCGTGGGAGACCCCAGTGGAGTTCCTGGCCTGTCTCAGCCCTGGGCCATTGCAGCTGTGGCGTGAATCAGCAGATGAAAGATTCTCTCTTTCCGTCTCTCTGTCTTTCCCTCGCTCTCAGTGATGTTGGGGTTCAAATAAAATTAATCTTTTTTTAAAAACTGAATCACGGTTTTGGGGGTATCTACTTTTATTCCATAGAAATTGCTCTTTGTATCATTAATTATGGCCTCCACACCTAATTTCTCTCCCATTGGTGGTACTGGAGGGTAAGGTCTCAGTCATGAGAAGAAATCATCGTGGGGGAAAAGGTGTTTGTCTGCTTTTTGTTAAGATTTATTTATTGAGAGGCAGAGTCACAGAGAGAGGGAGAACTGGGCCGATCCAAAGCCAGGAGCCAGGAGCTTCTCTCAGGTCTCCCACATGGGTGCAGGGGCCCAAGGACTTGGGCCATCTTCTGCTGCTTTCCCAGGTGCATTAGCAGGGAGCTAGATGGGAAATGGAGCGGCTGGGACTCGTACCGGCGCCCATATGAGATGCCAGCACAGCAGGCAGAGGCTTAACCCACTACACCACAGTGTCGGCCCCCGGGGAAGAGTTTCATAAGGAGCTGTTAGCCCTTGGGTGCTCCTCTCAGTGGAAGAAAAGGTTTCGGGTCACTTCCATTTCTTAGTTCTTCTGCTCTGCCAATAAAGAAAATAAATATATAACAATATTAGATTTTAAGGTTGTGTTGAGCTTGATATGTTTACGTTTATTAAATTAACGTTCCCAACACAACTAATAATATGGGGACTAAATGTACAGTGCACCCAAGGGTGCTGTCGGACTCCTGCCTTTGAGGCCGGTGGAGAACTGCAGAGCCCAGCCTTGGTTGTCACAGCGGCCGGAGCAGGGGCGGAGCAGCCCGAGCAGGGACAGGCTCCTTGCACAGCCCTGCACAGGGTTCAGGGTAGTCGCGTTGGCCAGAGGAGACAAGCTGAAGGCGGCACCGGACTTGTGGGCGAGCAGGAAGGGCCGGCGTCTTTGGGTTGTGCTGTGGAAAGGCCTGGGAGTTCTCCCTCATCCACCTGTTACAAGGGCTGAAGCACTCGTGGGAGCAGCTGGCCTGGGTCCTCCGTGGGAGCTCAAATATGAGAAGTGAGGCTGGCGCTGCGGCTCACTAGGCTAATCCTCCACCTTGTGGCGCCGGCACACCGGGTTCTAGTCCCGGTCGGGGCGCCGGATTCTGTCCCGGTTGCCCCTCTTCCAGGCCAGCTCTCTGCTGTGGACCGGGAAGGCAGTGGAGGATGGCCCAAGTGCTTGGGCCCTGCACCCCATGGGAGACCAGGAAAAGCACCTGGCTCCTGGCTTCGGATCACCGCAGTGCGCCGGCCGCGGCAGCCATTGGAGGGTGAACCAACGGCAAAAGGAAGACCTTTCTCTCTGTGTCTCTCTCTCTCTCACTGTCCACTCTGCCTGTCAAAAATAAAATAAATAAATAAAATATGAGAAGTGGGCGGAGATGAAAGGGACCCTTCAGGCCCAGGTGCCAAATCAGGGAGACAGCTTGGAGAGTTGTGGAAGTCCTAGAGGATGCTGGGATAGCACTGACTCTCCTGGCCTTGGAAAGACTGGACAGGGAGCCGAGAGCTCGGGTGAAGCCCGGCTCTGACCCAGTCGTCCTGGGCGACGGGCAGCAGGTCCCCTCCTCTCTCTGAGACCTTCCTCAGAAGTGTGAAAAAGATCATAGTCAGGGCCCAGCCAGCCTCTCCCCACTGAAGGGGCTGAGCACAGACCCTGTGGCACACAATCGTAGTCGGGGTTTTTTTGGTTTTGGTTTTCTCCCATCTCTGCATCAGGAGGCCTTTGCTATGTGCCTGGGATGCATTCAGACCAGGTAGAGGTGAACACGCAGAGACACCAGGGAGGCTGCCTGGACTGACAGCCGTGCCTGGTGTGTGCAGGAGTTTGGTTCCAGGACCCCCACGGCCTATGCACATCCTCCCGCGGACTTTGTCTTTTTGTCTTTTGTTTTCTAAAGATTTATTTATTTATTTATTTGAAAGTCAGAGTTACAGAGAGAAGGAGAGAGAAAGAGAGACAGAGAGAGAGAGAGAGAGATCTTCTGTCTGCTGACTCACTTCCCTTACAACAGCCAGGACTGAACCAGGCTGAAGCCAGGAGCCAGGAGCTTCATCCATGTCTCCCACATGAGTAGCAGGGGCCCAAACACTCAGGCCATCCTCTGCTGCTTTCCTAGGCACATTAGCAGGGAGCAGGATCGGAAGCAGAACAGTTGGGGCATGAACTGGCACCCATGCGGGATGCCAGAGTCAAAGGCAGTGGCTTTACCCACTACACCACAATGCCAGCCGCACTCCTCCAGACTTTGAATCATCTCTAGTTGACTTATAATACCTAATACCATGCAGATACTATGTAAATAGTTGTTACAATGTATTGTTTAGCAAGTAATGGCAAGAAAAAAAGTCTAGTACAAGAGCAATTAAAAAAAAACTAATATTTTATTTGAGTTAGAGAGTGAAAACAAATAGGGAAAAAGCGCCCTCCCATGCGCTGCTTCATTCTCCAGCCAATGCATGGGAACTGGGAATTCTGTGGCGGGGACCAACCACTTGAGTCATCGCTCTGCTTCCCAGGGTGTGCATTAGCAGGAAGCTGGAATCAGAAGTGGAGCCAGGACTCGAAGCCAAGCACTTGTATATGGCATGTGGCTGGCCAAATCCACAGCTGCTGGAGCTGGGATACCGTGAGGCTGATAGATAGATGCTGATGCGGAAATGAAGGAGGGGGAGGAGAGGGAAATTCAGAGGCCGCCTGGTGGAGCCGTGGAGTCTACGAGGAATGGCTGCTCGGCCCAAAATGCGCACCGAGAAAGAAATAGGGACAAGAGGGATTTTAAAAACACCTGCAGTGTGTCTAGCAAGGAGTGACGACGGCGCAGATGTGCCTTGCTTTCGTCCCCTGTTGTGGAGGTCAGGGAGGTAGGGCCGGCTGTGGCGAGAGGGGCTGGCAGGTGTCTAACATCACCTGGGTTACAGCTGCCATGGCTAACCTGTGTTCACACAGTGCGGAGCGCTTTCACACACTGTGAGTTATGCCATTACCCCAGGCTTACAGATACACACCTCAAGTTCATAGAGGTTAAGTGACAAGGTCGGTCACAGCTTACAAAGCCTAGGCTCCTTTTCACTCTACTGAGCTGGTGCTGGCCCATGCGTCCGCAAGTGTCGGCCGGACCTGGGACTCCAAGTCTGCTCAGCCCGGGCCCGTGTTTCCCCCTGCAGATCAAGTGGCTTGTGCAGACCCAGAAACCTGCCAGAGGGTCTGCAACAACCCCTCCGGCTGTTCCGACATTGCCTATCCCAAGCTGGTGCTGGAACTCCTGCCCACAGGTAATGTCCCCTCACCCCTAAGTGGAGTCCCCTGGGGCCCCCAGGCTCTGATTGGAGGTAGGGGCAGGGTGGGAGGGCTGTGGCCAGGAGTAGGCTCGGGGCTCAGGGGCCTGGGGCCTGGCTATCCAAGGAGTATGTCCTGAGCATCCTCCTGAGGTCCTGCCCCTCGCAGGCGAGCCCACACTGGGGCCGGCTGGCTTTGGACCTGGGCCGCCAGAGTCCTGAGTGAAGGCAGCAGCTGTTGGCAGGCGAGCCCCCGGCCCATAGACCTCCCTTCTGCCCCCAGGACTCCGTGGGCTCATGATGGCTGTGATGGTGGCTGCGCTCATGTCCTCCCTCACCTCCATCTTTAACAGTGCCAGCACCATCTTCACCATGGACCTCTGGAACCACGTCCGGCCTCGGGCATCTGAGAAGGAGCTCATGATTGTGGGCAGGTCAGGCCTTGCGGAGTGGGGCCGGGCAGGGCGGGGCTGGGCCATCCAGACACCCAGGCAAGGGAGGGCTGAGCCCACCCGGACGCAAAGTACAGCTGCTGGCTCGCCGAGGCCGGGTCAGCCTCCGCTGTGAACAAAGATGAGTGGCACTGGGGGCTGCATGGATGAGTGAATCATTCAGCCAGGGAGAAGTGGGGAAGGGTGCTCTGGGTTGAGGAGAGGGCTCCATACCCAGGCTTCTTCAAAGTCCTCCAATCAACTGGGGGAAGTAGAGAGGGCTGGAATGAGTGATATGTAAATTTTATGTTAAATACATACAAATGACCCCCTGGGGGCTCCACTCAGAGGACTGTCTCAGCCTTGAGTTAGGAAAAGATCTTGGAGCAGGTGCTGTGGCTCAGTAGGTTAAGCCTCTCTCCTCTCCCCCACCCCCAGCCAAAGTGACAACATCCCATATGGGCATCAGTTCAAGTCCTGGATGCCCCACTTCTGTCTCAGCTCCCTGCTAAGACGGCTGGGAAAGTAGCAGAAAATGGTCCAAGTGCTTGGGCCCCTGCCACTCATGTGGGAGACCAGGATGGAGTTCCTGGCTCCTGGCTTTGGCCTGGCCCAGCCCCAGCTGTGGTGGCCATTTGGGGAGTGAACCAGCAGATGAAAGATCTGTGCCTCTCCCTCTCTCTGTAACTCTGCCTTTCAAATAAGTAAACCTTTAAAAAAAAAAAAAAAAAAAGGAAAAGAGCTCTTAGATATGACACTGAAAGCACAATCCATAAAAAAAATATACTGGACTTCACGGAAATGTAAAACATTCCTACTTGGAAAGATAACATGAAGAGAGTGAAAAGATAAAGCGCAGTTGGTGAGGAAATATTTGCAGGCCAGGTGTCTGATAAGGAACTTGAACTTGTACTCTGGAATCAATGAAGAACTCCTAGAACATGACTGAGACCAACAGCAGCAGTTTCCAGCGGACGTTTCAGCAAGGAGGAGAGGGGTGGCAACGGGCAATGAGAGGTGCTCACAATCAGTGAGCAAATGCGAACTACAACCGCAGTGAGAACTTACTACACACCCAGCAGAGCGACTCTAACCAGAAAGACGGACAAGGAGGTGGAGGGACTGGAACTCCCACACGAAGGCACTTGAACGAATTCATGGAAGTTTTAAGTTAAGGATGTTTATTTTGGGCTGGCGCTGTGGCATAGTGGGCTAAGCCTCTGCAGTGCCAGCATCCCATATGGGCGCCAGTTCCTGTCCCGGCTGCTCCTCTTCCAAGCCAGCTCTCTGCTATGGCCTGGGAAAGAAGTGGAAGATGGGCCAAATCCTCAGGCCCCTGCACCCATGTGGGAGACCAGGAAGAAGCTCCTGGCTCCTGGCTTTGTGTCGGCTCAGCCACAACCATTGCAGCCATTGGGGAGTAAACCAGCGGATGGAAGACCTTTCTCTCTGTCTGTAACTCTGCCTCTCAAATAAATAAATAAAATCTTTATTTAAAAAAGCATGTTTATTTTGGTGCCAAAAAAATGGAAATTCTTGCAGAGTTTTTCACAATCTGCATTTTCCATAATTTTTATAAACATCAAAATTTTTTGATTAACATGTAATGCTTGCACATTTTTATGGGATGTAGAGCAATATCTCAGCATGTGTGTACAGCATCAATTGATCAAACCAAGCCACTAGCATTCCTATTTCTTTATCTGTTTTCTGTTTGGAGCCTGCAACTTCTCTCTGCCAGTTCTACTCCATGAGCTTCCTAAAGACTCCTCTATGCACAGATTTCAAAAATTTTTGCTTCAAAATAAATTTATCTTTGATTCCATTTTCCAGTGAACTTTTTGGGCCCTTGTGCATTGCAGGTGGAGATATAAAATGGTTTGAACATTCAGAAACAGTTCAGTGGGGACTGGTGCTATGACGCAGGGGGTTAAACCACTTTGGATGCTCCTGTATCAGAGTACGTGGTTCAAGTCCCAGTTACTCCTCTTCCCACCATCCTCCTGCTGATGCATGTGCAGTAGATGATGCCTCCAGTGATTGTGCCCCTGCCACCCATGGGGGAGACTTGGATGGAGTTCCAGGCTCTTGGCTTCAGCATGGCTTAGCCCCAGCTGTTGCAGGCATTTGGGGAGTGAACCAGTGGATAGAATCACTCATCCTCTCTGTCTCTCTCTCTCTGTCTCTGTCTCTCTCTCTTTCTTCTGTTGTGCCTTTCAAATAAATAAAAATAAGCATGAAAACATTTTGGCAATTTCTTTAAAAAATATTAACACAGTGGTGACTCAGAAATTGCATTCTTGGAAATGAAAATATAAGGAGCCTTCAAGAGTTCGTGGACAACACATTTTATGAAAAAGCCCATGCGTGGATGTCAACAGTTGCTTGCACCTCTCTTCATTCCCACTGAAGTACCCTCAGGTGCCCACACAAACATATGATTATTCACATTCCTGGAAGCACTATTTGCAATAGACAGAAAGTAGAAACAATTCAAATGTCTACCTGTTGGCAAAGAAGAAACAATGGCCTGTAATGGCATGACCTTGACAGTGGAATACTTTACAGCCATGAAAAGGAATGAGCTATGGCCATGTGACAGCATGCATGAACCTCAGAGCCCACTGCAGGTAGTGAAAAAAAGCCAGGTGCAGAACCGGTGCCATCCCACATGACACCACCTGGTGGCGATGTCCAGAAAGGGCAGCGGGATGCGGCAGCCGGGAAGCAGGGGAAGCAGCTCAGTGCTTGGTTAGGGTGGGCGCAGGAACAGGGAGGTCTTTGGTGTGAAGGATGCTCTAAATCTTGATGATGCTAATGGCACAGGCAACCGTCACTGGGTTGTGCACTTGCCATGGCTGGATTTTAAGTATGTAAATTCTACCTCAATAAAACTACCCACCAAAAAGCAAAGGGAAGTACATCTTCTTTTTTAAAGACTTATTTTTTAAGTCTGTTTGAAAGGTGGAGTGACAGAGAAAGGGAAACAGAGATAGAGAGAGAGAGAGAGAGAGAGATCTTCCCTCTGCTGGTTCACTCCCCAGGTGACCCCAACAGCTGAAGCTGGGCCAGGCCAAAGCCAGGAGCCAGAAACTCCATCCAGGTCTCCCATGTGGGTGGCAAGGGCCCAAGCGCTTGGGCCATCTTCTGCTTCCCTCCCAGGTGCATCAGCAGGGAGCTGGATTGGAAGCAGAGCAGCAGGGTCTTGAGCCAGTGCTTGGATATAGGATGCCAGTGTCACAGGCGGGCGGTGGTTTAACCCGCTGCACCACAAATGCTGACCCGGAAGTAAACCTTCAGGGAAGAGGGCGCTAATCCAGGGCCTCTCTCCCTCTGCACAGGGTATTTGTGCTGCTGCTGGTGTTGGTCTCCGTGCTGTGGATCCCTGTGGTCCAGGCCAGCCAGGGAGGCCAACTGTTTGTCTATATCCAAGCCATCAGCTCCTACCTGCAGCCGCCTGTGGCCATGGTCTTCGTCTTGGGGTGTTTCTGGAAACGGGCCAATGAAAAGGTAGCTCTGGGATGACCCCCCCCCAACCCCTGTCCTGCCATGCAAGCATTAGTGCTGCCCATGAAGCTGGGAGGAGAGGGGGTGGGAGAGGGAGGGAGGGGGAGGGAGCTCTGGGGCAGCAGCCGCAGGGGCGGTCACCGGGCCTTTGAGAAAAGGCCATGAGAGGTCTTAGCAATATCCTGATGTAGTCTGGCCGTTAAACGGGGTCCTGGAACCCTTCTCCCCAGATGCCAAGGGAGAGAGACGTAGAGACTTAGCTCCAGGCATGGACCATCCCAAGACGGACAAGCTCCTGATGCGGCTTCCTGAGCCTTCCCAAAGGCCCGGCCCCTCCACGTCTCTAACGGTCTCGCTCTGGTTTGCAGGGGGCCTTCTGGGGCCTGGTCTTGGGCCTGCTCCTGGGCTTCATCAGGCTGATCCTGGACTTCATTTACGTGGAGCCTGCCTGCCACCAGCCCGACGAGCGCCCCTCTGTGGTGAAAAACGTCCACTACCTCTACTTCTCCATGATCCTGTCTTCGGTCACTGTGCTCACCGTGACGGTCATGAGCCTGCTCACAGAGCCACCCTCCAAGGAGATGGTACATCTTTGTGGATGCCTGTGTCTGTTGAGGCCCCTTACGAGGACTGAAGGTTCCAAGAGCTGGGCTTCAGGGATGGTCTGTTCAGGATTCAGAGGTCATCAGAATCCATCTCTCACTTTCACTTGGAGTCTCAGGCCCTGCGTGGGGCCACATTTAAAGGATTTATTGGAGAGGCGGAGTTATAAAGAGAGAGAGGTCTTTCTTCCTCTGGTTCGCTCCCCACATGGCCACAATCACCGGAGCTGGCCCGATTCAAAACCAGGAGCTGGGAGCTTCTTCTGGGTCTCCCACGCGGGTGCAGGGGCCCAAGCACTTGAGCCATCTTCCACTGCTTTCCCAGGTGCATTAGCGGGGAGCTGGATCGGAAGAGGAGCAGCCGGGGCATGAACCAGCACCCATGTGGGTGGTTGGCGTCACAGGCGGAGGCTTAACCTACTGTGCTACAACACTGGCCCTGGTTGAGGGAGCTTTGAAAGGCAACAATGAGGGGGATTATGTCAGATGGATTGACGACAAAGGTGGTGTCGGGCCCAAGGTGAACATCACTTGCGGGTGGATGTCCTGGTAGAAGGACTTCTACCTTTGGGTGAGGTTGTGGTTCTGGCAGAGTTGCTTTTTATTTGAAAGGCAGAGTTACACACACACACACACACACACACACACACACAGATCCTGCATCCACTGGGCCACTCCCCAAATGGCCACGATGGGCAGGATTGGGCCAGGCAGGAGCCAGGAGCTTCATTCAGGTCTCCCACATGGGTGCAGGGCCCCAGGTACTTAGGCCATCTTCCACTGCTTTCTTAGGTGCATTAGCAAGAACTAGATCAGAAGTGGAGCAGCTGGGATTTGAACAGCACTCATATGGGATGCCGGTGTCACAGGTTCCTGCTTAACCGGCACCACAGTGCTGGCCCCTAGAGTGTTTTTTTTTTATTAAATATTTATTTTATTTATTTGAAAGAGTTACAGAGAGAGGCAGAGATAGAGAGAGAGGTCTTCCATCTGCTGGTTCACTCCCCAGATGGCTGCAATGGCTGGGGCTGTGCCGATCCAAAGCCAGGAGCCAGGAGCTTCTTCCTGGTCTCCCACATGGATGCAGGGGCACAAGGACTTGGGCCATCTTCTACTGCTTTCCCAGACCATAGCAGAGAGCTGGATCGGAAGTGCAACAGCCAGGACTAGAACTGGCGCCCATTTGGAATGCCGGAGCTTCAGGCCAGGGCTTTAACCCTCTGAGCCACAGCGCGAGCCCCATAGAGGTTTGTTGTTTGTTTGTTTGTTTTTCCCATTGAAAGTTACTATTGTGGGCTGGGACTGTGGCATAGCAGGTAAAACTGCCACCTGTGATGCACACATCCCATCGACATCAGTTCATGTCCTAGCAGTTCCACTTCAATCCAGCTCCCTGCTAATGTGCCCAGGAGAGCAGCAGCAGGTGGCCCATACTTGGGTTCCTGCACCCACACGGGAGACCTGGAAGAAGCTCCTGGCTCCTGGCTTCAGCCTGGCCCAGTTCTGACTGTTATGGCCATTTGGGAAGTGAACCAGCAGATGAAATCAATCCCCCCCCCACCTTGACTTTCAAATAAATAAGTCAAAAACAAAGTTACTATGAGGCAAAGGTACGTGGGACCCTTCCTGCCTAACTTTCCGGCTTCATTGATTTAGGTTTAGGGTTGACACAAGCGACTCTGTTTTTATTCTGATGATTTTCACTGATTCAGTCCCAGGGCCAGAGACCCGGAAGAGCTAAGATGACTGCAGTCTGGGATCCATCGTGCCACAGGGCTCAGGGGACAGAGGGTTGGGTTCCAACAGGAGAGCAAGGATGGGGATGTCCTTGTGTTCTGTAGAGTAGGAGGGTGGGGGCCACAGACTGGATTTGAAGGCTGTGCTCGGGCTTGGGCAGGGGACGTGGGGAAAGGACCGACCTCACACTTGGCCTCTCTGCTCCTCAGATCAGCCACCTGACCTGGTTCACTCGCCGCGACCCCGTGGTCCAGAAGGCACAGGTGCCAGCAGCCACGCCCCTGCCGCCTGCCCTGTCTCACAACGGGACCGCGGAAGCCAACAGCGCCAGCATCCAGCTGGAGACGATTCAGGAAGGCGCGTCCAAAGCCCACAGCAGTGAGTACTCGCTGTCCCCGGTGACAGCAGGAGCGGTGAGGAGCGGCGGGTGGTTGTGGGGCACAGGAAAAGGGGCGGCCCCAGGGACTGCAGCATCCGCCCCGCCCCATCCCTGCTCTCCGGCCACCAGAGGGAGCTCTTCGGCAGCCTCCGTAGCACTCCTAGAGCTGGGTGTATCCGAACCTCACACCAACCCACACAGAGGGCTGGAAGGCACATTCTTTACATTAGGGGCGTGCTGACGTGTTCTGGTGTAGCCCCCTACTGCTGTCATCAGACAGGGGCCAGCATTTAAAAACCACTCAACATTCCAGATTTCCATCTGCTCTTGAAAAACAGGAAGATCTGGCAACTCTGGGCCCACGTGCAGGAAGCTGCTGCTTCACTTAGCCAAGGTCCTCACCGCTCCTGGTTGTCTCCATGGTCCTGAGGCTGTCCATTATCATGGCCGTTGCTTTTTAAATTTTTTTTTAGAGATTTATTATTTATTTGAAAGGCAGAGTTAAAGAGAGGGAAAGACAGTGATCTGCTGGTTCACTCCCCAAATGGCCTCAGTGGCCCAGGGCTGGGCCAGGTTGAAGGCAGGAGGCAAGGGCTTCGTCCAGGGCTGCCACGCAGGTAGCACAAGCCCAAGCACTTGTGCCATCTTCTGCTGCTTTCCCAGGCATGTTAGCAGGGAGTTGCATGAAGTGGAGCAGCCGGGATGCAAACCAATGCCCATATGAGACGCCAGCAGCACAAGAGATGGTTTAACCTGCTATGTATGCCACACATTTTGCAGATAGTTATTTGAAAGAGTTACAGAAAGAGAGAGAGAAAGAGATAGATGAGAGAGAGAGAGGAGAGAGAGATCTTCCATCCACTGGTTCACTCCCCAAATGGCTACAACAGCCAGAACTGAGCCAATCAATATGAAGCCAGGAGCCAGGAGCTTCTTCCAGGTCTCCCACGCGGGTGCAGGGGCCCAAGCACTTGGGTCATCTTCCGCTGCTTTCCCAGGCCATCAGCAGGGAGTGGGATTGGAAGTGGAGCAGCTGGGACTTGAACCGGCGCCCATATGAGATGCCAGCACTGCAGGTGGATTCTTAATCTACTACACCACAGTGCCGGCCCCTAGTCTGAGTCTTGCTTTCTGCTCTTGAAGATGGTAGAAATTCTTGAGAAAAAAAAAAGCAATCTTCCAGAATTAAAGGGTCCTTCAAAATTAAGGCAGAGTGAAGTCAGCCTTCCCTCTTCATATTGCAGATGTTGGTTTCAGGATCTGCATAACCCCCAAATCTGCAGCTGCTCAAGTCCTTATACAAAATAGTGGCCTATGGGTGCTGGGTTCTAGTCCCGGCTGCTCCTCTTCCAGGCCAGCTCTCTGCTGTGGACCGGGAAGGCAGTGGAGGATGGCCCAGGTGCTGGGGCCTCTGCACTCGCATGGCAGACCAGGCTCCTGGCTTCAGATTGGCACAGCGCCAGCCATTGCAGCCATTTGGGGAGTGAACCAATGGAAGGAAGACCTTTCTCTCTGTCTCTTTCTCTCACTGTCTATAACTCTACCTGTCAAATTAATAAAAAAAAATAGTGGCTAGTATTTGCATATGCATATCCTTCTCTATGCTTAATTTCAACTCTACATCATTCATAACACCCAATCCTGTGTAAATGCTGGGTAAGTAGTGGTTATATTGTATTGTTCAGGGAATGACAGCAAGGAGGAAACGTTTATACACAGTCAGTATGGATGCAACTTTTTTCAGGTTTTTTTTTATCTAAATTTTAATTTATTTGAAAGGCAGAGAGACAGAGAGAGATCTCCCATCTGCTGTTCACTCCCCAAATGCCTGCCACAGACCCAGGGCTGGGCCAGGAGGAAGCCACGAGTCGGGAGCTCAAAGTGGGTCTCCCATGTGGGTGGCAAGGACCCAGTTACCTGCTCCTTCCCAGGATGCACACTTGGCAGGAAGCTGGAATCAGGAGTGGAGCCAGGACTTGAACCCAGGCACCCTGCTACGTGACGTGGGCCTCCCACGCAGTGTGGTACCCGCTGCCCTAAACAGTCAACTGTTCTTGGAGCTTTCACCAGCCACGGGGCACTGCCCCTGCGGGACCAGATCTGAGCCCGACCCTTCCAGAAGAGGTGCAGGAAGTGTGCACCTCTCCTGGGAGACACAGCGCATGGCTGCCACCTTCCTTTGCTGGGTTCTTTGCAGGTGACGTGACCCCGAAGCAGTCCAGAGTGGTGCGAGCCCTGCTGTGGCTCTGTGGGATGGAGGGCAAGAGCACGGAGCAGGCCCCGAGGCCAGCAGAGCCCGTCTTGGCTTCCATAGAAGAAAACCCCGTCGTGAAGACCCTGCTGGACGTCAACTGTCTGCTGTGCATCTGCTGCGCCTTCTTCCTCTGGGGCTACTTCGCCTAGCGCCTGCGCTCAGCCCGCCACTCCTTTCCCGTGCCCTGTTGTTTTATAATGAAAGAAAAAGATAATAATAATAAAGCTTTTGTTTGTTTACCGTGAGGCTTCAAAGGTGTTTGCAACACTGGAAGGGGAAAGGGGTTCCTGTTCTCAAAAGCGAGATCCTCACCCTTCCTATCCATCGTGCAAGATCCATGGCCAGGGCTGGTGCCGCGGCTCACTAGGCTAATCCTCCACCTAGTGGCGTCGGCACACCGGGTTCTAGTCCCAGTCAGGGGATTCTTTCCCGGTTGCCCCTCTTCCAGGCCAGCTCTCTGCTGTGGCCCGGGAGTGCAGTGGAGGATGGCCCAAGTGCTTGGGCCCTGCACCCCATGGGAGACCAGGAGAAGCACCTGGCTCCTGCCATCGGATCAGCGCGGTGCGCTGATGCCAGCCGTGGCGGCCATTGGAGGATGAACCAACGGCAAAAGGAAGACCTTTCTCTCTGACTATCCACTCTGCCTGTCCAAAAAAAAAAAAAAAAAAAAATCCATGGCCAGACACAAAGAGCCCGCAGGTGCCCCAGCTGGATGGCAGCTCAGCTGCTCCTGGCCTGGTGGGGCAGCCTTTGGCCAGTACCCAGCTCACCTGGGTGGTGCAGAGTGGGACCCGCCTCCTCTCCCTGCCGGCCTTGCTAAAGGATCGCCCGGTTCCCAAAGGCTTCCTCGTGATTCTCACTCCTGGGTATGATTTCTTAGAAATACACCCAAGACACCCAAGTCAGTGCCCGGAAGTCAGACGCTGTCGGGAAATCCGAGAATTGTGTGCCCTTTGCAAGTTCGGGCTTGGACTGTGCTGCTGCTGCTTCCTTTTTTGTTTTGTTTTCTTTTTTGTTTTTTTTAAGATTTATTTAGACATTTGAAAGGCAGAAGTAGATAGAGACAGGAACAGAAACAGAGGTATCTCCCATAGGCTGGTTCATTCCCCAGATGACTGCAACAGCTGGGGCTGGGCTGGCCTGTAGCCAGGAGCCTCCTCCAAGTCTCCCATGGGGGTGCAGGGGCCCAAGCCATTTTTCTACTGCTTTCCCAGGCCATTAGCAGAGAGCTGGATGGGAAGTGGAGCAGCCGGGACTCGAACCGGCACCCATTGGGATGTTGGTGTTGCAGGCAGCTTTGCCCACTATGCCACAGTGCCGGACCCAGCCCCAGCTTTTCTATAGTAATTCAAGCAACATGGGTGGGCTGCATACCCTCTGCCCTCCCAGGTAGGGGCCCGTGTGGGGAACTGGTGGTCCTATGGGGGTCCCCATAACCGGCTTCTGATCTCCCGGGGGAGGCCATGCTGCCCTCTCCATGGGCCAGGGAGGAGAGAGGGAGGCCGGGGTGTTCTCACCAGTGACCTGGCCCCCACCCCCACCCTGAGCTGTGCCCCTCACACAAGACCTCTGCACCTGCTGGGGTTTCAGGGAGAGCTGTCCCAGCCCGGGCCTCTGCAGTCTCTGCCCCCGATAGCTGCCCGCAGGATCCTGCTTGGCCCTCCCATGCCCAGCCTTCCCCACGCCGCAGCCAGGGGCAGGAGTGACTCTGACCCAACAGATCTCTCAGAATCTTCCAGAATCTTCCAGTGACTTTCTCCAGGCCTCAGGACAGAGCCCATGTTCCTGCACAGGAATGCAAGACCCCCGACGACCAGGCAGCTCCGCTCACTCTGCCTTGGCAGTCTGAGGTCTGACCAAAGCCTCGCTCTTTCTCACCTGGGCCTCGCACCATGGATGGTGTAAAGAGGACCCAACATGTGTGGCTCGGGATCAGACCAACAGGTCGGTGCCCACGGTCTCCCCTCTGCCTTCACCATCCCACCTTCCTTCTCTGTCGGCCTCCTATTCTGCCTGTCTCTGCTCAGACATCACTTCCCCCAGAAAGCCCTCCCTGATTACCCCCACCCCTCGGTGACTCTGAAGCATGAGTCACACTTTCTTATTAATAACTGCTTCAACGGCTGCTCCACTGGAGTGCCTGGCAGATGAACAGGTGGACAACGCTCAGAACACAAAAGCCCTCTGGCTCCTGTTCCCCAAACCCCACCCCCTCCCCAGATACCCATGACCATGGGACATTCCATAGCCCCTAGGGAACCAACTGAGTCACTCCAATGGCATCCAAACGCTACATGAGTGACCGCAGGGTTAGAACCGAACACAGTCAGGGCAACCATGGGCCCACTACGACCCTCTCTGGCCTCCCAAGTATAGATCAAGACCAGATCCTGCCAGGAAATCAGACGAATGCTGAGCTCAGCAGGAGGCTGGCTGTGTGGTCCAGTGAGCTAAGCTCCCACCTGGGACGCCAGCATCTTCCATCAGAGCACGGGTTCGAGTCCCAGCTGCTCCGCTTCTGATCCAGCTCCCTGGGAAGGTATGGATGATGGCCCAAGTAGTTGGGCCCCTGCCACTCTCCTGGAAGACCAGGATGGAGCTCCAGGCTCCTGCCTTCAGCCTGGACCAGCCCCAGCTGTTGCGCTCATTGGAGTAGTGAGCCAGTGGATGCAAGATCTCTGTCACGCTCCCCTTCAAATAAATAAACAAATCATTAAAAAAAAAAAAAGGTGGGGGTGTATGTGGTGAGAGGAACAGGTCCCCGCCCCTGGTGTGGAGGTGGGGGTGAGGCAGCCGGACAGGGGAGTGTGAGCATGTACAGGCCTAGAACTTCCTAAGAAATTGTGCAGAGAACAGAAGAAAACCATTTGCAGGGGCAGATAGGCAGCAGTAGCTTCTCCCTAGGGCCCAGCACCCTCCAGGATGGCCACTATGCATGAGAATGTAGATGACAGACTTGTGGGGTGCCAGGGAAGGTGACAAGCAGTGTGACAACTCCCCCAGCAAGAGGAACCACAGGTCACAGAAATGAGGATCCAGGTGCCACTCCTGGGCCTGGCCCCTCACCGGCACAGGTGCGGTTACAGCCCTGCAGGCCCCACACTGAGCCACCAGGCCCCACATCCTGGCCCAGCTCCTCCCAGATGAGGGACAACAGCTCTGGTCTGGCTTCCCTTTTGGCACATATCCAGGGGCAAACACGTCTCATTGCTATGGCAATTGGAGTTGTTGGGGTAGGGAGACTGCCACCCACAATAGGAGAGTAAAAACTCAGTGCTGTTCTTAGGACAATGAGTGTCTGGCTTGCTGGGTGTCACACTCAGCAATCACACACATGCTGTATTCCTGGGAGAATGTCAGGAGGGGACCTTCCTCATCCTCAGATGCCAAGGGGGAAGGAAGCATGCCCAAGGGGCTGACTGTGGACAGCCAGCTCCTTGGAGACGGACTCAACAGTGAGCGGCAACTGACAGGCAAGGAAAATAACAGCACGCTGGTACAGGAGGAGTGGAAGTACGAGCAAGCGTGCACTCACGATACACGGGGAAACAGATGTACAGGGGCATATGCTTTACAAAGACTGACTTGTTGATTTGAAAGGCAGAGGGATTGAGAGAGAGAGAGAGAGAGAGAGAGAGAGAGAGCCGCTACCTGCTGGCTAACTCCCAAGATGGCCACAACAGCCAGGTCTGGACCATGCCAAAGCCAGGAGCCCAGGAACTCTATCCAGGTCTCCCATGTGGGTGGCAGGGGTCCAAGTACTTAGGCTGTCCTCTGCTGCTTTCCCAGGTGCATTAGCAGGGAGCTGGATCAGAAGCAGAGCAGCTAGGACTTGAAGGCACTCAGATATGGGATGCTGGCATCCTTAGCGGTTGGTTTACCTGCTGTACCACAACGCCAGCTCCTAGGTGCGTATTTTCCATATAATAAATGCAGGGAGGAGACAGCATTTTAGCCTAGCAGAAAAGACATCTGCCTCCCACATCAGGGCACTTGGGTTCAGTTCCCAGCTCGTTTCTGACCCCAGCTTCCTGCTAATGCAGACCCTGAGAGGCAGCAGCAACGGCTCAAGTAATTGGGTTCCTGCCTCCTACATGGGAGACCTGGAATGAGTTCCCACCTCCTGGCTCTGGTCTTAGCCCAGTCTTGGCCACTGTGGGCATCTGGGTAGCGGACCAGCAAATGGGACGTCCCTCTGCCTGCTTCTCAAATAAATCAGCAATTCTAAATGCAGACAGTGCTCCTTTCAGGGTGGGCCCATTAAGTCAGTTCACAGTGGAAGCAGGTCCAGTAACTTCTAAGCCAGGGACAGGTCACTGCCACAGCCGACAGACGGGTCCACCCGTGGAAGGCCAGGGCAGCCAACTCGGGTAGTGCGAGTCCCTCTCTGTTCCCAAAAGGAAACCACTTTATCTGGGTCACGGGGAGGAGCGGTCAGCCTCACTTTGCTCTGACTCCCTCTCACTGTACTCTAATCCTGAGGTGGCGGGGAGTGGCCTGGAGTAGGCAGGAAGGCATCAGTCACTGGAAGAGTTCTATGCTCAGCAAGAGCTGCCGGCGTGTATAGCAGCCCTGTGGGAGCTGAGTCTGAAATCCCCTACAGGGACAAGACACAGGTGCCGGGACTGGGGAGACCAAGGGCTCGGCCCTACCCGTGGGGTGCTTGCTGAGGACAGCCAGCGTGGGAGGTCGCCAGGCAGACCTTGCTCTCTGCTCTTTTAAAGTCCTAGTTACACCGAGTTCTGCCTCCCCCGCGAGGTGTCCCAGCCACCACAGGTGACAACACACACATGCGTACACAATCATACAAGTGAGAGCCTCCAAGAACAACAAGTTTTCATATAAACCACAGAATATATTTAATTCAAATTAAACATGAAACTTGAATATTGTTCGGTCCTTATCAAGTAGCAATTACATTGTTTAAAAAAAAAAAAGAGAGAGAGAACAGTACATTTCTTTCTACATTCTGGCGATTCAACAAGGCACAAGTCGCATCCAGTTTGTTGGGGTGACAGATCCAGCAGTCACCATCAATGCTCAGGGTCTGGAGGGGACTGGGGCAGACACAGACCATTCTGAATACAAGACGATTCTGCAGCAAGTCTGGAGGGGGAACCTCCTTCCTAGCTAGCACAGCGGGATCAAAGTGCGAGGAGCAGGAAGTAGGCGCCTTGCAGAATTAATGCACTTTATTAAATAGATAGTTAACGCACTGCTTCTCATTCATTCCACATGGCTGATG